AAATAATTTCAATTTAGATCTGACAAAAAACTCTTTCCAAACGCACCAAAAGCCGGAAAAAAGCCGATTTTGCTCAGATTTGAGCCTCCAAATACGCTCAATTTCGCCGAGAGTTCGTTTTCTTTAGTCAAAGAGACTATGAGCGGACCAAACACGTTGGAACGTTGAACGTTGAACTTTCTGAAGAAAATGCACTCCGCCTTGTTCTGAAATTTTTATATAATCGATAAAACTTGAAAAAAAAAACTTACACGACTCGCGGGCCTTTTGTCCAATGGAACGAACGATTGACAGAACACGAAAAAAGGCACCCGCCGTTTAATCATACACTTACCGCATTCTTACAAGCCCAGGAAAACAGTCTATCCATTCAGCTCAAGGAGAGGTCTACCACTGAGTTCCTTTCACCAAGCTTCCACTCAAATCCTCATTTCTTCTTGTCTATTCTGAATTTCAGTGAGACCCATAGACTATTCCAAGCTTCAAAAACTAATGCCGTGCTCAAAGTAATTCCGCTAAACGCAAAATAGCCGTTAGAGATAGAAAAAAATAAAAAAATTTTGGAGGATAAGAGGCCATTTTGCATTTCGCGGAAACTACTCTGAACACGGCATAAGCTTTTCCTAACTCTCAAGGATAAATGCCACAAATTCTTGATGATCTACCCGACGCCGATCGTGATTTTCCTTATTATTAAAAATTTTTATAAACTAGGGACTACAAGCTATCTCTAGAATATGCACACGACTCGTTGGATTTTTCATTTTTCAAGCCAAAAAAGTAGGGACCGCAGGCCATTTTTTCAAAATGACTTGAATAATTTTGTCACTCTTTGATAGAAGACATCGTCAATAATTATAACACGTTTTAGTTTTTTTGAATGAAGGACTACTAAGAAAACAATTATGGCCAAAAAACTAGCGCGCGTGCCGTTCAGCTGGAGGTTGAATCTGCTAACTTCTTACTAAAATTTATACTATCAGATGAAGCACATCGTGAAATAGTCAAATAATTTTAAAAGTCTATAAAAAAACATTGAGTTCGAGCCAAGCTTCGGTGATTTTATTGAGTCACTAACCAACCAAAGATTTAGTACTACTGCCATAGTTTCATGGTTCATAGCCAATCCACGGCTGACTGAGCCATCGGTCAAAGGGTCTCGACACGATTTGAAACCAGACACAAGCTCGCCGTGATTCAGTTATACTCGCTCCCGCTTCTTTTTCAATCAGTTCGAGCCTTTCTGGACCGTTTTTGAATCGGTTTTCAGTTCCGAGAGGTTGGCAGAACTGAGCTCAATATTTTGACATGATGATTTTGAACATCTTTCTTGAGAGTTTTCGATAAATTATCAAATAACTACCCAAAAACAAGGTCAGGGGGAATTTTCCGCTCATTTATCCCTCTTCTAATCGAAAAAATATCATCATTTGATTTTGGCAAATAACTAAACTCGATAAAAGGCTTAATTTCAAACTAATAAAGAAAAATTTTGCTGATCATAAACGGCTATTGCAGATATTGAAAACGAGATACAGTAGCTTAAACGCAAACTCACCCACGCTCACTTGCACAAAATCTTTCAAAAAAAATTATAAAAAACGCCTACTTTTGGGCTTTTCATCGTCGTTCAAACTTGTGCGCTGTCAGATTTTTCACATCGATGGTTTTTTTGGATTCTTAACAAAATATCAAAAATTGGATTTTGCCGTCCATGAAAGACATTTGAACGAAAAAAGTGATACTTGCTTATTTTTGTAAACTTCATTTCAGTGTGGTGAAGAGGCGGGGCTTCGCACTTCCTATTTTGAAGTCGTTGACGTTCAATTATTTTGATACAGTGATGAGGGTTCTATGAACTTTTTTCTTCGGATTCCTCTGGAAATCGCTATTATCTCCTGTCGAAGTCACAAACTTGATGCGACCAAAGTTTGAGTTCCTAAATACAAAAACCTAGACTTTCTCTCTCCCCAAACCGGAAAAATTTCCTGATTATCCCGTCTATATTTCCCATGCCTCTCATGGTTTTCTACTGAAAAACTCAGCTTTCCAATTTTCTTCTTGAATTTAGATTTTCTCCCGGATTCTTTCCCAATATCAGGTAAGTCAATCACCCATGAATAAAAGTTTGAAAATCGGAACTTATACTTTGAAAAGCCACGTATGGGTTATCAAACCCGTTTTAGAAAAAAAGGGAGTTTTTTCCTTCTGTGAGGAAGCAATGTCTACCGAAACAAGAAGAACGATTGGTGATTCGAAAGTTTCGAGCACTCAAGAAATTGGGACTGTGCAGATTTTCGAAAGCCATGTCTCCCTTCTTAATATAGTTTTTCGGAAACTTGCTCTACCCAGCCAGGCTTCCCTCAAGGAAACATATAGCTGGATGAGGATCGTTCCATCACGCACGACAAAGGGGTTGTAATGCATGTCTTTCAATCTAGCACGGGGGAATGTGTGGGGGGCGGAGAGGGGGCTCGAGTGCTCTCTACTTTGATTACGAAAAACTTCCTTCTGAGTCAGTAGATAAACTTCTCCACAGAAAGAAAAAAACTACCTGCTCTAGGAGTTTTCGCGCCACAGTTATCTTGTTCTCTTTTTTTCTCTTTTTATCTCGGTTTTCACCGAGATAAGACAAGATAACTGAGGCTCGAAACTCGCTAGAGACTTTTTTGAACGTTTCTTTTCTAAGTATAAGTTTCAACCCCCAAACTTCTATTTATTTGGGATTGAAATTACTAATATTACGAAAGAGTCCGGGAGAAAATCTTAATTCGAGAAGAATATTGGAAAGCTGAGTTTTTCAATAGGAAACCATAAGATTCATGGGAAATATGGACGGGAAATCAGTAAATTTTTCCGGTTTGGAGAGAGAGAGAGAGTCTAGGTTAATTGTGTTTAGGAACTCAAATTTTGGTCGCATCAAGGTTGTGACTTCGACAGGAGATAATAGCGATTTCCAGAGGAATCCAAAGAAAAAAGTTCGTAGAATCCTCATCACTGTATCAAAATAATTGAACGTCAACGACTTCAAAATAGGAAGTGCGAAGCCCCGCCTCTTCACCACACTGAATGGAGTTTACAAAAATAAGCAAGTATCACTTTTTTCGTTCGAATGTCTTTCATGGACGGCAAAATCTAATTTTTGATATTTTGTTAAGAATCCAAAAAAACCATCGATGTGAAAAATCTGACAGCACACAAAATCGAACGATGGTGAAAAGCCCAAAATTAGGCGTTTTTTTGAATTTTTTTGAAAGATTTTTTGTGCTTGAGTTTGCGTCAATCCTACTGTATCTTGTTTTCAATATCTGCAATAGCCGTTTATGATCAGCTAAATTTTTCTTTATTAGTTTGAAATCAAGCCTTTTATCGAGTTTAGTTGTTTGCCAAAATCAAACGATGATATTTTTTCGATTAGAAGAGGGATAAATGAGCGGAAAATTCCCCCTGATCTTGTTTTTGGGTAGTTATTTGATAATTTATCGAAAACTCTCAAGAAAGTTGTTCAAAATCATCATGTAAAAACATAAAGCTCAGTTCTGACAACCTCTCGGAACAGAAAACCGGTTCGAAAACGGTCCAGAAAAGCTCGAACTGATTGAAAAAGAAGCGGGAGCGAGTATAACTGAATCACGGCGAGCTTGTGTCTGGTTTCAAATCGTGTCGAGACCCTTTGACCGATGGCTCAGTCAGCCGTGGATTGGCTATGAACCATGAAACTATGGCAGTAGTACTAAATCTTTGGTTGGTTAGTGACTCAATAAAGTCGTCGAAACCTGGCTCGAACTCAATATTTTTTCATAAACTTAAATTACTCGACAAGTTCACGATTTCCTTCATCTAAAAGTATAAATTTTAGTAAGAAGTTAGCAGATTCAACCTCCAGTTGAACGGCACGCGGGCTTGTTTTCTGGTCATAATTGTTTTCTTAGTAGTCTTTCATTCAAGAACTAAACGGGTTATGATTATTGACAATGTCTTCTATCAAAAAGTGACAAAATTATTCAAGACATTTTGAAAAAAACGGTTTGCGGTCCCTACTTTTTCGGCTTGAAAGATTAAAACTCTAAGAAGAAGTTTGCACATTCTAGAAATGGCTAGTGGTCATTACAAAAATTAAAAAAGAAAATCACGATCGGCGTCGGGCAGATCATCAAGAAATTTGCAATTATCCATGAGAAAAAAAAAAAAAAATTAAAGAAAAGCCTTAGTTTGGAATCTCGAAAAAGTCTATGAGTCTGATTAAAATTGAAAAAAGATAAGAAAAACATTGAGAATTTGGGAGAAACTTAGTGAAATTAACATAGTGGAGACCTATCCTTATGGCGAACAAATGAACTATTTTCCAAAACTTAAAAAAATGCGAGTAAGATAACGAGTAGATAACAGGAGGCCTCAAATCGGCCTTTCTCAGACGGCTTTGACAAGAGATGGGGCTTCTTAAAAACTTATTTTTACGAAACAATCGATTGATGACGATTTTTTTCAGTTCTAGTCCATAAAATGTCTATTACAACTCTACAGTTTGGTCGAGAATGCTGTTTAATCTGAATTTTGAAGTGAGCTTTTTTCCCATTACTAGAAAAGCAATGAATAAATCAAATTGTCAAACTTTTAAATGATTCAAATTAGAGAATAATCATCTTTAGGACATTTTTACTTCCAGTGACTTATTTCATAACCTCTTTAGTTTCATAATAAAATAGCTTTCAACTGTTTTGCTTCGAGATAAATCAATTTGAAGCTCAATTTGCAACATTTCCCGTACATTTCAGCAATCTTCAAGTTCAGAAACACTTTCAGTTCATTATTTTCCAGACAGAAACTAATGAAAGATTTTCAAAGCTCGTTCGCAGAATTGCGAAATTTCCCAAAAAGAATTCCGAACAAAAGTTTTCAAGCTAGACTCTTACTAAAAAGTCTTGAAAGACATCTACCGAGACTCATCAAATCAAAGTCCATTGAGGAATTGAATGAATAAATTTGATGTGCAAACGTACTTAGAATCCTTTCTCAATTTTCCTGAGGATCCTTCCGAACTGGACGTCCGTGACAACGCGTCCTTTTTCAATTGCTTGGAGCGAGGTCATCGCCGAGGAGAGTCGGCCAACCCGGCGCAACTCTTCGTCCCCGTAGCCACCGTCCGCAACCTTGGCCTCCAACTCCTCTCTGATCTTGACGAGGAGTTGGGCCGCGGAATGACCAGCGAGGGCCGGTGGCAGACGGCGGACGGCTTGGCCCACGCCCAGGCCCCTGAGCCGTCTCGAGGCTCTCTGAGCGACGGACCTGGGACGCTGAAACAAGTTCTTCTTATCAACAGCTCCAACTCAAGAAAAGCAAAGCTCATAAGAAACTATCGAAATTCACGAAACTCCAATTTCCGAAAAGAAAAAAAGCTCAAAGTCTAAGACACTTGGCAGGTTGAGATTTTAGGGTCTACAGTCAAAAAACATTCCAGATTATTTTATGTCATTTTTTCTCAACTAAAAATAGCTCTAGTCGAAAAAGCGGCAAAAATCTTGCTTTGAAAACGCGCTCTAAAGATTAATGTCTATCAAAAGCTGAACCTCTTGAAAAATTATTAGCTTTGAATCTGATCTCCTTGAAAAGGGGCTGGGAAAACTCAGTAGGACGGTAATTCACGGCATTAGAAAAGTTGAGGGTGCTTAGAGGAGATACAGTGGGCTTTCTAATTATGTTTCCATAAGTTGTTAGTTACCTGGCCGGCGCGTTGTTGGCGGGTTTGACCAGGGCCGGCAGCACCAGCCGCAGCTTGTTGGGGAGCTGCGACGGGCTGGGCTGCTGGACCGGCCTGGTCGTTGGCCTCCTCCTCGACTTCTTCTCCGTTCTTCTCATCCTCATCCCCGTTCTCCTTCTCCTCTTCCTTTGCCTCATTTTCCTTCTCTTCGGTTTCTGGGACCACTTCGTCCTATAATTTCACCATCAGCCTTTCAGAAGATCTGAGAACTCCAAGGTAAAACCCAATTTGTCTTAAATTCTCCTTATATTTTTCAATAACTAAGCTTTTTCAAAGATTCGAAAAAAATCTTTCAATTCACCTAAAAATTGGATTGATTGAAGTCTAATCGAAGGAGAAAAAAATTGCTAAAACTCCAAAAAAACGTTGTAAAAATTCCTTCTCTTCCCAATCTCATCTTTTTACGTCTACTCAAATTAAAATATTCAAAAAAATATGAAAAAAAGCTGGAATATTCTACATAAAAACCTAATCACCAATTCGATCAAATAATGAAGCTCATAGTTTCAAAAAGTCGAGCCTTTTTGAGGGCCCTGAAATTTTTCACAGAAAATCCCGTGGAAGACAAAGTTTTTTTGAATATATTTCTAATGTTTAAACCGAACGACCAGTGGAAAAGGAACTGGAATAGAAACCTGGAGATGGAGGAGCTCGGCGGCCTCATCCATAGCCTCCTCGGCGACGAGTTCTGCGGGGTCTTCGGCACGCGGGGCTTCGGCCACATCATCATCTTCTTCTTCTTCTGGGGAGTTCAGAAGGTTGCGTCGGGCCCATGCGAGGGGCTATCCTTTCCCGCGCGTGTTGTCCGAGGAAAGAATGAATCCGAAGAGTCGGACGAGACGGTCTTGAACAACTTTTTTTAGACATCAATAATCAAACTAAACTGGTTATTGTTTTTTTCAATTAATATTCACTAAAAACTGATATCTCGCCAAAGCTCGTGTTCTGGAACTCTATCAAAATTCCGAACTTTATCTATTTCCAGATATGAGAGGTTTGTGATTCTGGCAAGGAATTTTTGTAGTGAAATCGAATTTTCTGGCTTTCGTTACTCTTTTCCGTTTTTGAAAAAGTTGAATCAAAGTTGATTTCAAAGAAAATTCTACTTTATTACTTCGTCAGGCTAGACCTTTGGGTTTCTTGAGTATAATTTCTGTTTTGTTTCTAGTTTTCAAATCTCGAAGAACCTCCAATGCCTACTAGAATCTCAAGAAGCGCAGAAGACGAAAAAGAGAAGATTTGAAAAAAACTAACCTCATTCGTCGAACTCTTCGATCGACTCGAGGTCGAAGAGTTCGTACACGTCCTCAAGCTCTTCCGGCCAAGGCGCCTTAAATGAATATTTTACCAAAAAAAGAAGAAGAATTTTCGGAAAGCCCTTTCCATTTTGAAAGCTCATATTTGATTTGATTTCTTCTTTTCATTTTTTACCTAGGACACAGAAAAAAATGATGGCGAAGTTTTTTAACTTCAAAAATTAATATTTACCAAGTTTATTCATCTCATTAAATTTATTGAAACAATTGGCTTGAACTCATCTTTTCCGGCTTCCAATTTAAAGAAAATCTGATTGTGATTTGATTTTTGAAGAACGAGAAGAATTGGAAAAACTTGAGATCTACAGAATTATTCGATTTGATTAAATTCCTCATGCACAAGCTCAGTTATGACAAAATTAGATTTCCAAGGCTTCGAAATTTTAAAGTTTGTCAAATTTCTTTAATTCGCATCAAACAGGTTGAATCGATATATTAAGTAAATTGAGATCTCCAAAGTTATATAAATTCTTTGGATTGGTTATGATAGAAATGCTTGAAAGAGTACAAAAAAAAGATCTAGAGGATTCTTTTCGAGGAACCGAAAGAACAGCTTGAACTTTAAAGCCAAATTAATATGTGATTAATAAAGTCGAAAATTACCGATGAGGAAGAGCTGGAGGACGTCGACTCTTCTTCCTCTTGCTGTCCTTCTTGTCTGGCGTCCGGTTCCGGTGAGTGGCGCTGAATCAGTTTCGTTTTTTTTAAAGTTCAACAGGTTCTCATTGTAATTTATCCTTGAGATCTTCAGTTTAAAAAAATCCATAAAAAGTCGGAAATCCAATATAATCATAAGCAAAAGGTTTGTTCTTATCTTCAAGTGATCTTTTCTTTTTTTCGGTTTTCCGATTAGTTACAATCTATTGATTTTTCTTCAAAATTTCCCTGTAATATGATCAAAAGAGAGTTTCACTGAAACTGAACGACATGTGGAAAAGAATCAGAAGACTAACAGAGGCTGGGGAATCCTCCAAGTCGAGGAGTTCCTCCTCCAATCGCCGCTGGTCGTGCTGCTGCCCTTCTTCTTCATCCGGGGCCAATCCCATCTCATCGATCTCCTCATCCAGCCTTTCGGCCTGAAACCAATCGTTCAGAAACGGAATCCAATATACGCAGAATTGCACAAGCTTTGTTTTTCGATATTTTTCCAAACTGTTTCGATCAAAATTTAAAATTTTTTGTTTGTCCCTCAAATGACCCAGAGGTCTCTAGTTTTCGGAAGCCTCAAAACTCAAAACGATGCGAAAATTTGTTTCTAATTTTTTTCAGTTGGATAAATACTGCTATTGACTAACAGGATTTCCGAGATCATAACCAACTTTAGATTAATTGGGACAGAGGAGATGAAAATTGGCAAATGACTGCGTGGGGGTTTGGGCTCGGACTTTTCTGTTTCTATTTCCCTCTTATCATAATCACGATAAGGTTGAAAACAATTTTGGGTTTTCTGATTTTTTTTTTTAGGAATTCCTCATTTTTGAACATAATTTGGCTCAACAGTATGGATGAACCACGACTACAAGCCATACCCAAGGCGTAGGAAAAAAAATTCACTTTTTCGATTCGATTAAATTTTTTGAAAGATTGAAAACCAACATCGTCAGCCTCGGGACGACGGCTTTTTCTGTCCGGGCCTTCCGGATCCTCTCCTTTCCTTTTCTCAGCTGAACCCCCGGGTCCTTGGAGGGCGCGCTGAATTTTGTTCATTATTTTATTTTTTGGCCAACTAATTTTATCTTAAAATCATTAGTAACAACTGCGAGAACTTCACTTATTCATGCGCTCTTCGGATTTAGAAAACTCGAATTTATCTCTCCACACTTTTTCTTGCACATCTTGAGCAATTTCGAAACCTTTTGAAAAATTGAATCGATTTAATATTTTGCTTCTAACGAACAGGTTTGATGAATTTCTGATCAAGACGGTTACAAAGATCATCAGAAGCTTTGTTATGTTTTTTACGTGTCTATTTTTTCCCAAACTGACTTTCGGCGGCTGCGCGGAGCGGCTCTGTCCCAGTCTCCTTTTGCGCGCCGTAATGCCGAAACTTGCCCTCGTGGACGGCTGTAAATTTCACTTTTTCTTCTGTTTTGTTGGAAATCTGGACAGAAAATTTAATTTTCCTCAGCGCTATATTGCTCCTATTTTTAGCGTTCGAATCTCGTAGCTTTCTAATTTTTTCTACATGTGGAAAGGAAAAATGAACAGCCCTACTTCTATTAAAAAAAGTTTTGACTGCCAAATCTTGAAAACAGCCTTTTTTGGCCCTACTCAACCTATATCGGTCTTATACTGTTCAAAAAAGTTCAAAAATATCATTTTCTTTTCTTTGCGAATGGTACCAAAATGGTATGGTAGGAATGGTAAAATTTCGTGTAATTTATGATTTTTCAACTGAAAAATAAGAGACGGTAGAAGAAGTCTAGTTTTCATTGCTATTTTTAAAAAGAAATTGTCCAAAAAAAAACTATTGGGATCGGAAAACTTAATACTGTTCGAGCAAAGTTAAGAAAGATTTCACTACATCAACAGCTTTCATTTTTAAGTTGTCTAGTTAGCTGTTCTGAAAAAGCGGACCTGGGGGGGCTCAGCTCCTTCTTCTCTTTCTCCTTCTCCGTCTTCCTTCTTTCCTCCATCCGTATCTCCAACCTCGTTGGAGTCAGAGTCTTCTGTGATGACCTCGCCATTGTCCATCTTAATCAAACTTTCCAGTAAGGACATGTAAATCTTTTTCGATTTTTGTCTTCGGAATTTGAAAGTTGAAAATTATCTTCAAGTTCACTTCAACCATCAGAAAAGTATCAAACAAGTATCTCGAATAATATCTCGCTCTTTGATTTTTTCGAAATAGATTCGTTTGAGCAAAAAATGTAAGTCTCACATTCTATCAACTGAAACTTCGAAACTGAAGAAGCGAACAATTTTCAACGTTTGAAAAATCTGTACTTTGAATACTGACCACTTGCCGTAGGTCCAGCTTTTTCGGATTCTATAATTTTTTTTTCCGGATATAAAAGGCCACTTGGAAAGAAGTAAACACGATTTTTTTGATTTTAGTTAGGGTCCGCAAGCCATTTCTTCAAAACGATTCAAAAAATATGTTTTTCACACTCTTCGATAGAGGAGACTGTCCATTTTCATAATCCGTTTAGTTTTTGAAAAAAGGTCCACTAAGAAAAAAGTTATGGCCAGAAAACTAGCGCGCGCGGCGTACAACTGGAGGCAAAATCTCACGGTTTACCCGCTGCCGCACGCTTTCTTTTTAATTGTTTTTGTGCGTTTCTGGACCGTTTTTTTGAATCGGTTTTCTGTTCTGAGAGGTTGTCCGGACTGAGCCTCATGTTTTTGGTATAGATCTTTTGTATAACTCTCATAAGAATTTTTTTACAAAATATCAAAAAAACTACTTAGAAAAAAAAGGTCAGAAGGAATTTTTCAACTTATTTTTTTCTTTTTTTCTAATCAGAAAAAAATTATTATCATTTAGTTTGGAAAAAAAGAAAAAAATGAAAAAAATAATGTTATTTCGAAATAAAACAGGAAAAAAAGTGCAATTTGACTCCGAAAAAAACGGCTCCTGCAACATTTAAAAAGTGCGCATCGGTGTGTTTGACGCAAACACAGCTACGAACGCTTGCACGAATCCTTCCAAAATTTCAAAAAAAGTTGCCATTTTTTCGAGGTTTTCAAAGCCGTTATTTTTTTCGCGTCGTTAGATTTTTTTCATAATTTTTTCATTGATAGAGTTTTGAACGCTTAATAACATAAGCAAAAATATAGACGCGATCCTATTCTCTCATGCGTCAACGAGGCAGGCGAAAAAAAGGAGGTTTTGGTAAAATTCAAATATAATTTAATTCGCTGTCCCAATAATTAATTTCATTCTAAATTTTTTTATTTTTTTGAACACATTGTGAGTTTTTTTAAATCAAATAAAAAAAGTATACCATGTCGCTGAAATTTTTTTCGCATTTCAGCTTCAAAGTTTGGTGTCACTTTACAAGCTTTAATATTTTTTTCCGCGTCGTTAGATTTTTTTAAAAATTTTTTTACTCGAAAAAAATAAAGAAAGTGTTAATATATAACATGCTCAAAATTTAGAAGCGTTCCTAACTTGGTTTTTCTGAAACGCGACGATTTTTGTAAAAACTTGTCAGTTTTTTTCGTGTTAAATCTTACTTTTTTTCGCTTATTTTTTTGAAAAAAATACATAGTTTTAAAAAAATATTCAGTCTTGTAGAGCGTTGTCGATTACATAGATTAACAGAAACAGTTCATTTTTAAAGTGGGACTTTAGCTTGTATAAACGCCTCAAAACCGTTTCTGCAACAAAAAAATCGTCATTTTGGTGGCATGAAGGGGCGGGGCTTTGCGCCCCCTAATTTTAGTTCGAAGTTTGAATATTCACAATTTTTCTTGCTCTACTGACCTCATTTCTGAGAATCTTACCACCAAAACATGGAGAAAATTAGAAAATTGTTTTTCTTTTGAAAAAAAAAGGAACCGATTTACAAGATTTTCGGTGTTCATGTTCTCTTTTTTTCTGAGGGTTTCATTTTCTCTTCTCCCAAGAAAAACCCGGGAATAGAAGTGTTTCGAAATTGAAAATGTTGAAAAAAAAGGCCAGAAAACTAACCGTATTGCTCGGTGCCCCATTCCCATTTCCTTCCGGTTCTTCCCGGGACCTTACGGTTCCCTCTTCAACATCTTCCGTCTGTAAAATCATGATTAAATCGACATGATTCTTGTGCCTCGATCTTATTCATAACTTTTAAAATCTGGATTTTCTTTTGGAAATATTTCTTGTCCCTCTGAATTATTCGATTCATTTGAGACACGGATCGATCAAATCGAAACAGTAGATCCAACTTAAGTCTGTTTTCACGTTGGGAAAACAGGCGCAGACTGTGTTCCAAATGAAAAAAGATTCAAACGGATCTTCCCAATTTCGATTGGTCCGAGAGACAGCTATTAATAGGATATTTCAGTTTGAAATGAATCTGAAATAAAAAAAACGAACCTGATGGGCCATGGCGCCGGCAATCAATGTGAGCTCCAGGCGCTGTAAAACAGAAATTTTCTTTTTTTTTCTTCACAATATTCCACTCTGTCCTATGAGATGTGAAGGTTTTAGGACTCTTACAGATTGTCAGTTTTTGAATCTACCACTGATTTAATTGACATCAATTTTTCATACTAGATTCGGAACGAGTTCTTTCAAGCTCTCTTCGCTCCTTGGGGTCTCGATAAGAAACCAATCGATACTAAATCTGTCTATTTTCTGGTTTCCGGATCGGTTTATTCCAAAAAGCAGTTGAGGATCGCAGAAACTTTTCGGCTAAAGTTGATCTCGTAAATCGAATTTCACTATCCCACATTGTGTTCAATTTAAGACCGTTTGAGCATTAAAGGGTTTTCTGAATACAAAGGATTGGAAGAAGACTTCTTTTTGAAGATTTTTGACAAGAGATGGTTTAAAAAGGATTTTGATTTGAAAAAAAGCCGGACGGCTCGAAGAACTTACAGCTACTCCCCGACGATCCCTGCGGACCGCGACCTCGTATGCGGCCGTTTGTTGGCCCCTCAAAAGCTGGTTCCATTCCAGGAACGCGGCCAGCTATAAAGTAGCCGAATTAAAAGTATCAATCAATATTTATCAATATTTCTTAGTCATAATTGATCTTTTAGATGTAATCGACAAGTCAAAAATATAAATGTGATGATCTTTCTTTTGATCACGGGACTCATCTCTGTAATGAATTTCCAGAAGTTTTAAAAATTCTCAAAATATCTCTACACCCTGCATTTTCAAACACTAAGTCGTTAGATTAGCCCTGGTCCGCGAAATTCAAAAAAACCGCCCAAAAAATTGATAAAAAATTTTAAAGAGTCCCTGGAAGGTTTGAATTTTGCGGAAATCACTTTGAACACCGTATAACGCCCAAAGAGCCGTACTGAGATCCTCTAGAGACAAAAAATTAGACTTTCTCAAGCGTTGGCTCTTTTTTTCTCTTCTTAAAAAAATCTGGAACCGCTCCGAGTGAGTTCCTTGCAGAAATATTGAAGCCGAGTCAAATAAAACTTACGTTTTCGACCTGGTGCGGTGCAAGGCGCACAGAGTGGGTTGGAGGCGGCTGTAAAAGCAAATTAGTTTTGTTTTCGCAGTTGAACTTTTGAATTTGATAACTTTCGAAGGATAGAGTTGTGCCTCAACTCTTTGAGGTTTCTGAGAAAGTATGTTCTCTAGTTTTAATAACTCTTTCACAGCGTTCTAAAGCGGGGTTCCCGCCCCTTTTCTGAAAAGCATGCGGACGTTGCATGAGTGGGCTTGGCTAACAATCGTCTTTTTCGCGTCGTAATTAAGAGTCCGGATTTTTTGATTATTTGAAGGCTAGCATTTTTTTTCCTGACATTTATAGTTTCCAAGTGTTGCTAGTCATTTTCTATAACTCTCTTAAAATTTCGCAGTTTATTTTCTTGTGGTTTGATTGGTTCAAAGGGCTACATAATTGTTCTGTTCACGAAAGTGGAAATTTTTAACTCAGGTTTGATCTTGTATTCTTTTTTTTCCTGTTTAAGTAATTGAAAACTGATAATGTGATCGGTTCCTCGAGTTGAAATTTCGATTTTGTCTCTTAGGTACAGACCAATTACACCTTTTTTTGAATTTTTCGTCAAGTCGAAATTTTTCTCTTTTGCGCGGACACTGACAGCTTTTTTTCTTGTTTATTAGTTGGAAACTGATATTTTGATCGATTCTTGGAGTTGGAATTTCGATTTTCGGTTTTGTCTCTTGGATACAGTATTTTCTTTTATAAACAACGTTTCGGCACATAACCGAGCTATGGACACTTCAAAAACTTTCTAAAACGTTTAAAAACATTAATTAAAATTTTACGTGCATAGAAACAAAAAAAAGATTTAAAAAAACAATCGAAAAAAGTTAATAGCATGTAAATTAAAGAAAAAAAAGCACCTTGATTTTGATTGACAACGCTCCAAGTTACGCGCTCCATTGAGAATAGTTTGCGCCTCTTTCTGCGTGAACCCCGTTTTAGAACGCTGTGCTTTCTTTTCATATCATCTAGAGAAGTTCAGAGATTCTTCAGTACCTTCAATTTTTCGGTTTCATCTACCAAAGAAGAAATCTGTACTGTCCAGGACTACAAATCGGTCTTGGATTCGATCAAGGAAAAAGAACTCAAAATTCGAGACATCAAATTAGATGAGCGGTTTTCATATAAACTATGTTCTTTTAAAAGCTTTGTTGAAGATAGATTCATTAAAAAAGGTCCCAAAATTCACTCAAAGGGTTAAAAATATCAAATTAATAAATTCGAATCATTTATTTGAAAATGACCTAGGAACACGTTTACATCCCAAAAAAATGATAAAAAAGATGCTACACGTTTCATTTTGAATTAATATTCTGGAATGTCTGCTTTTCAAATAATTTTAGAGCAACGAACGGATTTTTCAATCATTTGAACTTTTTGCAAAGGACCGTTTTAAGAAAAAGCCTATATTTTAAAGACTTGTACCAATATTTCTGCCTTTTTTTCATGGAAACATTATTTTCATATGGCTGAGAGCCGTTTTGAACCCTGAAATATTGCAATCGAATCGAAAACTAACCGGGTCATGGGCGTCATCTGCTTGTGGAGGCCTTTGCCTTCCGTGGTCTTGATGGCGACTTTCGTCGCGTGTTGTTTCGTCCATACGGACTGAAAAAATCATTTTTATTAAAAATAGATCTGAAGAAAATTCAGTCTTTTTGAACTAAAATTCTTTTTCCTATCCTAATCTTCTTATAAAACCTTATATTGTCAGATAAAGTCGCAATAAATGAACTCCTAGAGAGTTTCAGGCCTACATACTGCACTGCTTCTGAGGATAGATCACCGTTTGATAAATATTTTCTGAACTTTATGGTTAACCATCATGATAAGACTGAAAGTTCCGTCTTGGTTCGAAGAATTTTTCTGGATTGAACATGGTATTATCAAAAGAAAAACCTTCGCTTTGGTGAGCCTGGCTCAGTTCGCTGTGTTCTTGGTGAACGGGTTGCTTGCAGACTGTACCTGTAAAAAGGATTTGGGAATAAGGATCAAGAAGAAGAAAGATAGAAAAAGAAGCTTTTAAAATCTACAAGGTTCCTGTCCGCGAGAAAATCTTGGTAAAATTAGTTGAAGTTTCATGAATATTATTCTGAAAGGTTTCTTTTTTATTAAATCGATTTCATGTAACAAATATTTTTGAAACGAATAAAATGAAACTAACTTTTCGGCACAGTCGGCTTTTTTTGAAATGCTGAATGATCTTCACGCGCTTCGTGTTTTGTTTTTTTTCAAGGTTTCTAAATCATTAAGTGAAAGACATTTTTCCGTCATTACATAACCGTTCATTTCTAAGTTTGTCACGTTTATTTATTTCTTCTGCCAATTTTTGTAAGGACCATTGTGAGATGAAATCTGTGAAATTTTGTGGATATAGTTGAAGAAATTTGGTTTCAAAAAAATTCGCACTTCTTTTGGCCCTATGAGGTTGATAGGTGTCCTTTAGTTTGTACATAAAAGCGTTTAGAAGACTGATATCATAAATGAAATCTCTAGAAGGAAATCATCAATGTTTTCCATTATTTGGAGCTTATTTTTCGGCTCTTGTTTCCTCTGTACATTTCGTTTTTCCCGACTTAAAAGGGCGGAACTTCTCTCTTCTCTTCTCTGCGCCCTCTTCGTCTCTCGACGACCCTCTCTTCTTGACGCACTGTTTCCATGATTCTCTGACCTCGCCGGTAAGGGAACAGAGAGACTCAGACACGCGAAAACTTCCAATTTGCGGCGGACGGGATATTTTTTTAGACTCGACGAAACACTGTACTGCCAGCCGTCGGTGGTCACCTGGCGGCTTTCGAGGCCTTCAGAGCCCGGGAATCTGGCATCGCCGAGTTCATCACCGAAGTCTCCGGATTCTCCGTCGGCGAGTACGCGGCCCTCGTCGCCGGCGACATGATGAGCTTTGAAGATGGTTCGTGGACGGGAAATCATAGAGAGAAGAGTAGAGAACACGATTTGTCCAGGAGGAGAAAATTCCAGTTATATATAAAATAAAAATATCTTCCCTGTTCAAAGGTGAATGATTATATAGCTAAATTTCCGGCTAACCAATTTTCTAAAGATCCGACTTTCCCTTGATAGAAAAATTCCTGAAAAAAAGCTCCAAACCTTTCTAGTACGAAAAAGCGCACTTCTTCTTTCCACCGAACCCTTTTTCATTCTCTCAACTGTCTTCTCTCATTTTGCACCCAACGGGGAAGACTTTTGAAGAAAAATCTGACGTGAAAGAACGCGAGGCGGCTACGTCATCAATGACCGTTCTTTCTCTGACGTCTCCTCCAGAAAGACGCTGTCTCCGCGACGCGTGTTGACTTTTACCTTCACGCAAAGTTCCAACAACTAAAACATTAAAGGTGATCCGTATCAGTGATAACCTTCACACTTTTTCTTTCAGAGATCGCGCCAATTTTCCGAGTCTGAACCGTTTGGACAACAACGTCTTCTGGGAAAATCCTGCCTTCTTTTGGAAAAATATAATATTTCTACAAGTATATTTCTTTCAAACACTGTTAACAATTATGATACTACTGATCCTGACTCGGACTTTCTGAGAAACTTTCAAGGGGACCCTATAGGGGATTTCATAGGGGCCCTTAAACCGTGTCGTAGGGGTCTCTATATGCATCTTAAAACCGGGAAAAAAAAGAAGTCGTCAATCTTTTTTTCCATGTGATAACTTGATTGTTACAACTGTTATGGAATTTTGAAAGAAATAAATGGGAGAATCCTCTAAGGGGACCCCTAAAGCTTTAGGGCATTAGGGATCAGACCATGAACCCTGATAAGGGCTTCTAAATTTTTGACCTGTTTATAGGTTGCTCAAACTACAAACCCCTATAGGGACCCCTCAGAAATTCCTTATTTGGTAACGCGAAACACGGACGTTTCTGGGCATTTCTAGTGACCACTTTAATAGCGTAAGAACTCTTAAGTGGCCCCTAGAATAGCCCAGTAACTTCCAGAGCACGTCCGGTTCGCATTACCAAGTGTCTAGGAAGAGTTCGACAAATCTAAAAAGAACTGCCAAAAATCACTTTAGTGATCACTCCATAATTCTCTTCAACTCCAACTTCTCAACAAGATTTTTTAATGAAGAACCCAAAAAATAGTACAAAAAATTTATCACTTGTCGAAAAAAGGACAAAATAAGAGCGCGTGAGATCATATTATTGACGATTCTTTAAAAATTGGCAAAAACAATCAGAAAAGAAGATTCTAAAACCCGTCGAGAACAGAAAAAAACAATGTACAGTTTTTCGAAACGAACTTTGTCATGGTAAAATGGTATAGTAATTACCAACATGCAATAGAAAATCTATTCAAAAATATACATCAAATTGAGAAAGACTAGATATTTTTCGTGTGAGTAAAACAACTGAAATGAAAGCGGCTAGTGTACTGTACTCAACTGTGGACCCGTGGTTGAAAAATGGATTACTGTAGGAAGATACGGTAGCTGATGAGATCAGACCAGGTAACTCGAAAGGGCGGCCGAATCCAACTCGACCGGCCGTTTCGGGTCCAACACGATTCCGTTCAGCATTTGCAAGGCATCAGTATAAGTTGGGGGCGGGGCTTCCAGGGAGACCACCTGGAAAGAAGATGATGACGTCATCTTTTGAAATATTCCAAAGAGGTTTTTTTTTTGTGGAAGAAACAAAAATAGACTCAGGAAGTTTGATTGAAAGTTTGATTTTCAATAAAATTATTATCCTAAAAATCTCGAATTTATATAATATGAGCAATACATTGCAATAAATTTCGAGCCGAAAGGAAAACTGAGAAATCCAACAATCTCACAGAGAATTGGGCAAAAAAAAAAAGCAAATCGGCCTCTAGATTAAACATTGCTCATTTTATAGGTCTTACAGCTCAAATTTCGAGTAAGATGAGGAATAAGAAGCAACAGGAAGCAAAACTATAACGAACCTGGTTATAACTTGGCGGCGGCTTGCTGTAGGCCCGCAAGTTGAGCTCCTTGATAATGTCGAAGGTTGTCGAGAACATGGCGTGGATCTCCAGGATGAAGAGCACGATCGAGAAGGTCAACCAGGCGAAAATACAGGAGGAAGGCGAAGTTTCGGCCATCTGGAGGCCGTAGAACAGGGCCGAGGAGGACAGGATTATCTGGAAAAATGGGAAGTTTATACGATTTTTGAAATTTGCGCTGACCATCGCCTGGGAGAAGATAACTCTGTGGAAAAAAGCCATTTTTATATCATTTTTTGAAAATTTTCGAATCTTCTAATCAAGGTAACAGGTTTGTCCAAGCTTGAAATGGCCAGAGTGGTTCCTATAAGGGTGAGGAGGAAAAACAGCTTCTATAAAGGGGAAATAGTGCTCACTAGAGGGGTGGTCTAAGGTGGTCCCTAGAAGGACAAGCGAATTAGGTAGAAAAGTTTGAAATTAAAAATGATAAACTGTAATTTTTATAAATGATTGATTGATACCTTTTTGAAAAGCGACATTTTTTGAAAACCTAATTTTTTGTTAGAATGCTTAAAATTTGTCTTTTTCCCACTTTAGTACCTTTTAAATATTTAATTTAATCAATACCGATTTAAAATATCCTTTTAAAGGCTCAAAACGTTTGAAAGAAAGCTTTTTCAGGACTTTGAAACTTATGAAAAATGAAAAAGAGATAAAAATTATAAAAATCCTTAAATTTCCAAAAATTTTTTTTGTACCCTTTTCTCAAAATTCCCACTCTCAGCTTGAAATACTTTTCTAAAGATGCCCTTTTTCTCTCAAACTAAGTAGCACCTAGTTCAAACTACCTCGAGTGCAGAAATTTCTTCTGAAAACAATTTGACATGCCGAAAAAAAGGGAAAAAAGACGATATCAGATGCGAAAAACGAGAAGAATCGAACCTTCATCAGGACGTTGGGCGAGAGAAAAACTGGCCGGAAATTGTAAAGTCCATACATGGCCATGAACACGACGATGGTGTTCACCAGGAAGATTAGGAATGACAGCTGGAAAAGTTGATTTTATGGAAGATTGACGTAGCTCAGCGGCTTAGAAGTTTTCAAGTGTTCAAGGGGTTTTGGTTCGAATCCTTCCAAGGTCGATTTTTTTTTTTTTTGTAAAAAGATAGACTTACTGGGAAAATTTTTAGTGGCCACTATAGGGTTTTAACGTTTTAGTGGCCCTTGTAGTAGTCAAATTAGTGGCCCCTTAAGGGGTTAAAAATTAGAAGCCACTATAGAGGTCTAAGTGCTACTACTAGACCACAAATAATTTTAGTGGCCCCTTAAGGGGACAATGGATCAACATAACTGGTTCAATCTGTTTGTTTTAAAATTATCAGAATTACTGGAAAGAATACTGGATCAAAAACTACTGAAGTGGTCACTAAAAAGAGAACCTCTATAGTGACCACTAAAACGGATAATTGTGGCCACTATAGAGGTGGGTTTAGTGGCCACTTTAGTGTCCTCTCCAAGCCGTCCTTGGCGAGCCTCTATAGTGGCCACTTGAAATTTTTCCAGTAACCTATAAAAATCCATAGAATTTTCCAATATCGATTTTTTTTTTGAGAAGATTTTCAAAAGTCTAGAGGGTTTTTAATTCAAATCCGCTCGGAAAAAAATGATTCAATACTATATTTTCTTTTCAAAAACCAACGAAGATCACCTTTCAAAACATGAAATTCAACTCCTTCTATTTTTTTTTTCAAGTTCATTATTTTTCTCACCTGTGATTCTTCGCCGCAGATTTCCAAAGTCAAAATGACGCTGTTGACGAAGTTGATCATCACCAGCATCAATAGGCACATTCTACTCTGTAAAAATTATTATATAGAACTATAGCTCAGTCGGTAGGACGTCCAGACGTCGCTCAAAAGGCCCTGGGCTCGGTTCTTCTCCTTGTTTTTGGCAAAATTGATTTGGCCCTGATAAGGTAATTCGATAAAACTTGTTCCAGCTACACAACATGGCTCATCCGGTAAGGAGTCAAAACATCGGTCAAAAGGTCATGGGTTCGATTCCACTTCTTGTTTTTGTCATCTTCAGAATGAAATTTAGAACTTGGTGATGGTAATTTGATAAAACGTGTTCCACATGTTAGACGGAAAATTGATTTTTAGAAAAATTAAAATAAAGGAGTATCATGGCTTCGTGGTTAAGGTCAAGTCGTCCCTAACAAGGCTAAAAGTTCAACTCTAATCCTTGCTTTTGCCATTTCAAATTCGACTTTATGTGGATAACTTTATCCAAAAACCTAACGAAAATAAGTGATACTTGGAAGTTGCGCTCCATAGCTCAGTCGGTAAGAGGTCAAGTCAACGCCCAAAAGGTCAAGGGTTCGAACCTTCCACAGTATTTTTGCCATTTTAGTTGACAATTAGAGCCTTATCAATTAGTTACGAGAAAAACACCTGACCCAATAACACAAAAACCAACATGAAGCATTTTCCGTCGAGCGCGAAGCCAATTTTCGATCCGAAACATTGTAGAGTGGTCCATTTTGCGGGGTTTTATTGGCTCGCGCACCCCTGAAATTGCGAGAAATTCAATTATTTCAACCGACTTCCACCTGTTGGGAAGTAAAGAAGTAGAACGAGGAAAAGTACGAAAGATTAACCGAAACAAGGTGGGAACATAGAAATAGTCGTGGTGGAAATCAACAAGGAAACAAACTGTTTATTGCGTTTTGAATTTCGCGACAACAGCGAAAAGAAATAAATTCATGGAGATCTGTTCGAAAAATAGTTTTTTGGGCCGAAAATATTTTGAATGAATGGGAAATCGGATTTCATCTTTAAAAACACGTTTTGAACTGCCTCGAAACAGGTGAAATTCGTTTTTGAACTTCAAAAAGTGGAACAGAAAATACCAAAGCAGTAGACAACATTTTAAAAAAGTTTCAAAGTTTGAAGGGTTCAGACTTAAATTATAGATTTTTCATAGGAAGTTCTTTGAAAAAGTTCATGATAAACAAAATATTTGGTCGCATTGAGAATGGCTCGAAAGGCCGTTGCCCTTTAAAGTTGACAGTCAAATAATCTCCATCAATAGGTGCCGATCGGCGAAAGTCGTTTTATGGTCGGGCACACCCGAAAAGCAAAAGCCATTCTCCAAGCGATCAAAAAGCTTTCGACAAAAAGATTTGATTCAAAACTGATTGAAAATATCATTAAAACAGTTCTCCCCTGATCAATAACGCTTTGGATCGAAAATCAGATCAAAATGATAGGAAACGGGTGCAAAACAATATTTAAAGAGAGAAAAAAAGAGAGAAAAGGGCCGTGAGAACTTCGGAGGCGGTCCGATCGGCCACGAGACATTTCTTTTTTCTTTTCCTCACGCATTTTTCAATTCGAATAAGAACATCATCAGAATTTATAGGCATGAAAAAAACAAGAATATATGTGTTTTCTGAACAATCGTCGTCTTGGGCGGAGAAAAGCACAAAAAACAGTCTTTATTTACGATTTTCGAACTGAATTTGGAGTGTAGTCTATCTTTTGTATTTTTGCTTGATGAATGATTCAAAGTATCTTGTCTTTCGAATAGAAAAACTGAGAAAGAAGGAAAATGAACTGAAAATTTAGAGGATCTTTAAAAAAAAGTGCTCTAGTCCTTGAAAAGAAATAATAAACGAAAACAGAGATCAAAAAAGTGGAAAACGGGTGAACTTCTAAATTTTCCTTAAGTTTAAATTTTAAAAAAAAACTCCTAGATTTTTTCAAAAAAAATTTCAAAAATGGAAAAAAATCCAAAAAAATGAAAATTGTTCAAAAAAACTGCCGAAATGGTGGTGAAAAAAATTTAATTTTTTTATCGTCAAAAAAATCTTCTATACAGTAAAATCAAAAAAATACAAAAGAATTGCTTTGAACCAACTAAAACCAAAAAAAAAAATGAAAAAAAAATCCTCAAGTTCCAAGTTTTTTCAAATGTCCGTTTAACCTTGAAAAATGGTTTTTTTTCACCAATTTTCCTCTAATTCTTGCTTTAGGACTTCAAAAACTGGTAGCTATTAAGAAATTTCATCAACCACAAAGAAAATACAGAGAATATTACTGCTTGGGGTCAAACATTGGCGTCTCCTCCAAAGAGGGCGGACCCATTTCAGAATCCGCCCATTTTATGAAAAAAACGAAGCTACAAGAAATGATGGATGAAGGCGAGTTTGGCATTGTTCTTTGAGATCGGATCTTCATGGGAACGGGATAAGATTATGAGAGGCGTATGAAGAAATAGCCGCGGAGGAGATGGGCTTTTGCGCTCCCCCAGACTGCTTCTACCATTTTAGAGAAAAATTGTTAAGCCGAGGAGAAAATAATATAAACAGGGCTCGCATAGCACTTTGACAGGAGAAATATTATAATTGCGGGCCGAAAAGTTCTCAATCTCTCTACAAATTTGAGTCAAACCAACAATTTAACGCGAAATTGCATAGCATTGGTTAGAAAGGCCTTTGAATCGAAGCGATAAACTTTTCAAGTCACTTTTTCTTTTCAAAGGGGCCATTTTATTTAAGTAGAGGTAGACTTTAGAGGAGACCTGTTTATAGTTTGAACTTTTCAAAAAGACGTGATTTTTTAGAAAAAGTTATTAAAAAACATTTTAAAAAACGATTTTCCTTGACCTTTTTTTTTTCGAATTGCCGGTCAAAAAAGTGATTTATATACATTAAACATTACTATATTTTCTTTTTTTTTCAAGAAAGTTTCATAAATTTCCAAAAAATCTAACATCCTCTAATAAAAATACTTTGAAGTTGCACTGAAAATCGCTTTCTGATAATTTTTAAGATTCTTACGACAAAATGAGTTTTTCGAGACTTAAAAAGGGCTTTCAAATCTTCATAAAAACGCTTCAAATTACGAAAACCTAAATGTAACAAGGCACAAAAAAAACACAAAACTTGGCAAATACTTAACTAAGTAACATGAATATTGCACATGTTTTGGCGCCGGGGCCATAATTTGGGTTGATTTCGACCTTTTCTCGCATTATCCTTCCTTGACCTTATTCATAACAATTGTTATTCGTAACGAGCAAAATTATAATGGGTATGTAAATTTTGCACGTGTTATTGGGTCAACAGTAATGCGTCAAGACATTCTTCGAGAAGTCTGGAAGGAAGGAATTCAAAAAAAGTACTTAAGTGGTTTCTAGAAAGTTTCAGAGTAAGTTGATTGAATAAAGTATATTTTACTGCAGGAAAAAACAAAAATTAAAATTAAAAACTCCCGATTTTCGAGCTTTATTTGTTCATGTTGTTCGAGCGATTGGAAGAAAAAAACTATCCTATTTTCTTCTTTTTTGTATCTTTTCGTATTTTAAAACTCACTGTCACAAATTCCCCTAGTTGTCTTAATCCTCTTATCAAACATGATAAGTTCACTAGAATGCTCAAAAACCCGATTAACTGAACAAATTTGCATGGAAAGACCAAAAATGTGACTCTTTTCGAACTTTTTTTTCTATTTAACAGTGAATTGAGAATGATTCGCAACAATAAAGATAAACAAAAATTCGTGAATCGCGTTTCAAACTTGAGTTGAAACTTTGATTATCGGGTTGAGGAAAGTTTTGCACGAAAATAAGGGGTAGAACAGAAAAACGTATCAAAATCGGTAGAACTTTACGAAAAAGCATTCAAAAGAAACGGAAAAACTGGTCCTCATTCAAATTTCGTGCTAACAATTGGACCTTTGGACAATAATGCGCAAACAAAAGAGGGAATAACTCCGCCTGCCGTAGGCAGAACCATCGTGTCCTCGGTAGTATAGTGGTGAGTATCCGCGTCTGTCACATGCGAGACCCGGGTTCAATTCCCGGCCGGGGAGAAATCTTTTTGCCCTTTTTCGTAACCTTCATTTTGGTTATTTCAAGAGTTTCAAATGAAGAAAAAGCAAAGAAATTTCATTTTCCAAGTGAGAAGAGACAGCTGCTCGGAGTTGGAGAGAACGCGGAAGGCTCTCAACTGTCAACAGACGAAGGGAGAACAGCTGCCGGCCAAGTTCAACGTCACAGAAAAAAGAGAAGAAAATGGTTACTCGAGTTACTTAGGATCGTCTTTCAGGTTTTTTGAAAAATAATTCGAGACCAGGTTCTTCTGTGCACTTTAGAATTCCTGAGAAAATAAGATTAACTTTCTCTGCAAAGAAAATGGGCTTAAGCTGTTTTGCTAATGTACTGGAGTCGCAGAATGTTCTCTGAGCATTACGTACGAAAAGTTAATTTAGAGAAAGCTGGAGAGACGGAAATGAAAAGGAAAAATCAGGCTCTCTTTCGACATGAGAAAATTATGCTTCGGATTTAGTACACTTCTAGAAATAGTCAAATGAAAGGTCGGAATTACTTCTGGAAAAGGTTTCGAATCGGATTTTCCTCTGCAGACACTCTGCAATTAATGAGATAGAACGGAAACTGAAAAATGGAGGAAAAAACTCAGATTGGAAAAAAAAAGGGAGAAATATGGGTCCAGGAAGTGAAAACTCCAATTAAAAGCTCTCAAGCAAACCGAAATTACTCAAGCTATTTGTTATTCTAGGAACGCTACAATATTTATTATTTATAGTTGCCGTTGAAAGAAAAAGCAATGAAATACAGAAATTTAGTAGTTTTTTATAGTTACTCAATTGTAGGAAAAAAAGAAGTTCCGGTGGAGATTTTAATAACCTCAACTTGCTGAGGAATTTGACTTAAAGTTGGCTTTCAAAATAAATCTCAAACCTCATCTTGAATATCTTTCGATTAATCCATCGTTTTCATGATTCTTATTGAAATAAAAAAATTGAAGCAGAAATTGAAGCTTTTTCGCGAAATGAAAAATTATGCTGAACCCTTATTCACCTCTTTTTGAATAGGTAGATTTAAAGCTTCAAGATTATATTTTGAGGAAACTTTCTGAACCTCTTTACGTTAACATCGACTGCTTGAAAACTTTACAAAAATTTAGAATTTGAAGAGAAGTTCGGATTTTTTTTCTGGGAAGAACATTTGGAACTGACTCTTCGCTCGAAAATAACCGTTTCCCGATTAAAAAAAAATCTATGAGATCGAGCTTCAATTATGCCAAACTACACGAGAAATGAGCGAAAGATCAAGATTCATGGGAAACCCGGGGGGGCAAAAAGGCGGGAAAAAAATAATCCTCTTGCAGCTTACGCAAAGAACTGGTCCATGCATCTGTTTTTTCTTCTCCTTCTTTTCTTGAAGGGCGACTAGGAACGCGGCGAAGAGAGGCAAAAGCCGTGGGAAACCGAATTTCATTTCCTTCTCTCTTGTGTCCCTCATTCTCTCTACTCGAAGCTAGGAGTCGTTAGAGCTTTTAGAAGAAACTTCCTTATTTGGGGGGAGGAAGCGAAATGAAAAAGAAGAGGAAGAAGACGTTAGGTTCGGCGGCGAAAAACAGCACGGCGTCAATATAGAAGTGAGGGTTCCCCCATAAGAAGTGATGTCATTCACCGGGAAAAGTTGCTCCGAGGATAATCTGTAGCGTGAGATTAAAGTGAAAGACTAGTCTTTAATGAACTATCTTACGGGAAAGATTAGATTAATCTGGGAAATGAGACAATTCCGTGAGAAAAAGCTACTTTCCAATGAGAAAGTGGCGAGAGCTCTGAAAAGCTGAAGAAATCGTTTTACGGTTCAAAAAAATCAAAGAAAATCATTTCTGAGCTTCTTCAGAAAAAATTTGAACTTGTCTAGTAATTGGCGTCATTTATTGAGAAATGTCGCTCCGACGCTAACTTTCAACACGAATGCGAAAAAAGAGAAAATTTGTAAAATATAGTAAGGAAGCCAGACACTCGTAAAATATTATGAGTTCTTTCGTTCATTTAAAAAAAACTGTTGAAAGATTGGATAAAAATCGACCCACCCTTTAAGAAGTCACTTGAGTTTCAAATTGAGAAAAATTGAAAAAGTATTTTCTTGTATTGAAAGAGAGATCTGTAAATAATGACTCAGTTTTTCACTTTTTGAATAAAAAAAAAGTTCAAAACTATCGATATTTAATTTGTAACTGATAACTTGGCAGTGAGCAGAAAATATCTTGAAATTATAAAAAAATATTTATTTTTTTCACCGTAGAAACTTTTTTTAAGAATGTAATAGCGATAATTTCGCATGTTCCTCAGATTTTGTGAAAAAAATTTCATATCATATTCATGATAAGAATCTCAAAAATTGACTCATCAATTTTCCGGGTTTTCAAAGATTTTAAAGCTGAATTTCTGATTCTCCATAAACCCAGATATCTTTCACAAGTTGAAAAAACCGATTTAAAGTTTCCAGTCCTTCATATTGGACCAGACTTTTTTCTCCTTTGCCCATTAAAACCCAAAAATACGCTAGACAGAAGATGATATCAACCATTCGAAAAAAGGCGGATTCACAAAAGACGCCAACCGTAAAATGTATTATATTGTCTCGTTCGAAATGCCACACACGCAGAGAGACACGCAAAGCAAAAAGCCGGACAATGGCTGTACTACGATTCGGTTCCGACAATTGAAATTCAGGTGCACGAATTTATTAGAAAAAAAAGACCAAAAATTCCTGGAATAAAATGGAAATGCGAAGTAATTCGTTAAAGAAGGATAATCTGGAAATTACTGAAAAATTAGGGAAATTAACTTTTTCAAATCCATTCATAAAAAAACCATAAAACTTTAAATTTAAGTCTTGTTTTAAAATTTTTCAACATGAAACTTTCAAGAAATTTTTTTCTGAAAAAAATTGAAATAAAAAAATAAAGTTCGCTTAAAAAAACGAAAAAAACTTCGGAAGTTGTAACGAGTTTCCTATAATCTCCAACTTGAAAAAAACAAAAAAACAAAACAATTTCCTATTTTTTTGACATGACTTTGAATCAACAGGAAATTAATGTGACAGCTTCGGAATGCTAAATAAATTTCACAGCAAAAAAAAAGTAAAAAAAAAAATAAGCTTCTTTTCCCAAAGGTCATTTTCAACCGTATAAAAGCCCTTTGAACAGCCTTGAAAAATTAAAAGTATGTAAAATAAGAAAAAATTTCAAAAAAAAAAAAAAATTTCAAAAAGTTGATTGGGCGTCGCAATGGAGCGCGTTTTAATCTGACTTGAATAAAGGCGCAGCACTGCATTTTTTTTCAAGTGTTTCAAAAGACATTTCGAAGTCAAACTATAATGAGTATCATGCCGTGTTCAAAGTAATTTCCGCGAAATGCGAAATTGTCTCTGACCCTCCAAAATTTAGTTATCTTTCTCTTTCTCTGACGGCTATTTTGAATTTCGCGGAATCACTTTGAACACGGAATCAACTGCAAGAATTGAAAAAAAAAATAGTGGCTAACAGAAAAAATCTAGATTTGAAATTAATTATTTTAGATCCCTTTTGCTCACCGTTAACGTTTTACTATTTTTTAAATTTTGAGCTAACAGAGAGCTCAAAAAACACAGAAAAATCAGAGAAGACGCCGATGATCACCTTAGACAAGATAATGACTGACAAGATAACCCAAGCAGCACGGGGAAAATCAAAAAAAAAAAAAGAACCAGACGAGTGGCTTAGGCCGACAGCTTAATGCAGTGTTGACTGTTAATGCTACGTTACGATGATACCGGTCCGCTCCTTAAGAAGCGCCGTGAGGGGAAGGCCGACTATAACCACACAGTGTAAACTTTTGGCGTCGTGGATAGCCCTTCCAAGGCAAATATGACTGTTTGAACCGAAAAGTAGCAACGGTTTGAGGCCTTTTTGGTTGAATTCTATATAAATTAAGCCAGAGAAAGCATAAAAATTGAAGAAATTTTCGAAAATCCTTTTTCCTCTCATAGTGACTTTCCTGTCAGCTAGTCACAAAACTCGGAGAGCTTCCAAAAATATTTCGGTCCACTTTTTGAGACTGAAATCACTGAAAGACCGATGTTTTCATGACGAGAAAGGAAGAAAATGACTTCATTTAAAATAAAAATCAAATTTTATACCTCCTTCCAAACTAATTTCACTGACAACTTGTAGAAAAAAATTTAGCCAAGTTAAAAAAATAAAGGTACCGGAATCTTGAAGTTATTGGAAACTAATGTTAAAAAAATAAATTAAAAAAAGCCACAAAAATATCTTCATTTCGAGTGGAGTGCGCTCTAATGACAAAACTCGCCTAAATGAGCTTTTTTTGCTTTTTCATTGTAGCAAAAGTTTAGTCATCGCTTGGCCAAGGTCGTTATATTTAGGATCATGGTAAAGCTTTCCTAGTGACCACTTTAGCAGCCGCAGTTCTCTAAAGTGCCCTAGAACTTCTCAAAACAAAAGCCTAAACTTTGCACCCCTACTTTTGAGATTTTTCATGATTGTGACTAATATTTTCTATCTTTTTTTCAAATGACATCAAGCCATTGCTAACTTCTACTCATTCGACATTCCAAGTACAAAAACTTGTAAAACCTGAGAAAATGAATGATTCACCGCAAATAAACCTTTTTTCCCATGCTCCGCTGAGTAAAGCGTAAAGTTCAGACGGAGACCTCCTATTTTGCAAAACGCGAGGGAAACGAAATTATAAATTCCAAGAGAATGGAGTAAACAAGATTGATCTTTGGAGCACTTTTCGTGCACTTTGCATGGGATGTTGAGTTTTGAAGATATAATTAGAATATTTGTTGTGAAGTTGGAAATACGGAGCGTGAGTAGACTAGTAGTTACTTGATTTCTATCAATATTTATGGAAAATTTTGAATCTTAAAAAAAACTTACCGAAAAAAAAGCAAAAAGGGAATCCTTCGGAGGGAGTCGAACCTTGGTAAGAGACTTTTGAATATCAAAACTGCATTTTTATTGTTCTATTCATCCGTCTTTGATCATCTTCTCTTATGGGAAGTTTCGGAAAAGTTTGAACTTTGTTGGAAGTTTCTAGAACATCCCAGGTATCCCAGGTAGCGCAGTTAGCAGCGTGCTATCCTGCAAAACTCATGACCAAGGTTCAAACCCTTCCGAGGCGAACTTTTTTGCACTTTTTTTTGGTAATCGAACTGACCAATAAAATCAAAAAAAAGCCGCTGAATCTTCTAGAGAGAAAATAGAAAAATTGTTAACGTTAAATCGTTTTTTTAAGTTTCCAAACTTCAGACATCTTTACTTCAACTTAGCTTGAAGTTCTGAAAAAAATGCTCATGGAAAAAAAAATTATCATAAACTTTAAAAACCAGCCCAGATGATAAGACCACAATCCAAAGGCGAGGGATCAAAAATAGCAAAAGAAAAGGAAAAGGAAGGAAGACGGCCGTTTTCGCTGCTTTCGTTGTTGCCGTTCGTTTGGCCTTCAGAATGCGGCTTGTCGTTGATCGGCCAAAGCCAAAAACACGACGAGGGAATCCGGTTCTCCCAAGGGATGTCTTTGATTTGCGCTGACGTAACCAGAAAGGGTCAATGAATACGTAATTTAGATCAAAGGCATATGAAGAGTGCAAAACTTGGCATGTGGAACTTTACATAACGGTCTGGGGGGTCTTTTTATCTGTTCTTCAGGATTGTTTTTTTCGCAATTTCCCTGGGACAATGAACCCTATAGGGATCGAAGCGGGCCTTCTCTGCGCCCTCCTCGTCTCTCGGCGACCCTATCATATTGACGCACTATTTTCGCGTTTCTCTGACCTCGCCTGTGAGAGAACATGAGACGCAGACATTCGAAAACTGTCAAGTCACGGCGAACGGACTATATTCCACATAGGATAAAACTCCCAACAGAAACTTAATTGGAAGGCTCAGTCGGTAGCGCTTCAGCTTGCAGATACCATAACCAAAGTTCGAATCTTCCCGGTGTCAGCTTTTTGTTGTCATGTATCAATGTGAAATTTTATTGCGACAAAAAAAAACAGCTTCAAACCGCCGAGTTTCCATTTTCACTACTAAGTTTCTTATAAGCACCAATGAAAAGCTCGACGAACATGACACCAGACGCGACGATGCAAATGCAGAAATGAACAAAGAAGACGGAGCCGAGTTCGGTCAAAGTGAAGGCCGACGTCGCCGGCTTGGCGTACAGCGAGACTTCTGGGTAGGCCGGAGTGTAGTGGTTGTCCATCGTCTGCAAAAACTTCGGAGCATCTGGTCCATTTTCCACAGTTTTTCTCGCGAAAATCTTGAGTTCTCTTATTATCGCCACACCCGACCTAAAGCGAGATGCGAAAAAGGCGAGACTGATAGTTTCTCTGGAGAGTTTTTGAGAAAAAAACATAATTTATTCCACGTAGATCAAATTTTTAAGGCATTTTTTTGATCTACTAAAATGGATAAAATTGATTTTTTCCTTGTTATACAATCAAGATTATCTAAAGAACATAATATGAAAGTTTTATCCATTTTTCCAATTGTGGCTTTGAAAACTCTTATTCCAATTTTGCCGTAATATTTTTCCACTTTTTCAAAATTGCCTAAAAAATCTCCTTTATCTCATTTTTGAGCTCTTCTCAAACTTGGTCGCATTGGGAATGGCTTGACCCGTGGCGGTCGCGCTGCGGTTAAAAGTGTCATCCCAAAAAAAGCTAAATTTTTTGAAGCACTGATCTTCAAGTTTGATTATCCATGGACCGTTGAAATAAGCTGTTTTTTTTTCAAATCTTCATTTTTCTTAAGATTGTAGATCTAAACAAAGTCAGAAACCGAAACCAGAGAAATCTATATAAAGATCAACGAAAACCCTTGCAAATCAAAAAGATCCAGTTCTTCTGCGTCGTGAGATTGATTCTATGACGCAACTAAACTTATGATTTTTTTTGGAAAGTCCCCAAAAAAGTTATTACAAACCTCAAAAGCCACGATCATCCCAATGATTGCTGAATTGAGCTTGTTGAGCTGAGAAAAGCCCTTTTTGACCGGATAACCGGCTGGACAGACCTGAGAAAAAATTCGTGGGTCAGTAGGTCGTTCTAGTGTCTTTTTAGTCAATTTCAGAGCTTATCCTGCAGATTCCAATTTATCTCTGACTTAAAAAATTAGGAAACGATCCTATTTGACAGGATAACCGGCTGGAAAGACCCGATTTCAAAACGTGTTTTTTTTTTACAAAATATAAATCGATTTGAAAAAAGTTCCTTTCACAATTAATCATTACAGCTACGAAGCTCCAAAAGACGACAAAATGAAAGCAAAAAAATTTTTTTTCCTGTTTTGTTTTTCAAAAAAGTTCCTTTTTACGACCCTCCAAAGAACGCCAATTTGATGATAATGATGAAGTGATTTTTGAATATTTTTATTTGAAAACGAAAAATTTTTAATACTTCATACGACACTCCAAATGACGTTCTTTAGGAAAAAAAAATGAATTTTTCTTTTTTTTTTAAATTTTTTTTCCGAATTTTCATCATCATAATAAATCAAAAATGGTATCCTGATTGTTGAATTAGAAAACATTAAAATAAAGGAATGGTTCAGAAAAATCTTCTCTTGCAAAAAAAAAATTTCATTCGATTTTTCTGTACTCATTTGAAAAGTCCACAATAGCTTCAAATTCGAAACAACTCACCGAGAAATCCTTGATAACCCAAACATCCGAGTGATAAACTTGCTGGGTCCAGAGAGATATCTTCGACGGGATCCTCTGGGTTGGATACCAGGCAAATCCAACTAAAGGTGGGTTTTCCTGGAAATCTTAGCTATTCCTTCAAATAAAAGTCGATTTTTCTTGCCAGCTTAGCGCTCTCCAAGTTCAAAAAGCCAAGGTCGCCGATTTTGGGCGGATATTTGGTCAGAATCTCGGCAAATAAGCCGTAGCACGTCTCCACGGAGATCTCCTGTGGACATTCTGGGATTCGGTCGGCCGACGCCGTCAGAAGCCTGTATTTCCCGCTTCTGAACCTTTTTTTTGGTGTTTAATCCGATTGGAAGGCAAAGATTGATTTTGAGCGGTCAAAGAAGAATTGTGAACTCTTAGGGAATTAAAAAAAGGTGAAATGAGGTGGAAAAGAGAGCAGCGGCGGATTGAAAAGACACCAGAGAAAGATAACTTCTCTGCGTCTCTTCAGGTTAACGTTACTTTCTCCTTTTCTTTTGAACTTTAATTACCGTCCCAGTTAATGAAAATTGACGATTTTTTTCTTTTTTTACAATGAAAGGAGGTCTTCTTTTGATCATAACTTTTCTATTTTTCATAATTTTCTGAAAGTTTAAAGGTTTGTGGAAACTTTGAGTGTTTGGAGTTTTACGAAAGTTTTATTAATGTTCAATTTTTTGGACTAGCTCGAACTATCTGAATTTTCAGAAGTTCAGCGATGCCTATGTTGATTCCTTAAGGTATAATTTGAAACTCAAAGCCCCCACTTCAAAATAGTCAAAATTAAAAAAAATATTTTTCCCTCAATCTTGTAAGGTTCAATTTAAAAACTTTTCCAGTTTTCTGAGAAATTGAAAGAAAAAACCTCAAACTATCGATGAAGCCGTGAAAATTGGTGAATGGAACCTGAAACTTGGGCTTCAATGGAGATCTGTTTGATTTTAAACTCACCTGTTTTTTGGCCGAAACAATCAGCATCCCACTAAGTTCCGAGGTGTAGTAGTCGATAAAGACGTGGAACCAGGAGATGATCCAAATCGCCGAGAACAACTTTAAATTTTAAATTATGAATGAAACCATCAATCGCGAATAGAAAGGCTCGAAGCAAAGCGGTTCTTTCAAAACGCGCCCGACCAAAACTGAGTTGCGCGCGGTGACATTAAATGTTCTTAAAACCACATGAGTGGTGAACCATTCCAAGTGCGACCAATGCTGAAGATTACATGAAAAGCGAAGAATTTCGGCTTGGAGCTCGAGCGAAAATCAAAATTGAACGAGTAGGAGATCACATGGGCCACGCTTTGGTGCACACTTCTGGAATTAAAATGTTTTATTTGAATGATTTTTTCACATCTCATGAAAAATCTGACCTGTCTGCGCTCTCTTCTCTATCAACGAAAAAATGAGAAAACGTAGAAAAGTCAGATTTTTTTAAAAGATTACTGGGGAGAAAAATCATCCCCACGTTATGATTGACTCATTGTCTTCCCAAAGCTCCACCATTCTCATCAAAAGAAAAACGGAAGTGACAATGAAGAAAGTCACAGCGAGCATCAGCCAAACGTGTGTCGCGAAAGGCCGGAAAAGGAAGCCGACGTCTTCGGAACGGCGCGGGTCGCTCATCAGGTACACCTTAGAATTGTTATATCTCATTGGTCTATTATCAACTTTTTTTTCCCTCGTAACTAAAGAAAATTAATGATAGAGAGATGGAAAGAGCTTCTAAAAATCTGAAACCCCCTATGAACGACTAAATTGTACAAGTACATTCATAGCTCGTGGCGGCCTATCATTTACCCGCCTCTTCTTTTTATATGAAAATGAGGGTAGAGTAAAATAGAGAAGAGGGAACAGACAGGTCAGACTTTCTCAATCGTAACAAATGAAAATGATAGATTTCCGGCTGTCATTTCGGAAGATTTTTGGAAAAAAAAACGATCAAGTCTCCAACTCATGCCAAAGCTTCAATTTTGAAAAAAAAACCTATTTTCAAGTGAAGGTTCTTCCAAATCCTAGCCTTGAGTGATCTCATCTTCAAAGAGGCAATCTAATGTTCAAAGTAAGGTTTTGCTTCGTTTCCCGATGAAAATTTCTACTGGGATTCTGCTTCTAAATTACAAGCTTAATGACCAACCTGATTGACCTCAAGTTGAGCCGGGTAGCTGAAACTGAGGGCCGCGACTCGTTCGGGAGTCATTCGGAACATCCCGCAGGCCATATCGAGCTCTCCTCTTTGAACATCGCCAAGAAGTCCTGTAGACAATTTTTTATTTTAAACCAGCGAAACTTCAATGAACTTATGCGGCATTAATCGAAAAATTTAAATTTTTTAAAACTCTTTATTGCAAGCTGTAAGTGCGCTCTAACGAACTGAGCTTCCAATAAGCTAGCCACGCCCCTTTTTACCTCCAGTAGCCGTTCCATTCGATTGAATATATCCAATGTGATTATCGTATTGAACAAGTTCGTAGGTCCAGTTCAAAGTCTAGAAAGTTGATATTTTTTTTTTCAAATCGACTTTTTTCCACTTTCATAATCGTCACACATTGCTCAAGTTCCAAAGCCAATTCGTCACCGATTTTGTATAGTGAACCTGAAAATTTTTTCTAAAAACCTCAAAAAAATGAAATCAAAACCTTTATTATTCAAGCTCGTGTCATAGCCGATGCGCAGCCGTTTCATAGTGAAAAAATGAAGATGAGGCAAAAAAATAGAAATAACTAGCATATTCTGTTACCAACAAATGATTATATTTCATTGCGAGGAAAAGTCCAAAACATTCAGTTTTCTATAGCGAAGGTTAAGCTCCGCCTTATTTTTGGGTTAGGAATTGAGGTTTTTATATTTTTTATTTTTTTAGTAATTTAACCGTCTTGGGACGGTAGTAGGGGGGCGTGGTCTGTCTGCCCTCTCCACCAGCCAGGCACTTTTTTTAAGCCGTGTAATTGTTCAATTTTTACGGGATTTGATGCGCCCGACTCAAAACGGTTTGCGAGTAGAGAGATATCCAAATATAACGGCATTTCCTTATCAGACTTCAAGACGCACCGGACTCAAAACGGCTTGCGAGTAGAGATATTATTTAGTGTTGAGGCATTTCCTTGTCCAATTCAAGACGCGCCCGACTCAAAACAAGCAGAGATATTTTCTAGTTTTACGGCATTTTACTGTTCCATTTCAAGACGCTTCAAGCCATTCCCTATGCGACAAGTTATAATAAAACCAGGTGAAATATTGAAAATTTTCGAAAGTTATTCCATAACCGACCTTATTCGTTTGGTTTCGATGCCTACAGGATATTTCAATTCATTTTTATGTACAATAACCAAAAAAAAAAGTTAATCAGAATCACTAAAGGAAGAAATGGAATCGGAATCGAGCGAAGAGCCGTTGGTGTCGGCGAATTGAGCGTTCGGTGAAGCTTCATCAGGCTTGCTGAAGTTTTTTTTCAGTTTTTCGGAACTTAATAAATTGAAACCTCAAATAAGTTGGATCAACACCTTCCGAATGCATTTTCAGTTTCACGGCTTGTTCAGGAACTCCCTGGAATAACTACTGTTTGAAAGACGATTTTTTGAGCTTTGACAATGGAGCGCAAACGGTTTTGAAGTTTCAGCCTTTTTTTTTTCAGAAACTCAGCAATTTTGAGGGCTTCACCTATCGAGCGCCAAAGCGAGATATTTTTTTTCTAACACGAACCTTGGTATCGCAAATCGGAGAAATTCTAGTGACCACTTTAGTATCGTCAGACCTCTTAAATGATCCCTAGCAACGTTCGGAGATTTGCGTTATTAAGATCCGAGAAGACTTGACAAACTTTTTTAGTATTGTCAATGAAACTTTCTTTTTTTTCAATGGAGCGCAGAAGCTTACCATTTTCAACATTTTGAAGTACTTTGCGTAAATCGGATCATCTCGTACAAGTAAACTTTGTGAAGAAGAAGAAGCCGGTTGAGGTTCTGGCTGAGAAGGAGCTGCGATTTCGACATTCTCAAACAAAAAAAAATTTTTTTCCTCCAGTAAGGAGAAAATTACAGTAGACGGAGCTATAGGTTCCGGCTCAAACTTTTCAGGAATCGGCTCAATCGGAACTGGAACTGAAACGGGATCTGGTGCTGGAGGAGCTTGTCGAGATTCGGTTCGATCAACGAGTTCCACTTGAGATAGCTGAACTTATCCAGCTCAAAAGTATGAACCTTTTTCTTACAAAAAATAAAAAACTTTGGCCTCCGTGATACGAGAAAAAATCAAGTTCTTCGAGAAAACTAGTCCAGAATTGACTTTCCAATGAAAACTACTTGATTTTTTCGGATTTCGTGGGCGTGAATGTAGTCTAGTCTCCAAATATAAGTGCACCTCTCATGTTCGGTGAGTGTTTTTTGGCCCTCTTGAACTTATTTTCGATCTTTCTCTTTTTTAGAGTGCGTTTGTTTTAGTTTATTTGAAGCTTTTATGTATTTAAAAGGTTCCAGAGAATTTAAAGAATGACTTGATGCGTTGCGGTCGCGCTGCGGCTTGAATAAAAGTTTTGAAGTCGATAGTTTATCACTGTCTTTTTTTCAAAGAAAGATGCTTGATCAGAGAAAAAGTTCGCTAGAGCGTACTTTCTTTGCTGGAAGGCTTGGAGACAGACTAAAAACCCCTATAGAGACCACCTGATTTTTAACCCTTCAGGGAACACTCTTCTGTACGTTATAATGCCTGTTTTCCCTAACTACTCTAGGAACTACTCCGGCGTTCCTAAGCTAGTGAGAAATCGGATCAAAGCCGATCGCAAAGCATTGAGTCATTCGAAACGCGACCAGATTGAACAATTATTCACCTTCTGCTCGAGAAGTCTCAACTTGACGTCGGCCGACCGGAGATGCGACTCAGCCCTCAGAATCGTCTCCTCAGCTCGGACGGCAAAGTCATTAAGAAAGTCCACAAGTCGCATTATGATACAGTTGACCGAAACGGCTGATTGGCGTCGGTCAATTGGTGCCACCTGATGTTGAGTCTGACCTTTTTCCTGCTCTTTTGATCGAGACTGACCTCAGCGAGGTCGATGTCCGACTTGATGAAGCTCAGGTCGGCTTCAGCCATTTTTGTAAGCAGAGAAAAATTAGCCGGGCTAAAAATAAATCATTCAGAAAGTGAGCATGTTTTGGATCATCCTTCATGGAGAAATAGAAAAAAGGGTCCAAAATAAGCTGCGAAAAAATAGCAGCGCTAAACTGAAAGAAAATATGCACCATTGTAAAAGAAGAGCTTAAAAATTCAACTAGTGATCCCTTCAGGGGGTTTATTTATGGAAATTTTTATGGAAGATCAATCCTCTGCAAATGAAAGAAAGAATATTTGGAACAAAATTGGATGTCAGCAGAGAGTTTTGAAACTGACGTGAAACAGAAGTGTGAATGAGAAGTGCAAGAAAGAGATCATAGACTTTCTGAAGAGACACCAGAGAAACGAGAGCGATCTCACTTTTCTGCGTCTCTTCAGTTCTTCGTAGTTCTCTTTTTTCCGCGAATTTTTTTTTTTTGGTTTGCTCTAATCATAAGAGAGTCATTGGAAAATTTAAATTTGAAAAAAAAAAAATTAAGGTTACAAAATTCTTCAAATAAATCACTCCAGGTCTGTACCCATAAACCTTCAAAAACCTCAAAAAAACCTGGCCAATCATTTGTATTTATTGCGAATCACAACCGAAACATACAAATATCAAAGTGTACTGTACAACGATTTTATTGATCGACGAGGTCCGTCACGTGGATCTCCTCTATGGGATCGATGGGACGGAGATGACGTCGAGGGGTGCTTTGTTGGGAGCTGGCGCTGCTTGGCGCCGGCGTCCGGACGAGGACGCGGCCGAGTTTCAGAGGCGGAAGGCGCTGCTCCGGCACGAGCAGCTCGTTGAGCGTCTCGGCGATGGGGACAATGTCCTCGAGGAGGAGCTTAATCGTTTCATTCACATCTTTTAAAACCGTTATTTACCAAAATATGTTATTGAATTATAGCAGCTGTCTTTCCCTATTATAGCTCGAATCGAAACGTTTCATGATTATTTTTGAAAACTTGACTATTTAATGAAAAGTCAACCGTATAATTGAAAAGATTTTTTCGTAGTAAATTCACGAAAAGAGATGAACAAATCGTACCCGTACATCAAAAATAAAATTGTCGGAGCTGAAAATTTCATGAAGACCCTTGGAGAGTCCCTTCTAGGGACCAGTTTACCGACCCCTAGAGGGGGCAGTTAAGCTTGCGAAAGTGGTCCCTATAGGGGATATGGTAATCGATAATTTTTATGTACTCTATTCAAAGAAGCCTTTCCATGCGAAAAATTAAACAAATAAGCGTTTTTAAATGAAGTTGAATGACCCCTATTGGGACCACTTGAGCTTTTTGGGGCTAGGGTTGAGGGGTCAGAACTAAACCTCTATAGAAACCATTTTGATTTTACCTCAACAGGGACCACTCTAGAGTTCCTAAGTACCCCTAGGCCGAAAGTGTGAAAAAATGTCAATTTTAGATAATTTTCTAAAGCTGCCCTACTCAAAACTTCTCTAAAAAAACACAAAAGGCAGAAAAAATTCTCAAAAAACCAACTTGGATACGAAGAACATCGTCCTGGATGCTTTTGAAGGAAAAAAGCGCCTTTTGAAGTTTATCATGCGAGGTTTTTCTTTTGGTCATCACGTCGAGAACTTTTGCGATTTTCGAGTCGACCTCAAAATAATAAATTATAAATTTTTAAAAAGAATAAATCTGAGAACATGCTTAATGGCGGGCGCGATTTTGCTCTCCTCGGCCGAAACGGATTTGGCACAAATGTTGAGATGTTCTTGGAAACGTTGGGAAAATCTGAAACTCACTAAATTTTTTTGGAGAAAACACTATAAAAGTCACTTGAAGAAAGGCGTTGGGTTCATTTTGGTGTAAGTTTGGACGGGCAGTGGCGGCTGAGTTTTGCGGTTGATGATATTCGGTATAATGGGAAGGAAACGAGGGATTTCCTGGAACAAGTATTTATTTCGGCAGGGAAATCGGATTTACCGAGAAACGCTTGAAAGTTTCGTCATCTTCCACGGTTTCCTGGGCCACGTTGCCATCTTTCACCACCACGATACCTTTTGAACGTTTCGTGTTAGCTGAATATATTTATGATTGAAGAAGAGAGGAAATATCGTAATTATTGATTTTTAAGGACAGTTATAGCCTATTCCGCGGCAGCTTATCTTCAAGACCTTTATAGTCTGCTGTCTTTTAAGCAGTTTTTTAGAGCAAGATTTATATTTACGGTAGCTTTCTTTTTTGTTTTTTTTTTGTAAACCGGATACATCTTACGCGAAACGCACTATAACACAAAAAACCTCTTGGCCGTTTTATGACACCTTTTTAATATCGCCAGAGTGATCCCTATAGGGGTTAGGAAAAAAAAAGAGCCCCTATAGGGGACAAGAGTGCTCTCCAAATGGCTAACACTTAGGTGGTCCCCATAAAAGTTTGGGGCCTGACCCGTGAAGGCTCAAGTGGTCCCTATATGTTCTTTTCTTTCATTTGAAAAAAAAACTTAAAAAATCATTCTCTGTTGATATTTTACCATTGAATAACGCTAAAATACCGAGTTTCCTGCATGGAAATGCTTTTTCTTCTACAGTAATCGATTAGAAGGTTCCCTATAGGGGTGTCTTGCGCAAGCCCTTACAGTGACCACTCTGAGGCTCTTGAGTTCTTTCTCATTTTACAAAATTTTGTCGCAAAATTTGGAATTCACTATCTGAATTCTATTCCTACAAGGTCCCTGATCTTGATGTTTAAAAGAAGAAAGAAGAAATTTCCTACTTCTTGCTAAAAATGAAAAAGAAGGCGAGTTGCTTTGATTATTACTGGACGACTGTTCGTTTCCCATATCTCCTGAAAATAATCGTTTTTTCCAAATTTTTGTACTGGTTTTCTACTTAATTTTGCGGTGGTGTTTCGGTTCTCGATGTTCCCATTTGAATTTGGTCGATCGCGGTCTCAGGCCAAGCCAGGTTCGGGTCCGGCAAAGGATCCTGAAATCAGAAATTGAGAAAAAAAATCACTATAAATCCTTCTATTTTATTTCTTACCTGCCTGATTGTGCTTGGGATCGTGTCCGATTCGATATCCGGCTCAAAATCTCTATGAATTTCAATCGTGTCCTAAGAAAGAATAATCATTTTTCGAATTAAAATCATAAATAAACCTCAGGGAGAACTTCGTTAATCCAATCTTTATCCCACTTTACGAAAGAATGATCCAACCGAACTTCGGAAGGGACGTTAGACATACGAAAAATGGAAAACCACCTTGAAAAAACATTATTTGATAAAGTTGAAACAAATTATTCCATTCCATCAAAAGACCTTCAAGGTAAGGACTCAATAAAAAAAAGAATCACAAAACTTTTCTAAGATCACAGATGAATGCATGGGATGGGCTAGAATTATCGCCTCAGAAAACTTTTGAGTATCGAATTTCAGACCGCACTTCTTCCATGCAGCTTTGAAACATTGAAGTATTAGCGACAAAAGTTTACCAAAGAAAAACAAGAAGAAAAATAAAAAGTTCGCAAAAGTGTGAGTTTTTTAAATCGATGAGCAAAAAAGGTATGCAATTGCGCTCTAGCGCGCAGTTTTAAAATCTTTTTTTTTCGCGGGCGCTTGGCATTTTCGACAATTTTTATTGTTTTAATGTTTATTTTTGATTTATAATGCGTTGTAAAAATTTTAGAGTGATTATAATGATGTTGAATGTTAGAATCACAATGCCAGATAAAAGAACCTTCCATGAATGAATATAAATCTTATTTTAAATTATGAAAAAGTTTTTTTCAGTTCATCTCGAGGTATTTTGTTGTATACTAGTTCAAGAGTGTTCTCCGTCAAACGGTTCTGATGTTCGAGTGCTACAGATGCTTGAAAAGAACGCCAACACTCGAATAAATGTCAGTTTTTATGGAAGTTTTCAATAATTGGTGTTATTAAAGGACTTCACGGATCTAATTGAAATTGGCAAAGGCGGTTTTGGTGTAGTATATTCCGCTAAGCGGCTAAATGGGGAACCTGTCGCCCTTAAAAAGGTTCATTTTTGGGTTTGTGATATAATAAAAAGTTGAATTTTTAAAGATTGATAGGTCGGTGCCTCGCGACAGGGTTTGGAACGAAGTTCGGTCATTGAAAAGGTTGCGGCACCGTAAAATTGTTGAGGTTGGTTTGAAAAGGAAGTAGAAAGGTGAATTGGAGAGAAAAATTACAGTTTTACGAAGATTTCGAGGTGAATGGGGAAACCTATGTGGTGATGGAACTGTGCGAGTACGGATCCGTCAGGAGTTATGTCAAAAAACACGGCCCCCTACCGGATGCAGTTGGTTGGTTTTTGACAAGTTTTTCTCATAATTCTCCAGATTTTGTTAACTTTTAATAAACAGTAGGTGAATTTATAATTTTCAGCCGCTCACGTTTTGCGGCAAATGATGTCGGCGGTGACTTATATGCATCGGAGAGAAGTCTTGCATCGAGATTTGTCCGCCGGAAATATTCTCATCAAATCCATCAAGGACGGCTTTTTGAACGTGGTTAGTTTTTTGAACGGTTTTTGGATTTTTTGTTGGAATTGTGCATTTTCATTCTTTTTTTCTTTCTATTTCCTTTTTTCATTATCAAATTTCGGGTTTGAGAATTGAGGCTTTTCATATAGAATAGAAATACGGTTTTTATTTCAAAAATTTTTTTCTAAAAAAATATAATTTCATCACTCCAAAGTAGTTTCACCTTTTTTTCTCCTTTGTTCTGATGATTTTTTTCTCGTTTCTCAAAAAAATTTTTCAATTTCTTTGATCGTTTCATGTCATTTTAAAACTTTCAAAAAAATATATACTTTTTCTTACTTTCAACATGTGGACTTTTTAATATTGGGAAACGCTTTTTTTCAATCGAGCCTCCAGTTTTTGATTTTTTTTTTTTTGGTCTGTTTCACTCGGTTCAAGCTGTTTCTTCATCTAAACCTCAATATTCAAATTTTCATGTTTTTGTAAATTTTCAAAATCAGTTATTTTTTCTCAATCTTTTTTTTTCAACGGAATATCTTGAAGAATATTTCGGCCGCCCGTTTTTTTCATTTCAACTGTTGCTTTTTTTATTATTTCGATTCATTTTTTTCTCAGAAAATTGGAATATTTTTGATTGGGACCAACGTAAAGTTGTCCCACTGAGATTTCTTTCTCTAAGGCTCATTTTTTTCAAATGGTATGCCTGTTTGGGACGTAAAAAGTTGTTTTTAAGAATGATAACCATAGTAATTATTCTCTTGTGTGGTTTTTTTATTTTTTTGGATTTTTTTGGCCGACGTTTAGAAGGGATATTCATAAAAAAACGAAAGAGCATTTCTCATGCGATTTTTTTCGAACTGATTTTCGCTTTCCCAGAAACTGGGAGATGTTCAGGAGTGATACCCACTTTATTTATTCTCAGAAACTGGGGGATTTCGGGTTGGCAACGAATTTGAGACGAGGCGAAACAGCGTGCACCGTCGTCGGCACTCCAGGATACATTGCCCCGTGAGATCAACCTCAAATTTTCCTCAAATCGAATGTTAAAGTCAGGTGTTCAATCAGGATTACGATGAAACGGCCGACGTTTATTCGTTGGGCGGAGTTTTGTACACGATGTTGACGGCAGGAGATCCGCCGAGAAACGGTAATCAAACAATATAGTTAAAAAAAGAAGAAGAAAAATAATACAATGGAACTTAGAAGATTGAATTTTCTGGATTTTTCTTAGAAAAGTTGTTTTGAGTCGTTAGAAACTTTATGAACGAAAAAAAAAGCAATTTTTTAGACCTGATTTTGAATAAAATCGGTATTCACAGATTCAAAAGGAAACTTGGAAAGTTTTTATTGCTTATAATTGAAAAAAATAATCTTCAGCTTCCAAAGTAGAAAATTCATTCCGAATGGCCGAATGCTCTCAAATTTGGCCTGAAAAATCTGCAAAACTCCAGTTTTGAGAAAAGACTATTGAAGCTGGTGAAAAAGGCATTTTTGACTTTTTCGAAAAATAGGAAGTTTTGAGACTTTCAGTATCTTCATGTGATAGATCAAGGTATAAGATGACCAGATTCCACGAAAGTCCAAATTTAAATGAGATTATCTTTTTTGTGAATGAAAAAAAATGAGCAGACCCAACTTTTTAGTTTATTTTTCTAGGTCGGCTGAATTTTGACGGATTGAGCCACAGCGCCGTCGCTCTGATCAAGAAGATGATGCATCCGGATGTTCATTCCAGGATTTCCCTGAATGGTATGATTTTGGAACATAGTGGTTTCTAGATTCAGAAAGTATAAGAAAAAGAGAAAAATAAAGATTTTTTTTAGTTTTGGTCTCACTCACGGTAGGAATATTTTTATGAACTTTCAAGATTTGTTCCCTAGAGTTTCATTTGACGGTTTGATTTTGATTTATAGTATGAAATAATCGAAGAAACAGATTTTTTTCTGGTTTTTGTTAGTCTCTTTTTTTAGTATTGATTGATTATTTGATTTTTTTATTAAAATATAGATTTTTTTGTTAGATCTTTTTTTGACTAGATTTTTCATAAGAATACACTATTGTTGAAGACTGTCAACAATTTTTTTCCAAGTTTTTCTTAAATTAGTCGTAAATACCTCCCTGAGATTGAAATTATCTTTTTCAAAATTCTTCCTACCATCATCTTCCAGAGCTCAGAAATCACTTTTCCTCCCTTTTTTGGTAGATTTTTCGTGAGCTAACACCTCCTTCTGGACTAATTGAGGTGGTATGAAAAAAAAGACAAGCGAAATTACAAATGGCGACTTTTCCGATTTTTCCATATCGCTAGGGAACTTTCCGACGGCCACCTTTCCGACTTTTTTTTCTCAATAAATTCTTCGTTTTGAATCTTCCTATATAAAGTAGATAGTTGATTCATGATCAAAACACAAAGAAATAGGAAAAAAAGGTCAATAGATGTTTTATGAACCGAAAAATATAAGGGAAAAAGTCGGAAAGGGATTCTTCGGGAAGTTCTCTAGCGATATGAAAAAAAAAACGGAAAAGTCGCCGTTCGAAAATTCGCCTGCTTTTTTTTCATACCACAATAATTGAGTTATTTACACGCTCTTGTATGCGCGAATTCAAAGTGTTTTTGCAGCGATTTCGACGATGGACTTTATGCGGGACCTTGACGAAGGCGGATATTCACGTGACGTTTCCACAGAGCGACGTGGTTTCAGTCGCGACCGACGGACCAGCGTCGAAAGGACGCGACGATCTCGCGACGCCCAACTCGAGCGAAACAACAACTGGGACCAGAACTGGCAGCCGGCCAAGCCGCCGACCAGGTCCGCCAGTCAGCCGCCGGTGCTCTCCAGGAGGAGTTCCAACAATGCTGAGGTGAGAAAAGGGTTCAGAAAACTGAATAAAGGACAGGAAGTAGTGGGAAAAAATTGTTTTTGAAAGCTTGAGATTCTGCTTGAAATAAAGTTTATATTTCACTTTTGTTAAATAAAGTTCAAATGGGCTAGATGATTAGATTTTTTTCATGTCTTTTCGAGATTAATATAATCAATAGAAGCTCAAAAAATATCATTTCAAGAGGCCAAACGGCGTTCCATCACGACCTAGTCCATTAGACCCACGAGCAAAACCTGTCGACGAAGATTTGCCCCCGTGGCCGTTGAAATTCGCGAGATGCGCTGGAAATCGAGTGAAAACGAAAGGAGGAAGGGTGAGAGGCTTTTTAGTGTGATGCAAATGCGCTCCAGTGAGAAAATTTTTGTTTTCCCGCATTTTTGAAAGTATTCATATATTTCAAATTAATATTTCTTCTCTGCAGCAAGAAAAAAAGTAGGACTGCAGGAAAAAAAAGGTTAATATGCATTCTGTCCAGGTTTTTCAAAATCACCAGTGTGTTTCGCTAATTTAATTGAAAATAGAGCCCCAGAAAAAAATCTACATACAATACAATATACAATACAATTTTTTTATTGATATTTCAATTTTTTAATTTTTTTAAAACACTTAAAAGTGTTTTTAAAAGTTTTCTTTTTCTAAAAGATCTTCTACCTGTTTTTTTGTGTTATCAACAATTCAGCATCTTTGTAAAATGAGTCCATTTTTTTCAAAAAAAGAAGCTTAAGCTTTCAGGATGAGCTCAAAACTTAATTTACTTCTTAAAATGTTGATTCTTCACTTATAACTATATTGAATCGATATTTTGCAGTATATTGTGGAGAACGACTTCCGGGTACGATTTGAAGTCGCTCAGAAAGGAGATTTAATTGCGAGGGTGATCATAGCAGAGATAAACTCTCGTGGAGATCAGCAGAGGGTTTTCCTTCCAAATTATCAGATCGTTCGCTATTAATTGATTCCAGCTTCTCGTTCACAATACTTTGTCGCGAAATGAGCCCGCCAGAGAGGAGAACGACCCTTTGATCGAGCTGGACCGAGCTCCGAAGGTTTTCACGAGGTTTGAACTTGATTTTAAAGCAGAATATATTTATTAACAAACAAACAGACCATATTATGAAAGCGACAATATATTAATATTAAGTGTAATGGAATAAAATAAAGAATAAAATAAGGTTGGTTAATAGCCGGGAGCGGTTCTCGGTGGTGGGCAATGCTCGCATCCGCCGCTCTCCCCGGTGTCTCCCGGCTGTCCTGGAGGACCCGGTCGGCCGGCCTCTCCGGGCTTTCCGTCGTTGCCGGCGTCTCCTGGTGGTCCCTGAAGACCGTCTTGTCCTGGATTTCCTGGAGCTCCTGGAAGTCCGTCGGGTCCGGGAAGTCCTGGTGGTCCTGGTTTTCCTGGCGGTCCCGGCGCCACCTGCACTTCTTCGCAAAGACCTGGGGCTCCTGGCTGACCAGCTTCTCCTTGATCTCCATCTGGACCGGCTGGACCCGTCTCTCCTGGCTCTCCTGGCTGGCCAGGCATGCCGGGAACTCCTGGGTTTCCGTCCTTTCCGTTGCGGCCAGGATGTCCCTTTGGTCCAGGTGAGCCTGGTGGTCCTTGAGGCGCCTCCGGACAGTCGAAGCAGAACTTGGGCAGGTTGCTGTCGTCGGCGGAAGCGTCCTGGCCGGTTTGACCGTTGGCTCCTGGCTTGCCGTCGATTCCGTCGCGGCCGTCGTCTCCGGGGGGTCCTGGTGGGCCGGCGTTTCCAGACTTGCACGAGCAGCACTGGCCGCCGCCCAAGACGGAGGCTGAGCGCGAGAATTCTCGTGGTGCACTGTTCACGCCTGAATAAAGGATTTCAGACTTCTCAGTTTTTGAATGCTGGAAAAGGCTTGCGTGACAGGCAAGAAGGAATTTTGAGCACAACTTTTAAACTTTTTCTTCTCTCATTTTCTACAGTTAGTAGTTCTTCAGTTCGCCCTCCTAATTCCGAGTCTACACGAATTTTCGATTCTGAGATTCGAACAGTGAAGTCTGTTCAACATGGTCCTCAGAGAGAAATTTTCAAATTTTAGAATTTCGAAGCATTTTTTTCTGATTGCCAAAGAAATCCAGCTCTATAAGAATCTTCTATGGAACAATAGAACTGACCTTCTTCCTGGAAGTCGTATCCAGCTTGACGTTTCGTGAGGATCTTTCTACGAACTCCAGCGGCTTGCTGCATTCTCTCATATTGAACGAATAAACCGGTGGTACGGTGTCGGCAGAAGTCAACCTTGAATATTGATTCAAAATTAAAGGCTTTACTTTTGTCGTGTTGAACCTCATTTTGAAGGTTGGTTTGGATGTGCTGCATGTAGTTGTACAACATGGGGATGGCGATGATGCAGGTCAGAGTGGCGACAGTACTGTAATATTCAGATTAAGAGGAAAAGCTGCAGTTCGGAGCTGAATTTCAGTTTGGAATCGTCTTTAGACTTTGAAAAATCCAAAAGGTTACCAAATTTTTTGACTCTGGAGCTGGTCGAATTTTTTTTATAGGTTTTACCCTAGAGAATCTTGGAGTTTCTATTCGAAGGGTTTGAATTTTATTTCTGACTCGTGAATTAAGCTGTTAAAAATTTTATTTCTGTTGAAGTTTGATCTAGATTCATCAAATTTAGTTAAAAGTACGCTCGAAAAAAACGTTTTTGAACTGTTCGGGAGGGTACTGTCGTAAAAAAAAAATACAAAATCATAATCTTTGGAAACAAATCGATTAATATTTACCTGATACTGATTCCGAGAAAAGCCACTCGTCGGAGGTTGTTGGCCTCGCTGCGGAGCTCCTTCTCACTCATATCCTTCTCCATTTTCAGTGGAGACGATCTAGATAACTCAAAACTAGATCAGAAAATAAAACAATGAAGAAGAGGAAGAAGCTGAGAAGATTTTCGGTGGGTTAGGCCGGTCGCGAAGCTTATATAGAACCGCGACCCATGTTAGCCGAAAAGGAAAAAAAAGTGTACCCGCCCTATCGATGGAAATCCAGTGAAATCCCGAAAACGGCTCTTTTTTTCCCCGTGGACATCCATTGGCGTTCGCGATTCCGCACTTTTGCTTTTTATTGTTTTTCTTTCTTCTTGTAGCTTTTTGCTGTCTCTGAATATCAGATGGACCCATCTCCGACGGTGTTGGAGACGACACCCGCAATTCTTTTACCAGTTTTTTTGGACTGCTGAAATGTTGCGAATTTTGTAGGTTTCAGTGTGTGTTTTATGCGGGGAACTCGATTGAAAAGGTCATTTGAAGGTACTTGACTATTTTAAGATGTTACTTCTCTTTTTTTTTTGGATAAATTATGCAGAAAATTCCGTAATTATCATTTTCTTATCCTTTTTAGCGGTAGATCAAAGTTACGATCTCTGGCCTTGTTTTTTTCTACGGTTTCGGGAAAATTTCGTTTTTTTTAGCCAAGAAAAATGTTACTAAATTTTTAGAACTCGTTCAAAAGATCATTCAAATCAATTTTCCTTGAGTAAAATTTCAACTTCGTTTGACTATCATTTTTAACTTCTATTCGGAAATTTTAACTTTCTATAAATTCTCTCCAGCTTTTCATATTTTTTCAATTTTAAATAACTTGGAAATAATCAAGATCCCCTTCCCCTTATCAGCTGATTAACTTCTCGATGCGGACCTTTTTTTGCCTGTCTGTTGATGATTTTCACTTTCTGTTGGTGTTTCGGTGGGGTTCCGCCACAGGAAGTCGGCTATTCTTTGAACTTTCTATTGTTTTCTTTTTTCAAAAGATTTTTCCATTTTTCCCTTCTTTCTAGCGATATGTTGCTTAAAAAAATTTTATTTTCAGCAGAATATTTAAATAATCTTTCTCATTTGATTGAGTTTTGCTTGGGAATTTTGAATATCAGACTGAAAAGAAAGAACTTTTCAGTCTCGCCCAACTCCCGCAAGCCGTCAGCCATGACTACAAACGAATGGCCAACATGATCTCTTCTACAATCCAAAGTCGCGTGGCGAAAATCGTCTTCCGTCGACCTCCGCAGTTTCCGAACGCCGTCGCGCAACTCATGGAAAACGGCGACCTTCGCATCAAACTGTCCAATGGTTTTCAGGGGATTTTATCAAGGAAAATATCTCTATTTTAGCTGTAATTGTTCGGAACGTCAAGTCGGGCGAAGTGGTGAACATTTTAGATGGACAGGCGAGCCGGAAAGAACCTGTCACTGGTTTTTAGTTGGTTCGAGTGAAAAAAAAATTGGAATTCTTCAGGACCAACACTGAGGAAAGTCGGGGAGGTCTACGAGTACCTGTATCGCTTGGAACAGTGTTTGAGTGGCATGGGGGATCTGAAATGCTTCCCGCACGTCTTTTCGGTTTTGACCCCGTAAGTTTTAGCGGGTGTGACGTCAAGAATGAGATCTTCCTTATAAAATTTGGAATAATGGATGAAATTGCTGTTTTATTCAATCTATGGCTTTTTTTAAATTTCGGACCTACTTTCGTCGTTATATCGTTCGCCATGATTTGAAAGTTTTGTCTGCGTCTCTCTGTTCCCTCACCGGTCCGAAAAATAGCACGTCAACGAGGAGGGCCCAGAGAAAAACAGAGTTCACTAGAAGTGAAATAGTTCTTTTGCCTATTTCAACACTGTAGCTTTGCATCGCCCCAGGAAGACTGGATTTGCGATATCGCGTACAAGAAGCTTCAATTTCAGTGAAGCCGCTCTTCAAGCGACGCCAGTCTCGGTGGCGCCTACAGCGTCAGCGACATCGCGAGGTTCCCTCCAACGTCGTCCTTTCAACGCCGTTAATTCCTCATCCCAATCGTCGTTTGTACGTTATTTACTCCGCGAACGCGCCTTCAACTGTTTTTTTTTCCTTCCCCGTCCCCCTTCGGAGGCTTTGTTGATGAGTCGGAGGATAGTGTGAGAATGAGACCTCCATTCCCTTCGTTGTCGAGTTTCGAAAAGAAGAGAAAAAAAGAGTTGCAGATGCCGCGATCGGCCCCCGGCGCCTTCGAACGCCAATTCTCCACGGCAACTGTCGCCTCGGCGGCTGAACAGGCCGATGAGAACGCCGTGCCGTTCAAGTTCAAATTGGTATGGGAACGGAGAGTTTATGAGGAGATTATGGCCCTTTTTGGAAGGAGGACTGGATAGCTTGTTTCGATGAGAATCTCCCTTGTTGAATATGATGTGGATATTATATGTGAGAACTGAGGAACGTTATAGTGGTCACTATAGGGCTCAGCTTGAGATCACCTCAGTTACTTTTGCCTTTAAGATTTGATCTCATCGGAATTTTATTGATTTTTGGGAAATTTTTTGGGAACGAATTACTCCTGTGTTGAACTTAAGGTCACTTCAGGGACTACTTCAAGTTTTGTCAGATGATAACTTAGGGTAGAAACTGAGATTCCTCTGAAGAACCACTTTGAAAACACTGAGTGGCCGCTTAAAGAGTTTTCTGAAGGAAACATTTAAAATTCGAAGAGTCATGATGATATTACCATTTTAGAAAAAACAGGAATGAATAGTTTGTTTCGATGATAGTCTCCCTTTTTGGATTTGATGTGGGTATGATATGTGAGAGCATATGTTTTTTACAACTGGTCACTCTAGGGTTGATTTTAAGATAACTAATTCCTGAAGTTAACATTATTATCTTGTTAATTACGTTTTTTTCATTTTGATGGAATTGAACTAGTTTTTTTTTTTTTAGAAACTTTCAATAGTTGAAAGTCCCTAAAGAAACCACTTCAACTTGAAGTTTAAGAACTTTATAAAGATGAGCCTTTTTTTCGATCTTAAAAGAAAAAAAGAATAACTTGATATCATTTTTGATACTTTGGCGAAAACTGGAGTGGTAACTTTAGTGTATGTGTTGTTGAATTTATTACCACGAATGCGTTTTCATCCCTAAAGTTGTCACTTACAAAACGGTTTGCCTAATTTTTACTCAAGATGATTCAACTTGAGTGTCCTTAGGATATCAAACAAGATATTTATTTAGCTCCTTATTATGTTCAAAACAGGGTGCTCAGAAACAATTTCATCAAAGAATGATTTTTTTCTTTCTGAACTGTCCTGGTTTCAGGACAAAAACAATCGGACGATTGCGATAATTTGGAACGATGGTCGAAAGTTGCGGCAGTCGACGATGAACGAGAGAGAGTTTATCTTTTCGGATGCCGTTCGAAGGAAAGAAATTAGGTACTGGGGTGCCAAATTGAATTTGTTACGGTAGATACTCGCTCTCTTAAGTAAATCATTAGTGTTCTCATCTTTATAAGTTTTTTTTTCAACTGGAGGGTCCTTTAAACAGGTGAGCAAAAGGGGCTCACAAAGAAGATCATTTCAGTTTCGAAAACTCTCTATCCCTAACCGTCATCGAAACACCAATTGTTGAAAAGATGATTTATCAATGTTGCAAGCTGATATTTTCAGACCTCATTTCATGTTAAAAGCTAGGCAAAAAATCATATCTTCGAAAAAAAAAAAATGCGCACAATTTTCATTTGCACCTTTACAGAGTGTTTGAGAACTTTTTTATAGAACTCTAAATTTAGTATTAAATTCATCGCCTTGTAAGAAAGTCTCTAAAAAAAATGGACTAAATACAGACATTTTTGAGAAAGAACTGGAAAAATTTTTAGTGGCCACTTAAGGGTTTAAAAGTTAGTGGCCACTATTGAGGTCTAAGTGCTACTACTAGACCACTAAAAATTTTAGTGACCACTTTAGGGGTCAATGGATCAACATAACTGGTCCAATCTGTTTTGTTTTAAAATTATCAGAGTTACTGGAAATAATACTGGGTGAAAAACTAGTGAAGTGATCACTAAAAAGAGAACCTCTATAGTGGCCACTAGGACGGAAAGTAGTGGCCACTATAGAGGTGGGTTTAGTGGTCACTTTAGTGCTCTCTCCTAGTAGTCCTTGGCGAGCCTCTATAGTGGCCACTAAAAACTTTCCCAGAAGGTCGGAAAAATCTCTCAGAAGATTTGGACTCAAAAAAAATGTTTTGTTCATTTTGGGATCTTCGAAAGACCTTGGAAAGGTTTTTTGACTTTCAAAAAAATTATCACTACATAAAATAGCTAGTATTTTCATTATTGCAATTACAGATTTGAAAGAATTTTACTACAGTAAAAGTTGTTTCATTTTTGGATTTATAGGTTCAATACGGCTCGCGACAATATTCCGGACACGGCGCGACAACTGTTAGACGTGTTGACGCCCGAACTCAGCCCGCTTGTCTAGAAGAACAGAGAGATTCTATCAGATATTGCCCTCTCCTCGCGTTTTTCTTGCTCACCCTGCTCCTCTCCTCCTACCTCATACGGATAATAATATTAACACATTCCATACGCGCTCCCCCCACTTCCTCACCAAATGTCCCTCTGTCATTCCGTTTGCCGTTTGTATAAACTCATTTTCAACCTTTTTACTCGATTTTCCCTGTTTTTTAGAAGGTTTCACCTTGTAATCTCTTCTTTTATAGTTCATATATTGTTTATTTTATTCGCAATGGTTTAGAAAGTTCTTTAGAACTCCAGAGTGGTCCCTATAGGGATAAAGACAAAAAAGGCCCCTACAGGTCACCTAAAAGTTTTCCTTGTAGAGGTAAAGTTTATGTGGTTTTGATATGGTTTTAGGGTCTGAACCATAAAGTCCAACTGGTCCCTCTAGGGGTCTCAAAGTGCTCCCTAGAGAGACGAAGTTTAGGTGGTACCGATAGGGGTTTAGGGTATGACCCAAAAAATTTAAGTGGTCCCTCTAGGGCTTTAAAAGTTGTCCCTTTAGAGGTTTAGGGTCTGATCCCTGTGCCTCTTAATCTGAAGTGGTCCCTATAGGGATCTTATTCCGTGTATTTTCTTCACTGATTCCGTGTATTTTCTTCACTCGAAGTGGTAGCTCTCTCAGTCGGCCGAGGCTACCCTAGAGTGTACACGGCGTCCGTGCCCGAGCCCCACCATCACCGCCGTGCCCGTACAAGCGAAAATGAGGGATCTCTTTGTGGAAGAACGAGGCGAAGGACCGTAAGACCATGCTTTCAAATCATTCGACTACACGTTTTGACTTCTTTTTCGCCAAAGGCGGTGTTAGTGCCGCTCAAAAGAGCAATTTTTTCACCGCCTAGTCGATACCATCTGACTAAAACAACCAATAAATATTGTATTGTATTATGGCTTTTTTGTACAGATTCAAAAACTAAAAAGAAGAAGGTTTAATAAAAATTGATAATAAGTTCCCTGTTGATATTTTTCATTACAAAAAAAACCAATTTATAAAGTTTTTTTCATTGAAGTTCTTCCTCCATAGGTTCATAAAAAAAGAAATGAAAGCTTGCTTCCCTATAGAGGCCACTTTTGCAAGCTTTACTCGCCCCTATGAGGCGAGGAAAAGTGTTCCCTAAAAGGGAACCTTAAGGGGCTTCTAGGAGTGACCCTATAGGGACCTCTCTGGCGCTCCTAAGTTTGTTGGAGTCGCAAAAACCAATTTTTTTAATAGTTCAAGCACCGCGAGCTTTAGAATTTTTCAAATCGGGGTTTCTATATGATTTACAAAACGCGGTAAATGTAGTGTGTATTGAAGCTGAAAATCGCTCTTAATTTTAATTTTTCAGATGGTTTATGGAAGGAAAGAAGAATGGAGTAATCTTGAGCGATTGGCGCTTCTCAATACGTATTTCGCTGAGGTTGATTGGTAAGTTTTAGATGTTCAAATTTGAATTTTTTGTATTGTTTCATTCATGTTAGGCTTTGAAAATGAAGAGGAATTTTCAATAGGTGGGAAAACCCAAGGAAGAAACTTGAATTTATTAAAAAGGAAGATATTTAGTTTGGTTATTTAATGTGCCTTCTCATTTTTTATGGTATCGATTACCAGTATTTCTAGAAAGAAAGGAAAGAGTTTTATTGTGTACCCTACGGTTTAGATGTGTTGTTGATATCACTTTGTCATAATTAATTGAGGATTAATTGAGCTTTTTTTCTTGTTCTTACAAGTTTCAGACTGCTTTAATGGAAATTTCTACCAAACTTTTTTATATAGCATTTCTGAAACTTATTTTTTTACAAAGTATTTCATGATTATAATTTTTCCTTTTTAAAGGCGGACAGTTAATATCAAGGAAATTGTCTGGAAGTAAAGTAGATATAAAAAAATGGAATGAGAAAAAGCAGAAAAATTTGAGATGATGGGTTATATTCGAAAAAAAGCGATATTCGAAAAAAAAAATTGGAAGATATTTTTGAGTATTCTCCTTCTAATAAAAGAAAAGTGTGAGGTTAATATTGCAAGTATTTCTGAGAATGAGGGCTTGAAAACTGAAAAAATAATCTTATAACTAACTAAGTGAGCGCTTTAGTTTACTGAGGAACAGCCTTTTGAAAATGAATGCAAAACTCTAAAAAAACTGATATTTTTTCGGATTTCTGTTTCTCTTGAATAACTGCTGTAACTCACAACATCATAAGAAACGGGAGAAATAAACGTTTTTCTCGAAAAATCTGCAAAAAATAAGTTTTTAAAACTTTTCGTAAACTCTGGCGGGCTGTTTCTCAGTGCCCTAACACGAGAAGTCCTTTTACTTTGCGGTTTGAAATTTTTACAAATTTTCTCTAACATTCTCTGAATGGGTATGATGATCTCTCAAATTAGCTACCGGCGTAAACTTCTAGTTTTTAAGATAATCAGTTTTTAAGGTTGAAAAGTTAGGCCCAAAATCCATTTGTCGCAACTTTGATGAATCATATCTCAAAAACTAGAAGTTTGCACAGCTAGCGACTATGAGGGATCTTCAATGAGTATTTGAGTAAATTTGTAGAAAATTCCAAACCGCAACGTATAATTTTATGAGTACTCATAATCTTGGATTTGTCTACCATAGACTTTTGGATCAGCTATCGAAAACTCCGTTGTAAAGATCAGTTTTCAAGGGAACGGAGAGCAGCAGCGATGGCCAAGAAATACGCGGCGAAGAGATCGGCTGGATTCTTTTCACCCAAGGTCCGATATTCATCCAATAAGCATCAATCTAATTGATTGTCGGTTCAGAACTGTCACCTGGAGTTTGACCGGATCCTTTCCACGCCTTACCCCGGTCACGAACCTTCAACTTCTGGACAATTTTCCTACAGTCATAAGGTGAGAGGAGAGAAGTTCTAGACGAAGAAGTCGAAGAGTTCAAGTTTTTTTCTTTCTTTAGCTTTTAAAGATTCTTTGTGAAGTTTTCGGCGGAATGAAAATATATCAATCAATCAGTCTAAAAAGAAATTTTAAACCAATTTTGTTGAAAATCAGAAGTAAACGATTGTGCCATTTGAATCTAGCGATCATTAGGAAAAAACAGGTTTTTTAACATCTTCAAATAAAAAGAGATTTTTTTTTTCTAAGGTTCCTCAATGACGCTTTCAAAGGTTAGATAGTAAAGAAGTCAATGTACTTTTCGTCGATTGTTTTAAAAAAAATATTTCTGGTTTTTTAAGATCTTCTATCACGGGTATGCAAGATCTGAGGTATAGCCCGTTTTTCTAAAACCTAAATGGGTGGGACTTCTCTGCGCCCTCCTCTTCACTCGGCGACCCTCTGATTTTAAAGTGCTATTTCCATGTTTCTCTGCCCTCGTCGGTGAGGGAACAGAGAGACGCAGACATGCAAAAACTTTCAAGTCGCGGCGGACGAACTATATAAGATGATTTTTCCAGGTGATCATCGACGGCTGGAGAACGCACTACCGGAAGGTCATCGACGAGGAAATCGACCGGAAAAACGAGGAGGCGATGATCGAAGTCCGGCGGCTGACGGCCATCATCGAAAGAATCATGAACAATCAGATGAGCGTCCCAGAGATGGAGCAGATGCTCGCCGAGTTGAAGCTCGAAGATGCCGAGGTTTTCTTTTGAAAGTCTCGTTACTTTTTTAAAGTGAGGAAACCACAGTATACAGGACTTTTCTGCGCGCATCGCTCCAAGACCTGCGCGTTTTGCGCTAATACCTGCAAACTACTGGTAAAAGCTAAAGTGGGACTCTATAGGGCGAAAATGGAGATATACTAAAGGAGTTTTGCCCTAAATGGCCATTTAGGGCAAACTAAGGGAAGTTTGCAGAAAGTAGCAAGGGAAAAGAGAATTTTCGTTTTTTGAGATTTTTAACCTTTTCAACGCATGTAAAATTGAATTTCTACAAACGACAAAGGTATTTGAAAGGGCCTCCAAATTTTTCCCTTTACGGCCCACTTCAGCTTTTCCCAGTAAAGATATAACACCCCGGGGCGATTTGAACACCTTGTTTTCCCTGACACGCAAAGTTTAAAATGAGTTGAAACGGAGGATATGAGTGAAAAAATAGAAGGAAAGTAGCTCTATTGACAATGTGAGGCGCCTCTTCTAATCAGCAGTCCTATTATACGGCATTTTGGCCAGAAAAAAAACCTAGACAAGTGGAATAGGCTATAGGGATGTGCTCAGTGGACGCGGTATGCAGAGCCGGTTTTTCAAATACTCAAATCGCATTTTCCTGTTTTGAAACGCTGTGATTGGTTTGGAACCTTTTCGGATTCCAGAAAAGCAAGGATCCACAATGGTGCCGTGTCGTCAGCGCCTACTACAACCGGATGAATGAGGTCTTCCGGCTGAGGGATCAAGTAAGGGATTTGTTTTGATTTTAACGATGCCTTTAGTTTTACACTGAGATCGTTACTTTTGGAGAAAGTTTAAAATATTTGCTCCTATAGTTCCTTTTTTGCGACTTCTCTGTGCCCATCTCGTCTCTCGACGATCCCCCTTATGTTTATGTGCTATCTTCATGTTTCTCTGACCTGGCCGGCGAGGGAACAGGGAGACGCAAACACGCTGACGGAATATATGACGCTTCAAAGTTCATAAATTGTAGAAAAGAGCATGCAGAATTTGAATTGTAGAAAAGAGGAATGCAAAATTAGAAAAACATGAAAAACTGAACAGGAGAAAGTTGGTTCCGTAGGAGCCCAAAAACGAAAAAAATATTTTTTTTTTTTGAAGTGTTTACCTCATTTGCCACGACTCGAATGTTTGAGTTGACCGGCTAAAAAACAAAAAAAGAGCTTAATGTGATTTTTTCAGCAAGGTACGTCAGCCCAACCAATGAAAGCGCCCGAGTTGCCGCCGACGAAAATCTTGGAAACGGCGCCGATCGGTGCGTCGACAGCCTTCCGCTCGCCGTCGCCGTCTGCACCGTTCGCGACTTCTTCTTGATGTTTCGACTCATCCGGCTCTTTTCCAGAGCTTCTCCGATTCGCTCGCCGGTGCACTCGCCGATTCGTCGCGTGTCGGACGCTCTGCGCGACGCGGTTCCCTTGGTCGTCGAGTCGCCGAAATCGATGTCGCCTCGAAAAGAGCCGCCGGTTCAGGAGGAGAAGACTCCCGCCGTCGCCGTGAAGGCCGCAAAAAATGTACTTTTTCTCTTTAGTTTTATGGGAGTTTTATAGAAAGAAGACTTCTGAAGGGCTAGAAAAAAGGAAAAGTCAATAAGTATAGTTAAAAAACGGGTTTCTTCAAGCCACATGAAAAGGTAAAGTTCTAGTTCTAGTGAAAATTCCGCTCAATGAAACTTAAAATCGAAGGTATTTTTAAAATTAGGACGTTAGGGTTTAGAAAAATAATGAATAAGGCTGATAAAATTCATCTCGCCTATGCAGAATATTTTCAAAGGCCGCCAACTTTTCTTTCCTAGTCTTCCTTAAAGTCAGTTCTGCCTCCTGAGGTTAGAAGTTGTTTTGAAGTCGAACCTCGCTCTCTGAAGTTAAAAAGGCTTTTTTTCGAAGTTAAGTTGGTCAATCGCTAACCCTAAACAAATTGAGAATACTCCAAAATCACTCGTGCTCATATCTATTTTTTCAATCCCAGAAGCCTGAAGCGAAAAATGAGAAGCCGGAAGAAGATTTGGACGATTCGAAGACGGTTGAGACGCCACGTGGTCGCGGAAGGCCTCCGCGAACCCTTTCCAAGCTCTCAATGACCCCAGTTGTCGCAGCGAAGCAAGAAGTCGAAAAAACCCCCGAACCTCAGACGGTCGCCGGCGGCAAGGCCAAGAAGAACGTCTCGATCGAAATCAAGGAATCTCCGGAGACGTGAGCTTCTGAGAAAGAAAAATGAATATAGAAATTGGTTTTTCAGCACTCAAAAACGCTCGAAACGTCCTTCCAACAGCCTTCCTCCACCCGCAGTTCCATCGGCTGGCGGAAAGAGTAGAAGATCCCGTGGCCCGACGCCCGTCGTCAAAGAAGAGGAGGAAGACATCAAGAACGTCGAACTCGAGAAGACGTCAAGCAGGGGCAAGTCTGTGGCAAAGTCCGAGGCGTCGACGGTTTCCGTCGCGGCGACGCCAGTCCCGCCGCCGAGCAGCGAGCCCCGAACCGTCGAAGTCCAGACCAACATCACTATTCGCAGCAATCATACCTTCTCTCCGCCCAGCGGTCGAAGGTCCGCGGGGACTCCGTCGGTGGTGAGTTTGGGGATAGTGAACGAAAATTTTTGAGGTGTTTGAATAATAGTAAACTCTTTAAGACATTTGTCTTGAAGCCCTGAAACACTGGCCTTTCTCGATTATATTTCATTTCCTACCGGCCTCAATTTCCCTTTTTGGCAAGTACTTTCACAGAAGTGGAAAAGTTATCCGTCAAGCTAATCGAGAATAGATTATGAACCCTCCAACCGCAACGCAACCGCTCGCGCTTCTAGTCATTCCAAATGCGACTATCAGTTTCCAAGTTATTGCCAATTGATAGCGCTTCTTGACTATATAGTTCATTCACTACCGGCATAATTCTCGAGACATTTTCTGGAAAATACTGTGACCAAAAGTTTGGTTCTAACGTTTTTCCTCAAGCTAGTTGTCAATAGAGTATGAACCAACCAACCGCAACGCAACCGCTTGCGCTTCTAACCATTCCAAGTGCGACCGTCAATTTTCAAGTTGGACGGCGTTTTTTTTTAACATAGTTCATTCGAACTACTGCCCCAATTCTCAAAGGCAGGTTTTCGGCGAATACTGTGACAGAAAGGGAGGTTTCGACGTTTTTCCTCGAGTTAGTTGTGAATGGAGTTTGAACCCTTTAACCGCTCGCTCGCGCTTTTAGCCATTCTAAATGCGACCATCAGTTTCCGAGTAGTTGCCAATTACCGTCACTTCTTTACTGTAGCTCATCCACCATCAAAGCCGATTGCGAATAGATTTTGAACCCTCTAACTGCCACGCAACCGCTCGCGCTTCCAGCCATTCCAAACGCGACCATTCGTTTCTAAGTAGTCGCCAACTGAGTACTGTTATTGAGTAACCCTCTTTTTTCTGCCATTTCTTCCTGAGCCAAGTTTTCTAGGCTCTCCGGAAGAGCTCCCGCCGCTCGGAGACTCGTGCTTCGATGGCTCCTCCCCCAACTCCGCCCTCCTCCAGCTCCAGTTCCACTCACAACACGATAGCTTGCCAAACTGGACGTGTGGAGTTTGATCGGGATGATACGGTTCGAAAAACATAATCTAAAAGCTCTAAAAAGTCCTATATAGGTGATTGTGAACTATGAAAGTCAGCCGAAACTGGTCGCACCTGTCGTGGAGCTCGAGAAACGAGGCAAAGCCAAGAAGGACGACAGAGACAGGAACAACGATAGTGACATGGTTTTCGATTCTTTTCGTGCTGAATAATTTTCGGATTTTTCAAGCTCAGCGAAGATTTCGAAGAGGAGGAAGAATCGAACCGACGCTTGAAGTCGGATGGAAAAAGAGACATAACTCTGGTCATCGAGACCGACGCGGCTACCGGCCAGGGTACGGTAGTTTTTGTATTTTTTGGTATTTAGGTGTAAATTAATGGTTATTGTAGATTTTTTTTTTCTTGTTTTTTTAGATATATATACAGTTTTCTTTTTCAAAAATCATTATTTCCAGCTATACTTGCGAATAACAAGACCTACAAATTGATGGACACGGCCTCGAGCAATGCTGGCGAGTCACCGAGTAAGAGGACTCGGAAGGATGAGAAGCAGAAAGAGGAAATGACCAACCTCAAGGTAAAAGAACCTCAGAATGGCGTTAGAACTTTCAAGTGATCATTAGAAATGCTCATAAACCGGTCAGAACTCTTAAGGTATCGCTAAAAGAGCTCATAACTCTGGAGTGATCACTAGAAGTGAAAAAGGAGCCAGAACTCTTAAAGGGAGACTAGAAAAACGCCAGAACTCTTAAGGGATCACTAGAAATGCTTTCATTGGCGTAAGAAGTCTTAAGAGATGACTAGAAAGGCTCATAACTCTAGAGTGATAAATAGAAGTGAGAAAGGAGCCAGAACTCTCAAGGGGTCACTAGAATTGCTCAAAAAAGTCTAGGGTGGGTTATTGATAGAAGCAAAAAAAAATTTACAGTACCAGTTCAACAACATGTGCAGAGCGTTGACTGAACACAAGCACTCGGGAATATTTTCCCATCCGGTACAGGAGAAAGACGCGCCCGGCTACACATCCGCCATTCATAGGTATTTTATAACTCATATTCAAAAAAAAAGTAATATTGTTCAGAAGAATGGACTTGCAAACACTCCGACGCGAAGTAGAGGGCAATATCATCACGTCGCGGACCCAGTTCCTTATCAAGTTGGTAGTTTATTGGGATTTTCAAGAGGTCACTTAAGGGTGAAGCTTCTGAGAGGCCTCTTGAACAATAGTTTTTGAAAAAAAAAATTCAAGCATAATTTCTGATCCCCAAAGTCACTCAGATGCTTTTAAAAGTTCAATTTTCATGAAACTGAAGTGGTCACTTGAGGAGAGAGTTGAGAGGCCACTTGAATGATAACATTTGAAAAATTTCACTTACCAGCTCTTTCTGGAAAAAATTTTGTGTCACATGTCATTGAGTTATTTGATTTTCACCTCTTAAGTTGTCACTCAGGTGCTTTGCAAGTGAATCTCAAGAGACCACTGAAGGTAAATCAAAGAATCCAAGACGGAAAGTTGACTCTGAAGGGGTATTTCACATAAGAATGAACCCCAGATTTTTCTCAAAACTTAAATATAGACTTCATATCCGAATAGTTTCCTTCCCCGCCTTCATTTTCACCTTGAAGGACGTACACGATGTTCGCGAACGCGGTGATGTTCAACAGCACGGGCCACGACGTGAACACGTACGCCAAGACGATGGTGCAGGACGTCATGCCGGAGATCAACGGCATGGTGAGTTTTCCACGGTGTTCCTTCCCTCCTTGTGATGTTGTTGGATTGTTTCGGCATGATCTCTGCACTTTTGGGCTTCGAATCAAGTTGGTTGGGTGGAAGTTATAGGGATCATCATCATCATCATTTGGTGGTATGAAAAAAACACCGGCGAAAATTCAAACGGCGACTTTTCCGATTTTTTCATATCGCTAGGGAACTTTCCGACGGCCACCTTTCCGACGAAACTTTTTCCGACTTTTTTTTCTCGATAAACTCTTCGTTTTACATCTTCCTATATAAAATAGGTAGTTTGTTCATAATTAAAACACAAAGAAATAGGAAAAAAATGTTCATAGATGTTTTATAAACCGAAAAGCATAAGGGAAAAAAGTCGGAAAAAGTTTCGTCGGAAAGGTGGCCGTCGGAAAGTTCCCTAGCGAAAGGAAAAAATCGGAAAAGTCGCCGTTTGAATTTTCGCCGGTGTTTTTTTCATACCACCCATCATTTATTCAATACGAATAATTTTAACACCTTCCTGATTTAAAGTTCTGAAGATTTGCACTTTCAAGAAGGGTGTTGGAAAAGATCGAGTTGATTTTACTCATTATTGAAAGAATGTGAGAACTTCTAGTTAAAGGCCATGGGAGTTATTAACTCCATTTCGGGAGATCATGATTAGAAGCTTTGAAAAGTTCGTTCTTTCAAGGAGGATTTTGAAAAATTGTGGAGGACTTTTTTTCATCAATGAAACAGTTCGCTAAAAATACAGGTCTTAGAAAACAAACTTTTTCTATATTCTTTCTCAAATTTTTTCTCAATGTTTTTTGATGGCAAGGGACTACTGGGGCATCTTCCAGGAAACTCTTCGTTTTCCGAAATTTATTGCAAAATCACTTCAAACACCTTAATATGGGAAATTGGAAAAGGCTTCAAAGTACTCTATCAAATTTTCCATTAAGATGTCAATTCACCATTTATCTTTTTTTTGGGGATAATTTGGAAAGCGAAGGTTCCAAATTGCTATGAGCAGATGTCCTATATTGGTTAGATTTTTTGGAAAAAAAAAGAAAAGGTTTTAATAAACAGCAGAAAGTTATGTTTCTCAGAAAGCCGTCTTTTTTTTCACGAGAAGAAGAAGTCCTCGTCTGTTTTAATTTTATTTATGGTTCACGTTCAAAAATTCTATTTTCAATGCACTTAACATTACTAGCACGATATATTCTGTTCAAAAATGATTTCTGTGACTCGAAAAGGAGCATCGACTGATTTCCCGAAACGTCTTGAGGCGAAGAGTCGCTTTCAGGTCACTCCCCCTCTAAATATTGACGGTTTTTAACTTCATACAAGAAACCACTACAACGCTCACTTCCGTTTCATTTTCTGTATTCCACTTCAGATTCTCACCAGCACCGTATCCTAATCGAAAACCCTTTTTTTGTTTGTTCGTCTCCTTTTTGTGTCCTTTTGTGCTCCTCCCACTATTCTCTATCAATTTTCAGTGTTTGTTTAAACCGCCGGCGATTTTGCAGAGCTCCGATGAACGCCGGCCGGGCCACAGCCGCAGGAGCAAGATCAACGAAGAGGTTTGGAAGATTTCAGAAAATTTTCTCGAAAAACTCAAATGTGGGATCGATAATAAAAATGAATCTCGACAGCTGCGGAATGTGGTGCGCGAGAGAGCCGTCGAACCTCTGCCCATCGTCAACCTGGGCGAACCCGGAGAGTTCCGGACGATGTACGGCCGGAGGGACTCCAAAAACCGCAGAAGGGTCGCCTACGTCCCTGAGTCTACGACTAATTGATCCTGGTTCATTCCCGAAACTCTCATTCATTATATTGTTGTCTTCCTGAAGACATAGCTATGGAAAAATGAGCCGCGAATAAATAGGAAAATGTTAGGTCATTTGCGCTCCACCGATAATAGTACCTTATGAAACTTTGAGCTTTATTCCTAACTTTTCTCTGCAAATTTTCGAACTTTTTTTTCGAATTTGACGCCCTTACCCAATTCTGGCCCAAAGTCGAAGTGGTCACTAAAGGGGTCATGTTTCATTTCCATTCGGTACCCTTCATTTATTTTATTTTTTTCAGCTTTCCGAAATTTTTCAATTTGCATTCCGCGGTCCATTTTTCCAAAGCTATTTTTCCATTTCAACCAAAGATGCTCTACTTTTCTCAAGAATTTGCCCTAATTATTGGATTCCTAATATGGTTTTTCATTCGCTATTGACTGTTGAAGTTTCTTGTTGATTTAATTCAATTGAATTGCTTTTTTTCGTCCTTTTTAATTAATTTCTCGAAGTGCTAACCTCTTTTTGGCCGTTTTCTTACCTTGTCAGATAAAATTTAATCGATAATGATCTAGAATTTTTCACAAAAAAATTGAATCGATATAGATTTAGAAATTTTTCGTTAAATTAATTAAAAAAATATGTCTCCTTTAGAAACATTTCATATTCTCTGAATCACTCAGATCATTTTTGAAACTTTCAGATTTTTTTTTTCAAAAAAAAAAGTAGGCTGGAAACCTTTTTTCCCTTGTACTAGCCATCAGTTATTTGATCCCCTACTCCCTCGCTTTATTTTCGGCTCCGGCCGCCTGATCAGATCAGACATCGACAAATTACGAGATCATCCGGCCTCCTCCTGGGAATGACCGCGTGGCCGCCCACCCAAATCGACAGTTGTTGTCTTTTTGTTTACGTCTCGGAGTTCAGATTGGAAAGAACGATGTGAATCGAGTGTATCTGAAATTTATAAGAAAGAGGTTGAGGAAAGGCGCGAGAAATTGGATGGTGAAGTTACTTTTTCGCTCTATGGGTAATTATTTTTGAATGGGATGAAGCTTGATAGCTGTCCAGGAACTGACACAGCTACAAAACTGGGGAAAAAGAAGATTTTTTCGAAAATTAGTTCTGGAAAAAGAAGTTGTCGTTCAGATTTGGAAGAACAATGTAAATTTGGTGTATCTGAAAGTGAATAATTAAGAGGTTGAGAAAAAGCTCAAACTGGTGAAAAAACAAGCTTTTCACGAAAATTAGTTCTGGAACAATGAAATAATTTACAAGCTCGCTCTGTTGAGAATAATATGAAAGTCTATTTTCCAATGATGATTTGAATGATAATAGAGGATATTAACTTGAAGTTATCCATGAAAAAGGCATTTTAAAAAGTTTTTCTTTTTTGAATTGAATTTGGCAACGAAAGTAAGCTCCGGCTCAAAAAAAGAATACCAGAACTTTAAAAAAAAATTCCCCTCTACTCTTTCAAATTTTCTTCCCTGTGATATTTTTCTTTTTTTCAATTTCTCCAATTTCCTATCTTTCCCTATTCTAGGACTCCACTCTGTCTTGAGTAATGAAATACAAAAGTCGAAATGTTCAGAAATCAAAAGCACGTGAACACATGACCACGTAGAAAAGGTTATTTTTGATGCAACTTCGCCTTTTCTTCGGTTTAAAAACGTCTAGACCACGAAAAAGTTTATTAAAACGGAATAAAGACACTTGTGAAGGTATTGAAACATTTTTTTCAATTAAGAAGCTAAAAAGAAAACTTTTTCAAACTTTTTTTGAGAATTTTTTAAAAAAATCTTTGTTCATGAAAATGCTACTTTTCTCGTACTTCAAACTTCTCAAATTTCAAGCGACCAGTGCATTTTTTTGTTCAAATTTACTCAACTTTTCAGTGCTTTCAGTACTTTGAATCCGTGAGAAATCTAAAAAAGGAGCGAATCTCAAAACCTCTCCAAGAGCTCTAGAACAAAATTGAAAAGGCTCATATTTTTAGATGATTCCTCGCAGATTTTCGCTCGCCGAAAAAAAAAAGTAGAAGCCTGAAACCATGTGGTAATACAAGTGCATCAAAAAGTGTAAAGTTGTATCGAAAAGCGATGAAAAATGTTGTGATTTGACGGCCCACGCCGCGGAAAACGTCGTGTTATTTTTAGAGCGTATGGCTGTGAATATAGTTTGACGTTTTTAAACACTAGAGGGGACTCTTCACAATTTTCCAGAGCTAGTGAAATTGAATCAGGGTTTTCAGAAGATTCTGGAAATCAAGTAAACTCATTACAGGCGTGTTAAGATTGAAAATAAACCAAAAATTGTAACCAAAGCTAGAAATAATTTTTACTCTGAGAAGGTTCTTGAAATGTTGGTTAAATTAAGAGTGGATCTATTATTGAAATAAGCCGATTTTTGCCAAAATTTCACCTAGAAATAAAAATTAATGTTAAAAAAATAATTCTTTTTCTTTAGAATCTGCAAACCTTATCGAGTTTTCTAGTAGTAGAAATCTGTGTATTTTCTCAATTTTCTCAAAATTTGTCTTCAAAAATTTTCACTATCTGTTCTTGAGGCTTGTTTTTCCTGGAAAAGCTTGTCGATTTTCAAGTTTTTATCATTTTCAGATAGTTTCAAGCATCCCACAAGTTCATTAGTTGGTCTTCAAGTTTCAAATACTTCCCTTTTTATCTCGAAAATGCAGTAATCTTCATAAAAGCCCAAAAAAAATCAAGAATTTTATTCAAGCAATGTATAGTTATTTACAAGTGATCATGGAATATTAAAAGCATGGAATTTTAGATAGGGAGGAATTAAAAGTGAAGGACGCCAAAGAGATGATTTCCCAGGTCGTTCTTGTTGGTCGAGTAGAACAGTTGATGGAAGTAGGTGTTCCAGGTTTCCGGCGTGATCGTCGGCGTGTAATTGCCTTTCTTGTCCTGGGAATTTTCTCATAAATCATTTATCATTGGATAGAGGTAATCTTCGGGTTTAATTTTGAGTTTGAAATTTGAGAATCGGTTGAGAATGAACAAAGTTATAGTGGAAAGAGTATAGCTGGAAGGAATAATGAAACATTTTGGAGCCCTATTTGAAGTTTCACTGTAGCTTTTCAAGCCTTTCGACTTATTTCTTCTTAAAAACTTTATAATCAAAAAACCAACCACGGAAAACTTCTTAAAAGCTTCCTCGCATTCATGCGAACTGTATCCGTAGGTGTTCATCCCGTCGGTGTACTCGGCCAGATCCATCACTCCGTCGCCTTAATTTCTTTTTTCATACTCTGATTATAAACGAAAACTCACAAGAAACGTCGAAGAGCTTGAACATGTAGTTCTGGTAGTCCTTGAACCACTTGGGCTCCGTTTTGTGGACAAACTTTGCCAGGAGGCCGATCCATTCGTCGATTGAGATGAGTTGGTCCTAAAAATTGGTTATTCATGTCGAAATTAGGAAGTCTCCTAAGAAAAGGGTCTTGAAGCGATTGACAGAGAAATGAGTGAAATGACAGGAAAAGTTTGAATTTAAGCCTTGGTAATTTTTTTTTTGAGAGCCTTATTTTAATGATGGAAGGGGCTGTAGATCATTCACCGTTGCCTTCAGAAGATTTCCTACAGGATCAGAGAAATAGTGTGCAAAAGCGGAGGTTCAGACGATTTTTTAATCTCAAGCAAAAAGTCTGTCCCTGACATTCTTTTGGTCAGATTTCTTATCATTTTTCAATCTTTTTAAGTTATTTTATCTCACCTTATCACTATCAGCAAGCTTGCAAAGACCTTCCCAAAGGGCCGACAACGATTGTTTGGCGAATTCGGTTTGGACCGACTCGGCTCCGTAGATGTCTCTGACTTTCTGAAAAAAAAAACTCTAAAATTATAAATTTCAAAGTTTCGTCAATGGAGCGCGTTTGATTGAACTTGTAAGGCCTTTAGATCTCTTTATGATTTTTTTTTTTCGATTTATATGATTCTTGAATCTCCAGGGATACGATGGTCTAAATATTAGCCTTAAATTTTTCCTCAATTTTACTCAGAACCTTGAAAAACTTGAAATTACCTTGGTGACGAGGTAGAAGTCTCCCCAATCGACCTGGTGCGAGGCGTTGCGATCTGAAGAATTTTTTTATAATTTCCTTAATTTCATGAGATTTTTCCATCAAAAAATTGATGGAATTCAATGACATCAGGATCTTCTATTATCATTTCGAAAAGCTGTAAGATTTACCGAAGAACATGGTGAAAATGTGCTCCCATTTGCGGATCAGGAATGGATCAATATCCGAATATTTTGAGACGAGCGCGTCTGGGGAGATTTCCTTGGCGTTGTTAACCTAAAAAAATTTCGTTTTTTTATCGTTTACTTATATTTTTTTATATGTTATTTAGTGACATTCCTCAGAGGTTTTTCGGAAAATCCTAATGAAAAAAATAGCAATTAAAAAAATTTTTTGGATTGTATGTTCACATATATTTATTAAAAATTCTTATAAGTAGAAAAAAATTTTTATATTTCAATTTTTCTTAAAAGTCCAATTCACCGGTACCTTATTAAAAAAATTCAAGGAATCATCAAATTTTTCAAGAAATAGGCCCTGAAACCTTGAAAGGAAATGCTGGATTTTCGCATTTTTTTCATGAAAAAAATGTATTTGACAGGATCTCAAGAATGATTTCTTTATTCCTCATCTTAGCCTCTCATCTTTCATTCCCATTACGAAATTTAAATTTTACATTTTTTAGCAACGACCAGTTAGTGAAATGAGGTAATTGATATAAAATGAGCAATATTGTGCAATAACTTTGAAATAATTGACCAAATGAACTTACAACCATTGTGTTGAAGATGAAAGTCGAAAAGTTTTAAAAGCCGAAAACTCGAATGAGATTTGACTTGTAAGCCCGTGGTCTTGGCGATTCGTTTTATAGAGCAGCTAAACATTTGTGGGCGTGGCTTGAGCATCCGTGGGCTCAGACTCCGCCCACCATCCCGAGGCATTGCGCGTTCTTTTTATGATTGTTTTCCGCTGTGTCACGGGATGACGATCTCGTTTTTTAAGTTCTAAAAGAAGGTTTTTTGATTTCAAAACAGCGAGGAGGTCAAAAATCTGGGAATGGTTCAGTGACGAAACGGGAATGCTTGAAGAACTCAAGACAACTGAGCAAAAAATTTAGAAAATGCAGAAGATTTGTTTTGAAAAATACTGGATTCATCATGAATATTTTGATGATTCTATCCTAGTTATTGATGATTCTATCCTAGTTAATAAGGTTTGTTCTCATCTGAACATTCCTGCCCCGCTTAGTATCCATCGACATCCATGTAATTCTCGTTTTTAGACCGGTTAAAATCCAATTTTTCCTCTGTTCATTCTCGCAATATGTTTATTTTTTTGGTTTCAAAAGAGCCGTTTCTGCGCTTTTTCAAAAACACCATTGTACCATATTGTCGCGTTCGTCGTGATATGATTCCTCATGAACTTGTCCTCCTTCGCCGCCTTCGTCATCGTGTCTTTGTTCTCAATCAAGACGAAGGCAAATTGCGGTTTTATCTCAGAGACCTCACCATTGTTGAAAGGTCCAAATGTATCCCTTTGCCTGTACCTCGCAACACGAACATTTCTGTTAATACTAATTTTTACTCCTGTGAACAATATTTCTTTTTATTTCTAACCCTGTTAATGTCAACTTATCGGCTAATGTGAATGATATATCTGATCCTAATTCTATTTAACACTTGTGAATTATCATCATCTGGTGGGTCAAACCTTGTACATAATTTGAATTCTAACTCTTTTTCGCGGTCTTTCGCGCCCTCTCCCCGCGCTAACTCGATCTGGTCAAAAGTTGTCTTGCCTTTTACGCAAATATTCGCTCTATCAGATCTCCCTCCAAAAATTAACTTGCTTTTTTTGACCATTTAATTACTAACAATATTGATTTATGTTTTTTATCTGAAACATTTCTTGATTCAACATGTCATGATTCTCTTTTTAACAATTTTTTTTACAGTTTCGTACGGGTAGATCGGCCTACAAGCTCCTCTCGTTGTGGAGGTGGTGGAATCATCATTTTCTTCAAAAAACACCTGGGAATCGCAGAAGTGGATTTAGCCTTGGATCGTCACTATCCCGAACATTTCTGTGAGGTACTTGCCTTTGATTTTTATTCACCGTCCAAATCTAGGTTTTTCTTAGCTTACCGTCCTCCTTCCACTTCAAAAAAATAATACTATTAACTTGTTGAAACATTTATCCAAATTTTTTTACTTCCTTTCAATAACCATCTGATTGGCGATTTCAACCTTCCAAAAAAATTGATTGGTCTTCTCTGACTTCGACTTGCCCTCTTTCTTCAGTCTTTCTCGATTTTTACTATCACTTCTAACCTTACTCAATTAGTTCACTCTCCTACTCGTTGCACTTCAAGCACTGCTAACATTTTTGGACTTACTTCTAACAACCAACCCTTCTCTTTTTTTCGGATTTGTCAGTTTCTGAACCACTCTTAGGGTCCGATCACTTTTTCCATTCTATTTTTCCATTTCTGTCTGTTCTCCGATTAACCACACATCATCCGTTCGAAAGCTCAATTTAAAAAAATGTAATTTTTTTCTAGAGTTAACGACTTAATTTCTTCTTTCAACTGGGATCGGCAGTTCAGCTATTTTTTTCCTCTGTTGAGAGTAAATTTTTCTCATTTTTTTAAAAAAATTTTTTTAATGAAATTGTTCGTGATTCCTGTTCTAGTTTTCTATCTCCCCCATCAGACGTCGCCCATTCAACCATGACAATCGCATTCGCCGGCTAAATATTAAAAGAGCCAGTCTCATTCAGTGCTAATCTTTTTCAATAATTCTACCCGCCTCCAATTCAATCTACTGTATAAAAAAATCAAAGCTTGTGCCTCCTCCATCTCCTTGGCACAGGAAACTTACATTGCTAACAATTTCAACCATGTTCAACTTTCCAAATATATCTCCAAAAAACTCAAATGTTGTTCTTCCATCCCCAACATTACTTACAACAATTCCCTTATTTCTGAAAGCTCCTCAAAAGCAGATGTTTTTGCTCAAATTTTTAGTACAAATTTTTCTGATGAAGTTTACGATTTGATGCCCATTTTCCCTTCCCCGAAAGCCACTAACTGCTCTATTTCGTTCACTCCTGAACTTGTTTATAAAACTCTGATAGCTTTACCTCCCAAATGCGGTTTTTCGCCTGACTTAATCAATCAACTTGTTTTAAAAAGGTGCTCTACATCTATTTCTATTCCTCTGTCCATTCTGTTTAACGAATCATTTTATTCCGGTTTCATTCCACCCTCCTGGAAATCTACCACGGTAATTCCTATTTTCAAACGTGGAAAAACTTCAGATCCGTCAAACTACCGCCCTATATCCTTGACACATCCTTTGTCCCGGGTCTTTGAAAGGATTATTTGTGATATGATTCGCCGGAGATTCTCCTCATTGTTTTCTGAATCTCAGTTTGGTTTTTTAAACAAACGATCTTGCAAGCTTAACCTTCTATCTTGCCTCTCCTCTTGGCAAAAAAATCTATCGCCTCGAAAAAAATTTGTCGATGTTGTTTATTTTTGACTTTGCCAAGGCTTTTTGATAAGGTTAATCATTCTCTGCTTGTTCATAAGCTCAAGAACTTTGGTCTTGACGAAAAACGTTGTTCGATGGTACAAAAAAACTTCTTATCTGAGCGTGTTTCTAATGTTCTGATCGATGGATCCCGTTCTTCTCTTACTTATCTCAATACTTCCGGTGTCCTTCAAGGAACTGTATCTGGTCCTTTGCTTTTTCTAATTTTCATCAATGATATTGTTAACTACATTGACCATGAAACCTCAATCTCTCTGTTCGCTGATGATATAAAAATTTACAGTTCTAACCCTGAATCTCTCCAACGTAGTATTAATTCCATATTTGAATGGTCTTCCATTTGGGGCTTGCCTCTTGCTGCGCACAAAACTTTTGCTATCAACCTTGGTCCCCTCAATCCCAAAACAACTTATTTAATCAATGGTCTGTCTATTCGCAGAAAAACCATTATCCGCGATCTAGGTGTTCTTATCGATGATAAACTAACTCTCGCTCCTCACATTAACAATATCGTTTCTTTAGCAACTCTTCGTTCCAATCAGATACTCAACTGTTTTTCGTTCCAAATCACCTGATCTATTGTTCAAAAATTTTTTTAACACCTATGTAAGGCCTATTCTAGAATACTGCTCCGAAGTTTTTTTAACCCTCCCCTTAATTCTGATCTCTGCTACAAACTGGAATCTCCTCTCAGAATTTTTTCTCGTAAAATTTTTATTAGGTCCAACTTATCCTTTGAATCTTACTCTGATCGCCTTGAACAATTTGATATCTCTCCACTTTACCTCAGACGAGCTATATCTGACATTCTGACCCTTCATAAAATTGTCTTCGGTATCGATCATTTTCCCCAGTTCGAACTTTTTTTGCCCTCAGGTCCAATTTAAGGCGAAATCCACTTCGACTGCGTTCTCAAGGTCAGTTTTTCTAATGATTTTTTTCTTTAAAACAATTCCTACTTGGAACAAACTCACTTCCAAATTTCAATTCAGCCACCACCCCAAGTCTTTAAAAAATTTACTGGTCAATCTACCATTGCACGAGATCTTCTTGTCTATTCCTCCACGACTCAAATGATGTTTAACTGTATAATGTATTCTCTCAAATTCTAGATCCAAGTGAACTCGTTAGGGTTCACGCTGATCTGTCAATAAATTATTATTATTAATATGACTGATTTGGAAAAATGTTAATAAAACCAACGGAAAATATTAAAATATGAAATAAAATACATGTTTATCTATTTTTTTCGGCTTTCGAGATTTTGCTTTTTAAAAAAATGGATGGTATGAAAAAAAGCCAGCGAATTTTTCGAACGGCGACTCTTCCGATTTTTTTCATCTCGCTAGGGAAGTTTCCGACTGTGAAGTTCCCGGCTAAACTTTTCCTTCTTTTTTTCCCTTATATTTTTTTCGGTTTACAAAAGTTCTCTTAACATTGTTTTTCTTTTTTTCATGTGTTTTTAAACATGAATCAACAACCTATTTTAAATAGGAAAGTTCAAAATAAAAGATTATCGAGAGAAAAAAAATCGGAAAAGTTCGAAAATTCGCTTTTATTTCATCCGAAAAATGATCTTCTTCAAATTCTTCTAGAATAATTTTCAGTCAGCTCTGTAGTTTTCCGTAGTTTTAACCTCTGTTGTGGTAACTCTTGTGTTTTTCATAGAATTCAGATTAATTTTCTACCTAGAACTCAGGAAATTTGCTTTGGACTTAGAGTTTAGTTCTGAAAGGTCAGAATACCTGGAAATTTAGACTTTTTTCTCTGCTTTGAATATTTTCTACTTGGAAGCTAGTTCAATTAGGAAAGTTTTCTTTGGCATAGTTTTCCATCTATCAAGTACAGTTCTCTCAAGCTTTGTTCAGTGCAAAACTTGTAAAAAAATAAACCCATACTCTTAAATTAATCTTTCCACCTTACTTAGATCTCCAAAATCTTCAGGCTTTCTGATCAAAGAATTCACTTTTATTAGTTCCATTTTTCAAGTACCCGAAGAAGAAATCATCGAATCTTTATTTCAAAAGATGTTATCCGTAACACGGTAAGAAGAAAATGTTATCCGCAACATGTTTACCGGACGTCAGTTGGCCCAAGATTAAATGGTTGCGTGATGTTTGTCAATATTCCGGCCAAGTTCATTGAACTTCAGGAACAGCCGTCCTGAAACGAGACAAAAACAGTGGAAGAAGACGCATTGTCGGCGCATTTCCCGTTCTTTTTTGCTGGAAGCAATTGTTCTCCTGGAGCTTTACGTTTCAAGAAAAGACAAAGTGGAAGATGGATGAGTAGATAGATGGTTCTAGGAAGTTTGGATAGAGTTCAAAGTATAAATCAGGAAGCTAGGAATGATGATTAATTGAGTTTTGCAAAGTTTGAAGGAGAAAATTGAAAATTTCACCGAGTTTTGCAAAAAATTGTGAAGTTCAGAACAAGGGCTGTTGTAAGAAAAATCTGCAAGGATACTTTTTTTTTTAGTTTTTTGGTGCTGAATAGAAAAAAAAGCTTAAAAGGACTCCTTATTTAAAAAATAGAAACAAGGCGGTTCAAAAAAAGTTCTAGGAATAGAAAAAAAGTTATTGAAAGGAAACCGAGCGGGGCTAAGTATCTCAAAACCTTAAAAAAAATTTAAAAAATCTGAAAAAAATATACGGAGCTCAAAATTATTCAATTTCGGTTCAATAAGGTTTTGAAAATAATCTTATGAAAATAAAGATATTTGAAAAATTTGAAAATTAAGATTTTTTGGTCTTTTCCAGTAGAAAAAAAAAATGAAAATTGAATTGGTTTTTTTCTCACATTTACGGCGATTACCCAGTAAAACACCTTATTCAGCTTCCAAAAGAAGAAAAAGTTCACTGTCAACAGGAAAAATCATTAAAATTATCCCTTGATCAAAAAACGACCTCTCGTATCTGCACTGGATCCAGCTGAACCCAAAAAACATTTTTCAGACTAACTTTTTTTTTAGAAAACCATTTAGAGAAGAAATGAAAAGCGGAAGGAAGGTTTCGCCAGACGGGCCTTCATTACTTGGCGGCTCGCCGAAACGAGCGCTATTTCTCTTGCGGCCAATCATCTTCGCCGGAGTTTGTCCGGAGGTCCATTTTTCGGAAGCCGATGCGACCGCCATGTTGGCCGTCCTGCTGCTCTTGCTGTACTTCAGCTCTTCCGATGCCGTCGAATACAAAATCGCAGTTCTCATCCTTGGAGACCAGCCCTTTGCAGAGGCTTCAAGATCTGTCACGGTTGGTTTTTTTTTTATTTGAAGTTTATGATAATTTATTCATTCAAAAGGTGAAAAGAATGAAATAAAGTTGAGAACCGGCTTAAGATCACCCTCACGAGGGACTTTACCGGATAGGGTATAATGTAGATAATCAAAGTTGATGAATTACACGTATAGCCCGTTCACGGCTGGCTTGGGACAGCGAACGGGCGGTTTAACTTGCGCGGCGATGGTAGATCATGGCCGTCATACATGTGCCTTTAATAAGAGCCTTGTTTGGTGAATTATTTCTGTTTCTATTGAATTTATTTGTTTTTTACATTAATCTCATTGTTTTTACAATTTCTTGAAGTCGACAAATTATAAGAGAAAAACAAATAAGACATAAAATGGGGCTTTTATGGAAGGCGCATGGATAGTCGCCATGATCTACCTTCGCCGCGAAAATTGAACCGCCCGTTCGCTGTCCCAAGTCAGGTACATATGTTGAGGTTTAATTATAATTTTCATAGAAGCCGTCTAGGAGTTCTGGTTTATTATCTGCTTTATTGTCGGGAAAGTTGTCCAGAAGGGATCTGAAAATTTTTGGAGGGTCAGTGACGTGAAATCTGAAGCAGATTTCATTCCACATTGGGATTAGTTTTGAAAAAAGGAGCTTAGGAAAGGATCTTCTTAAGTTGAGGATCCTTTCCTCCGATATTTCCTAATTTTTCACAATTTTCTAACTTAGAAATCGAATATAGTCCATGTAGTTCACTTGACAGTTTCCGAATGTCTGCGTCTCTCTGTCTCTCACCGGCAAGGTCAGAGAAAAATGAAGACAGCACGTCGATGAGAGAGACATGTCGAGAGATTAGGAGAGCGCAGAGAAGTCCTGCCCTTTCAAGTCCCGAAAAGCCCCGTTTTTAGCCTCATTCATCAAATAAGAAGAGCTCTTTTGTGAATTTCTCTTTTCATTTACATGATATCCAAAGCGCCTCCTAAGGAAAAGTAAATCAAAAAAAGGATCATCAGATATTGTTTAAAAGAGAAGTTTTAACAAACAAAAAAAGAACAGAAATCTTAAAAATTTCCGGTTTATTCATTTATTTTTTGCATAGAAAATTGCTAAATAACTGACAGAAAAAAATATGCTTTTTTTACACTTCCTGTTTATCGAATTTGATAGTGGAAATGACAGGTTTTTTTGAATTCGATATGAATATTGTCATTTTCCCGGAGTTCTATGAAAAAAATAAAATATTAAAATGAGAGCTGGGAGGTCAAAAAGAGCTTTTTCTGATTTAGATTTCGATATTTTTCTATGTTTAAAGCTTGGCATAGGGAACAAAAATTAAAAAATTCGTTTGGTCAAAGAAAGAAGAAGAAAAGTTCTGATGATGAGCCGGAGTTAGAGAACAGTGCCGTTTGAAGAGACGCCAGAGAAGAAAAAAGAAAAATGTTTGCGTCTCTTCAAGCCTTCGCTGATCTTATGACTTCCTCTTTTCAGTGAAACTCTCCCCCTGAAGTATAGAGGTTCATTAGAATCAATTAGAAGTCTTTCCTGCACCCTATTATCCTTTAATATCAAAAATTATTCAAATTAAGTGGATGTTCTTACAAAAAACCTCCTTCAGAACGCCATGGAAGAGGTGTTCGGAGGGCAGATCTACTCGATGGGAGAGGACACCGTCGAGGCGGTCTACGTCGACGGGACGTCTTCTAAAAACCCGCTGAACCGTCTGGAACTGACGTCGGACGTCGTCTGCGGCCAGATGCTCAACGGCTCCCTCGCCGCCATCGTCTTCACGCCGACGATGACGTCGACCTCGACGAGCGAGTATTACACGCTGCTGTCGACGGCCGCCTACGCCTTGTCCTTCTACCACATGCCCGTCGTCGGCGTCATGGCTCGAGACGCCGAGTTCAGCAAGAAGGTTTTTGGAGTGGCGCTTGACCAAACCTAACATTCAGAATCGGAGACTTATTTGAAAAAACCTACCTTTCAGAACTACAACCTTTATTTGAAACTTAAGCTTTTTTCTAAATTCAGTTCTGAATTGGTGGCTTTCTCACTTTTTCATGTGTTGACATTCTGAGTCTAGCAGGGAGGTTCTCGGATTCAAAGAAACTTGAAAAGACTGCAAAAAAAAAATGAATTTTTGTCCTAGTGAAAATAAATGACGTCATAATTATGGAACATAGATTTGAGTTTTCTCAATCACGCATAATTTTTAAATGACGTCATAACCTTCCCATCAGATCTGACGTCATCAATCGGAGAAAAAGTTCCAAAAGAAGTTTCAGTGATTCAAACGGAAAGGATCTGGCGAGAAGGACGTTTGACTTTATGATGACGTCCCTAAAAAGTTATGAAAAACTGAAAGAATGACGTCATAATTATGGAACAGAGTTTTGAGTTGTTTCAATCTCGACAGAGTTTAGAACGCTTAGTTTTTAAATGACGTCATAACCTTCCCATCAGAACGGACGTCATTAATCGAAGAAAAAGTTCTAAAAGGAGTTTCAGTGATTCAAAACGGAAAGAATCTGGCGAGAAGAACGTTTGACTTTTTGATGACGTCACCGGAAAATTATCAAAACCTTCATTTTCTTTCATTAATTGAGATAAACTGTGAAGTCAATAATTCAGAATATCTACCCGACATTTGTCCGACCAACCGCTTCCCTTTCTGATGAATCCTTTGTCTTCATGCATCTCTTGCTCCGACTTCAGTACCGACAGGTTTGAAGTTTAAACTTTCAAAATCTCAGAACTCGCCTAAGGTCGTTGTCTTGAGCGTCAAAGGCGACCGGAATGGGGAAAGATTCGTGGATGAGTTTGAGCGGAGACGTCTCGAGTTTAAAATAATTGTGAGTTTCTACAAAATTCGAAATTTTGCCATTTTTCCAAGGTTCAAAGATACGTAGAGGTCGAGCTGGACAACAATCTCAATAATACATTGGCTGAACATTTCGAGGAGGTCACTTCGAATATCATTGTTTTATTTGCAAGGTTTTGAAGGCTTTTCTGGTTTATTCAACGTTGAAGCTCAGGAAATCGCACGCGGTTCGCATTTTCGAGAATGCCGGTGATCAGACTGGGCCAGGAAAAGTCTGGGTTGTTAGCCAGAGTGCCAGTGAGGCGCACAACTTGCCCAAAGGTTGGGAGTCTGAAATTTTCTTCGAAGTTATTTATTATTCTGTCTCGGGTTTTTTTTCTGTATAGTTTATTCATGGCTACATTGAGCCTTCAAAAAAAAGGGTCCCGACGCGATAAAAATAACAGTACCTAGTAGGTGGAGAGCGCAGACAGGCCACGCCCCTTTCGCGTCCTAAACATCAGAATGAGTGTGAAAAGTCGCTCCAACTTCGTCAAATTGCAAAAATCGAGCTAAACTCAAGATTTTTATAGCGATCTCTTCTCATTACATGTTGAGCCATTCTCAGTGCGACCAAAATTTTGAGGCCGAAAATATTAAAGGAGATATTGAGCCAATTTTCGACATGGCAAAAAATGAGCTTAGGAACTCCAGAGTGCTCCCTATAGGGACTAGGAGAAGAGACCGCCTCTTTATGAAAAAAAAAAGTGATCCCTATAGGAATAAAACTTAGGTTCCCCCAATAGGGGTTCAGGGTCTAACCCTCAAGCCCCTAAAGCTCAAGTGATCCCTATAGGGGTTAGGGGAAAAAATAGGACATAAAGAAGCCCCTACGGGGTTTTTTAGTTTTCCGATTTTCGTCAGAGCTAAAAAAACAAAATAGAGCAAAAACTTTTATGTTTTTCTTACCCATTTTTCTTTTTTTTTTTTTTCGTATAACAAGTAAGAGGACAAGAGAGCGCAGACGAGTCAGACATTTTCAAGAGACGGTGAATCAACTATAATTATAAATACTATTTTCCTAGGTTCACTCGGTTTCCGGCTCAGTCAGACTCCAAACTCTGTTCTCCGAGACTCTCTAGCCATCCTCAAAAAATCCCTGGAGAAAGTTCTGATTGGCGAAATCGGCAAGCCTTTGCTACCGCCCATGGAGTGCGACCGCGACAGTGTAGCCGTCAAGTGGAGTGACGTACAAGCTCCGGCCATTCTGAAGTTTTTTTCCGAGATTTTTTGAAGAAAAAGGAAGGATTTTAGAGCGATTTGTGAGACCAAAACCCAACGAATCCATTTCAATGATCAATGCGAGAGGATCAGTGTGGAGTATGACGTCATCAATTTTCACGAAGGCCGACGTCAAGTCGGCAGCTTGGTTGGTTTTGTTGAGCAGGATTTTTCCAAAAGCGGTAGCCAAAAAAATTTTTTGTCGTGAAACCTAACTTCCACTTGAAATTTGACAAACTTTCTAATTTTTCATAAAAATAGGTGTCTAAAGGAAGGGAATTGACTGAATATCATATCAGAAAATAGAGAAAAAAAGTCAATATTTAAATATTTTTCAGATTACAAGAAAATGTTTAGTTGAGCTATTAAGACAAGTTTAGTGCCGAACCAAAAAAAGGCGTCGGGAAAAAAATTACCTTTTTTTGATTTTTGAGCGTTTCTGAGCTTCTTAATAATAATAGTTTATTCACTGCCATAAAAACATTAGGTAGTATAGAAAAAAATTATAAATGATCAACATATGACGGGCAGAAGAATAACAATACGCGGGAAGGAGTCAACCCCAACGAGTTGACAGGTACCCGGAAGTAAGAAGAAATTTTTTATAGTAGGCGAGAAGGGATATTTTCATAAAAAGCTTGACTTCTAGTCGAAAAGGTCATTATTATCACCCCATCACCTTTCAAACCGCAGTAAATTGACTCAGACTGGTGGTGATCTGAGACTCGACGAAGATGCGATCCGCTGGGCGGGAAGCCACAAACCGCTGGAGATCTCCCTTCCGAAGCATCTCCGAGTCGTCACCGTCGCTGATGCTCCGTTCGTTTTCGCCACGCCGACGATTTCCCTTCACGACTGCAAGGAACTCAAGAGCGTCAAGATGAAGATGGCCAAGGATGACGTTATTGATGTGGTGGGTCCTCTCGGGGGTTATGCTACCACGGGGTCTCGTATAGAACCCGTTGGCACAGTTGGCTTCTTTTTTAAACCAGATCTGACCCTGGTGCTGGCCAGGTGTCTCAACGGGTGTACCCGTATTGACCCTTTCTCGATTCGCCTGTGGAGATCTTATCAAAGACAATTTATACCTCTGACTTCTTAACCATTACTTCAAGCATTTCTCATTTTTCTAGCCGGGACCATGGTTCCCATGCCCGATGGAGGCCGGAATCAACACCACTCGGCAATTATTCTGTTGCTCTGGACTTGCTATCGATTTATTGACCTACCTTTCACAGCCTGAGGTTTTTTGTTTGATAAGTTTTAACTTATCGGAGAATTTTTGGGCTGACAACAGCATCGACACGAGCTTCACTTTCTCCCTGCATTTAAACGAGAGCTACGGGGTCGTCCAGGCGGCGGATGTGAGTGATTTCGAGATGGTCGCATTTGGAATGGCTTGAAGCGCGAAGACTGCGAAGCGGTCGTTTCCTTCGGCCTAGGCGGACTTTCAAGCATGGGAAAGTGTCAAATTGAGCAGCTGTTTGAGCCATTCCAAATGCGGCCACCGTAATCGGTTCAAAACAATTGGAAAATGTCAGGGAGTCGGAATGGCTATAAATGGAGCGATAGGAGAACTCGACGCTGATATGTCGGATATGGCAATTGGCGCCCTAACGATAAATCCCGAGCGCGAGAGGATTATCGACTTTTCCGAGCCCTGGCTGTACCATGGGATTCGGATTCTGGAGAAAACGGTAGTTTTGAAGAAGAGATTTCTTTTCGAATCTCAATTAAATCATCTAAAAAATGGAATTTTTACATTTTTTGTCCGTTTCGTTCAGAATTTCGATAAAAAAGATTGAACTATCCGAAATTTTCATCTAGAAGAAAAGCTCAAAAATCAATACGAAGATCTTTTTCCACACATTTTTGAAATGAATTTCCTCCCCTTTCAGATCCCCCGAGACTCCCCAATGCAATCCTTCCTGCAACCCCTAGAGTCCTCACTCTGGACGGCTCTCCTCGTTTCCGTCGTTCTCGTTGGCCTCGCCATCTTCCTTCTCGACTTCAAATCCCCATTCGATCGATTTTACAACGTCGACAAGTCCAAATTGGCGCCAGATGATCCGTTTTTGGAGAGGACCGTCGATGACAACGTCAACTTCGGCGAGGCGATGTGGTTCGTCTGGGGAGTTCTTCTCAACAGCGGCGTTTCAGAGAGTAATTTTTTTTTTCAAAAAGCATAAATGATTCATATCCCGGCTTGAAAGAAGACGATGGACAAATGATTATTTGATTGAATTTTGACACTCGAAAGGACGTTTTTTTTTCTATGTACGAAGTATCACCAGAATGTTCTAAATAACAGCCAGAAAAACTCAAAGAAGTTTCCGAACGTTTGAACTCCATACAAGGAAGTTTCCGCACCTTTTCTGACAAAGAGATGTAACAAAACGTGCCTCCATTGCCTTCCAAGTCCAAAAAATCGACTAAAGTTCAAAATTTTCCTTCAGAAACGCCAAGAAGCTGCTCGGCGAGGGTCCTGGGAATCGTTTGGTGCGGATTCTGCATGATTATGGTCGCGTCTTACACGGCCAACTTGGCGGCGTTCCTAGTTTTGGATCAGCCTGAAAAAGGCCTGACCGGAGTCACCGATCCTAGGGTACCTTTTCAGTGGTTTTTTGAAGAAATAGAGCCAATAAAAGAGGAGCCTTGAAATATGGATCCGATGTTTTTGAGCATCTGGTCTCAATATTATTGGAAATCGCAGAGAATTCAGTTTTTTTTTTTTTGAATTACCTGCATCAAGACAGCTGATGAATAGTGTACAATGCTTTTTTATTGTTATATTTATTTTTTTAAGACCAAAATTTCACGGCTTGGAAGCTTTGATGTCGATGAGCTTGATAAAAAAACCGGAAAATGACTATTTTTATCCATAGAGCAACTTTGCTTCAAATTTAATTTAAGGCAAGAAATCGATATTTTTTTAGTTGTTTCTTTGAATGAATCTCAAAAAAATAGGTTTAGAAAAAAATCCGAGTAGATTGTTCAACTTAATATTGACAGTGCTTCAAGTTAGTATTATTATTCAAAATGTCATAACCACCGTCTTGAAAAACAGAACTTCAGCCTGACCTCACCCTAAAAATCACCATTTTGCAGCTCCGAAACCCGTCGGCCAACTTCTCCTTCTGCACGGTCCTCAACTCCAACGTCTACCAGTACTTCAAGCGTCACGTCGAGCTCTCCACCATGTTCCGGAAGATGGAGACGCACAATGTTCGCAAGGCGTCCGACGCGGTCAGCGCTTTGTTGAACGGCTCTCTCGACGCCTTCATCTGGGATTCGACGCGGCTGGAGTTCGAAGCGGCTCGGCATTGCGAACTGAGAACCCGTGGGTCGCTTTTCGGAAGGAGCGCCTATGGAATCGGCCTCCAGAAGAACAGTCCATGGACGCCGCACATCACGGCCGCCATTTTGAGAATGACGGAGAGTTAGTTTTTTTTTTCCTTGGCTCTAGTGTTTTTGGGTGTCTGTGTCTCTTGGTTTCTTCATTGGTGAAGTTAGAGAATCAGGAAAATAGTGCGTTAACATGAGAGGGTTGCCGAGAGAGGAGGAGGGCGCAGAGAAGTTCTTTCCTTTCAAATCATGGAAACGGAATATAGTTTGACTTTTGAATGTCATGTTCATGACCCATATCTAGAGACTGCAGCCAAATTTCATTATACTGTAAAATCTTTCATGATCCGGTAAAAGGTACGATTTCACATCCCGAAAAGTTTTTGTTTTGAAAAAGATTGAAAATGAAAAAAGTTTTCCTTGTACTGAAATCTTTCCTGTGTCTCATCTTCTCGAAGGGCCACTGAAGCTTGTAAAACTGGTCCCTATAGGGGTTTAGTTAGTGACCCCTATAGGGGACATGCTAGTCGACAATCACTCTGAGCGAAGAAGCATTTCCATGAGAAAATTGAATAAAAAGCGTTTTTTGAGTTAATTAAAAAACCCCTAAAGGGTCCACTAGAGCTTTAGGGGCTAAGGCGTCAAACCTTAAACCTCTATAAATTCCACCTTACCCCTGTCGGGACCACTTTTTCGTCCCCTATAGCGGTTGTTTTCCCCCTTACCCCTATAGGGACCACTCTGGAATTCCTAAGATAGTATTTGAAAAAATGAGCCTGGAAACCGCAACGCGACCGCGATTCTTTGAACTATTCCCCTTACTTTTGATTTTAGGTGGAGTGATGGAAACGCTGGACAAGAAATGGATCGATAACTCTGGAGCGACCTGCATCGTTGAAGTCCACAAGTCGCCGGCACGGCTAGGCTTATTGAATATGAAGGTTCTTTCTATCCCGATACTCCCAACTTCAAATTTTCTAGGACATCTTCATTTTGATAGCCACTGGCGTGCTCCTCGGCATGGCTTTGAGTTGCGTCGAAGTATCATACGGACGTCGGCTCGCCACCAGAGGGTTCAAGCTGAAATTAGAGGATTTCGGCAAATGATATCTTCAGAAGGAGAAGACTGCTGGCGATGAGGTACGCCGAGAAATGGCAAAGAATCGCGTGTGGAGCGAGACCGAGGCCGCGTTACGATCTAGCAAGGCTTGTAGTTCGGCGAGGCATGTCCGGAATCGAGCCTTGCACTTTTGAGGTTCTAGTTTTTAGTCTTTAGTCTCTACATCAAAGACTTCAGTACTTGAACAGCTTGCCTCAGATAAATCGACGAGAGTTTTATCATTGGAGCACACTTTCATCCCTGTCATTCTTTTTTAGTAAATTTTCATCGTTTATCATTGAATATTGCTTTCTACTCATTCCGAAAATTGAAATAACTGAACATGACATTCAAACGTCAAATTATAGTCCGTTTTTTGCGACTTGAAAATGCGGGACTTTCCTGCACCCTCCTCATCTCCCAATTTTACGTGATATTTCCATGTTTCTCTAACCTCGCCGGTGAGGGAACAGAGAGACGCAGACACGCGAAAACTGTCCAGTTGCGCCGGATGGACTTTACAGTGAGATAAATCATAAAAGAAAAATGAACCAGAGGATGAGAGCAAGCGCGCCCCACTGATAATAATCTTGCCGATTCACTTGTGGCAAGCTTTACAAATGCCGGAGGCTTTCTTATTATTTTAAGTAATTTTTTCATAGCTCTTGGTTAAAGTTCAGAGACGTTACTGGGACAAACTTGAGCATATTCTAATTTGAAAAAAAAAAAATTTTTTTTATTTTTTTTTTCACCTAGAAACCAGGAGATTATAAGGTAGTTCACAGCCAATTTTCACAACAAAAAAATCGGATGAAAGTTTTTTTCCAGGAAATTCGCAGAAGGAGAGAAATGCGTGGACTGGATACAAGCCTTATTAGGCGCGATCGATTCGTTCCTGATCTGAATTTCAGGGACAAGCCACTCATGTTGTTCTGTCCACGGTGTCGGGTTAGTGGGATTTGTTCTGTAAGCAAACTTTTTCGCGCCCTCAAGCCAATTTTTCCTTGACCAGGTTCTCTGAGCCTAAAGCTTTTGTTATAGTCGATCCTTCACGACTGGAAAAGCGAGATGGGTATATTGGCAAACGTGAAGCGTTGCGTACGCGACGCGCTTCTAAAGAGAATCTCGGAAAGATTTTAAAAAAACTTGGCTCGCCATCAAATTACCTGATAGCCACCAACGCTCCACCCTCGCCTTTCAGTTCGATAAGGATTGTCTATATAATGAATCTTTTTGAAGAACCTGGTAGAAACGGACGTCCACCGAGTGAATGGCCTTTTCGCGGTAGTCTGCTCGGTCCTTCTGGCGCTGGCGTTCCTGTGGCCGTGCTCCCCGCTGCCGTGCTACCTCGGCTGCTTCGGCGACTACGTTCACATCTGTCCGATGTGCGCCCACACCATCGGAAGATTCAGAAGAGCCCGGACGCCGAAATTCTACGTTTGAGCAACCTCTTTCCAGGCGGAACCATGGTGTTGAGCAAGGTCTTTTTTCGTTTCAAGGGAAGTTGGAAAACCTGGTATAGTCCATTCCAGACCAGCTCGTCACTTTTTTTTCTGACCAAAATTCGCTTCAAGTCCTTTTTTAACTGTCTATTTTAGTTTTGTAGCGCTTACGGTAGCATTTTTCGGTTGTGGTTTTAAAAAGTGACCGTTTCGCGCGGAGTGCACTATAATGTCTACTCTAGCCGACTTTGAAGAAAATCTAAAAAAATAAAAAAGGGAACATTAATTAAGTTAAGTTGATAACTGAACTTTTAACCATTTTACAACCAAGTTTATAAAAATCCAATTTTCCATCAATCTCTAAAAAAAAGTTTAGACCTGAAGGAATTTTATGTGATAATAACGGGTGTCTGTACTTCGTCAGTTCAATAAATATTATCATTCTGTCCTGCAGAAAACTTCAAGCCGATTGTGAAATCTTGCCCTGTAACAAACAAGAACAGCGGAACAAAGCGTTATCGAAAAGTATCGCTCAGTTTCACGTCTCTTATTAGGGAATAAAAATATATTTCAATCTGAGACTTTGAGTTAGAAATGATGTTTTCATGTTCCAGAGCTTGAATCTTCTAAATTTCACTAGGAAAAAAGGAATGAGTCAAAAAAAGCAGCTGGTTTTGTTTTTAAACCAAAGCTTTGTCAAAGTGGCGAACAGAAAAGTAAAATCGAACAGGTCGAAAATGGCTCAAAAGTATGGATTTTACAGTTATTATCTTTTTTTCTCTGATAAATAAAAAGAAAGTAAATGAAGAATCGACAAATAGAAAGTCAAAATAAAATCCCAATGATTTCAAAAAACCGAAATTTCTAAATTCTTTTGAAGTCCTAAGACCGTTTGTGGGAAAGTGAAAAACGGTTTTCCTCTTCCCTCACTAGCAAGGGATTTTACTTTACGGTTTAAATACCCTGAAAATTCGCCAAAACACTCCTTGAAGTATCAGAATAAGGTTCTCGAAGTCTTAACTTGCACAACTTTCTAGTTTCTTAGAAGAAAGCCCCAAAAAAGCTCATTTTGATCGGTTTTTTTCTTTTTGACTTCTAAGTTACCTTCCTTAATAACTAGAACTTCCCGGATCTTTGTTCAAAATTCATAAATCAGGCCAGGCCAATTTCCAAGAAAGTCCCAGTCGCAATATGGAATTTCTCAAACTCGCTCGGAAATTGTCAAGCTTAATTTTTTTTTTTTTGGTGTGTGATCAGGTATAGTCTGTGTGCCACGACTTGTATTTTCATGGAACGACACTCCGCTGTGCCGTTGCGCGCCTTTGCGAACCTTGGTCGCGCTTTCAATTTTTTATTTTTTTATTTTTCAAGGTACTCTACTTTCATGTGCTCCCACAGCAACAACAATCCATTGGAAGCGTGGCCTAGATTCGAAAGACGCTTCGCGAACGCACGCAGCGGAACAGCGGAATGTCGTTCCGTGAAATTTCAATTCGTGGCACACAGACTATAATATGAAGGTTTCCGAAAGTTAGAGAACAAATTCTGAAGTTTTACTCGTTTTCCTGAACTGAAAAGGAAACCGTACTCCTCTGCGATACATTCGGTCCTTCCTTCCTGACTCTCTCATCATACAATTCGAAGAAAAAGAACGCCTGGGGATGTTCTAGAAGGGCGCTTCACTGATAAGGATTCCTCATACTAGCTCCGCCCGATTCGTATTGTCCCTCTCTCAACCAGTTTCGAAGCTACCTCGCTCCATAAATGGTCGACTCCGGAAAAATGGATCTTTTCTCTACTTTCGCTTCTTTATTCGACGCCGACAAGCTGCAACAAGCGGCTCCTCAGTTGTTTGAAGTACTTTTTCATCATATTCCTTTTCTCAAGACAAACTTTCAGAGAGTGAATCAAATCTTGAACGATGAAGAAGTAGTCAGGAAAAAAGATCAGAGATATCATAATGGTGGTTTAATCAATAATAAGATTTTAAAAAATTGGAAAAGCTTTCAGGAATGTGGGCTCGCGAAGGTTACAAGCCAGGAAGAAAACAAAGAACTTCAAAAACAAAGGTATAGTTCAAGGTTTTTCATAAAACGCGATGAGATTGATTGAAAAATCTGATTTCTCTGCTCTCTCTTTTTTCTTGACGAGGTCTCGTGATTTTTTCATTTTTGTATGAGTCATTGGGACCGCAGAGCCTACAGTATGGCCTCGAAAGGGCGTACTCTCATTCGAAATAGTCTCATTCCGAACCAAATCCGAACCTTCTAGAAATTGGTCACATGCATTTTAAATTGTTTAAATTAGTAACGACTAAAAATTTTTTTGATTAAAACTTCCTTAAAAACCGTACAACTCACAAAAAAAGTACCCAAAAATGTATAACGTCGAAATTTACAGACAAACGAAGAAAGACGGTCCCAAAACCGTCAAAACACTAACAATTGTAACAGAAAGACCAAGGAAGAAATCGAGAAGATCAAGAATTTCAACCGGCAACTCGAAGAAAAATTTGATTACTACAAGGATTTGGCTAATTTTTATGAAGGAAACAAAGTGAGCCGCCTTAGCTTTTCCGTATAAAATTCGGATTTTTAGATGATAATCGATTCAATCATGACTTACTCTCCCGGTTAGTCGAATTATTAAAAAAAAATTTTTTTATTTCAGAATTATTTGTCATTCGTAACTTGAACGATTTTTTTGCTTCTTGGCATTCTGGGACGACAGCGAACCGCCGTTTCAGGTTAGTTTCAGAACTCTGTTGACTTATAAAGCTTCTCATGATGCTTGAACAGGCTCAAGAATTTTCATAAGCTTTTCAGGTTTCATTTACTAGGTTTCTGGAACTTTTCTAGTGAAATACGTCTGTAACTTAATGAAAACGTTTTTAAGAGAGCCAGAGTGGTTCCTTTAGGGAAAACAGTAAAATCTTTGGAGTTCTCCCACGGCATTCCTAATGGGGTGAGGGAAGGTGAGCGAGGCGTCAAATTTTCTGAATTTACAAAAAAAAAGTAAGTGCGCGCTCCGGATAAAATGACGTCATATTTACACTGAGTATTAAAATAGTTTGTTCCATCGTCTTTGGCTGCGTATTTGAGATTTCAAATTTCGCGCCAAATTTTTTTGACGTCTCCCCACCCCGCTTGGGAACGCCGTGCTCCTTCTAGAGGTCACTAAATTTTGTAAAGTGGCCTTTGTAGGGTTTTCGTTCAGTGGCCCCTATAAGACATGCTAGTCGTTTATTACTCTGAACTCAATGAGAAGAAGCATTTCCATGAAAAACTCTATAAATTGGCGCTTTTTGATCACTGGAGGATTCATCGACTTTCTTTTATCGAATACGCCTTTTAATTTTCAAAACGAAACTTCAAAGAAACTACGTAGGGACCGCGTGTGTCATCTCCCTACAGAGATCCCCTAAATTTTACCCCTATAGGGAGCACTCTCCTTGTGAGTCCTATATTCCTTACTTTACCTGAATTCTTTCAGAAAGAAATAATTGAGTGCGAAAAAACGATCTACTGTGAAGAGGAAAAGAAGAGAGAGGTAATGAATGGGTAGCAGTTAGATTTGATGATTAAACTCAGGACGGCCGCACAAAAAAGGAAAACAGTTCTAACAATAACATAATATTCCGTGAGAGACGAAAACTGCAGTGCTTCAGTTTGTACGCCGAGAATTCGAATCTCCGAAAGGTTATTTACCTTTATAGTTAGAATTCATTCATTGTTTTCATTTTCCAGGAACTCCGAAACTTTTCGATAAGCTGGCGCGTCTTCAAAGAAGTCGAAACATACCTAAACCAATACATCACGTCATACTCACCATATTCTCAATACCAAGAGGAGATATTTGAACCGATCCCGAATCATTTTGGATTTTAATGTTGATGAAAAAAAACCCCCTCCTGCCAGGGCTGTTGGCAAGTTTCCTATGCCTTTCCCATATTCGATTTCTACCCATATTTGAAAATGTCAAGGTTTTTGGCTGGTCCCATGATTGTTGACCTTTTCGAGTAGGTTCGGTTCCTGACTAGGGTATGGTCTCCCCTGAACATCGAGTTGAGAATTGAGACTATGTAGGTTTGATAGTCCTAGGGAACGGGTCTCGGATTCAAAAATAAAATTCTGCTAAACCCCTCAAGCAACAGAGGAAAAGCTCGTCGAAATTTTCCCAGCGCGTATATCCCCGTGCTCGGAGCCCACGGCTAGCGACTGGCGGCGTGGTGTAGTGGTAGTGGTCTCCCGAAGCTTGTCAATATTGTAACCAGGGTTCGAATTTTTTTGGCGGATATCATTTTTTTAAAAATTTAAGAATATGACAAAAAAATGATGGAAAAAGTTTTTTTCCCCTTTTTTCTGTACAATTGCTGATGGAAACAACCTGATCGAAAAAAATTCGAAATTCAAAAATTCAGGAGGTAGACTGTTTTTTTCTGCCAATTTTTTTAAATAATAGGGATTTTTTTGATCAGGTGGTTGTCATTAGCCTTGTACACTCAAACAAAAAATTTTGTTAAGGATGAGTTTTTGCAATCAGTTAATTTTTTTATTCTCATTTTCATAAAATTTTAGGGTAATTATTCGAAAAAATACTCAAAAATACGAAATTGATGAAGTTATAAGTCGGCAAAAATTATATCCGCCAAAAGGATTCGAACCCTGGTCACATTTTTTGATTGACAAGCTTCGAGAAACCACTACCACTACACCACGCCGCCAGTTGCTAGCCGTGGGCTCCGAGCACGGCGATATACGCGCTGGGAAAATTTCGACGAGCTTTTCCTCGGTTGCCTGAGGGGTTTAGCAGAATTTTATTTTTGAATCCGAGACCTCTTACCTAGGACTTTCAACCTACATAGTCTCAATTCTCAACTCGATGTTCAGGGGAGACCATACCCTAGTGAGTGCGCAATCGTTTTGCATTGTTTTAACTTCCCCGTTTTGAGCCACTCCCGTGTCCGTCTGATTCCTAGTTAGTAATTTGATTTTGAGCCTATATTGGCAATTGTAACCACTTTCCAATCGAAAACCCCTGATAATTTCAATATCCAATCAGTAGGTGTCTTGGAAATTTTACGACTTTATGGTATATTCTGGATTCTAAGCGTACATCAAAACAAAACAAAACAAAACAAAACTGTACGAGGTTTTTCATAAGCTAACTGAAGGTCAGTCTCTTCCCATTTTCTTCACGTCTAACCCATTGTGTGAGAGTTTCGTGATTCTAAAGAAATTTTTTATTAACCCTCATAAAAAGATGTAATATCTGGAATTATGAATAAACGATCTATCTGTCACTTGCATTGAACTTGCACTAAATCTTCAAAATATTCATTTACATGGGTAAAAAGGACGTTGTTGGCTGACGAGGTTAGGCTTTCTGGAAAAAAAGGAGCTACCATTATTTTTTATCACGAAATCCTCACTTCTTTCTTTTTCTCTCCCTCTACAACTTTCTGGAGCCAAGGCGGCAAGTTGTTGTACTTCTTCTGGACGTACTCGAAAAATTCGACGATGTTCTTATTGAATTCGAGCCGTTTATTCACAGCATCCACGGCGGCTTGTATGAAACTGAAAACTTTCGCTCACGATGGAAGGACACACCGATAATAAAGAATACACAAATCGCTATCCAAATCGAAACCTGCGTAAAATCATCATTTTTCACCAGAGAGCAATTTTTCGGGGAAAGTTGGCAAATTTAACATTGATAGAAAGATTTTGCGAGAAAAAGAGCTTTGGTGACAACAGAAAAAATTGAAAGTTCACGGCGTTTTAAAAAGGGTGGACGTGAAGAGAAAAACTGGCAGGCGATAAAATGTGCCCTGATGAAAAAGTTCTAACGGCGGAGTACGGTAGGAGGAAGCAAGTTCGCGCCAGCGTACACTTCTTATCAGATAATTATTAATTTTTCAATTCACTTTTTCTTTTTTTTCACTTAATTTCGTTGTTTTTAGATCTTTTTGCTCCATTTTTTCTCCAGTTGTTAATAACTGAGACGAACATTTTTCGATGAACACGATTTTTCTTGTTCCCGATTTCGCGAAGTTTTCAGTTTTCGCAAATCGTCTAAGATTTGGACCTTAGCCTTATATTGCAATTAGTTTTGTGTTTTTAACTTGTTCTCCATCGTTTGATTGATAGTGAAACATTTTCAAAAAAAGACTACTTTTTAGTGATTAAATGACGAAAAAAACAGGTTTTTTTCGAGAAAAAGCTCTAATTTCTCTATTTCAATCTTTATTCGAAAAAAACTTTTTTTGATTTCATCCTATTCTCCATTGTTTGATCAATAGTTCACCGTAGTAGTTTTTTAGAAAAAAGCGAGTTTTCAAGATTTTGGAGCAAAAAACAGATTTTTCGAAAAATTGCTAATTTTTCACTCTTCATAAGCTCCCATAAATTTTTTGAGTTTCCTCTCGTTCCCCGTCATGAGATGAACATTTCCACGTACGATATTCTCAGGAAAGAACAGTTTTACAGAGTTTAACAGTCAAAAACATTTACACGCGAACGTAAATCTACGCGGAGAAACGCCTCCTAAAACTGCGCGACAGTTGCGCTAAGCCGCGCCCTCTAGCCACCCTCTCCAGCCTTTTCAAAACGCCGTGAGTTGAAAGAAACGAAGAAAAAAGCTAAAATCCGAAAATTGGCGATACGTGTTGTCCATAGAGCGACTTTTCTGGAAAACGCCCTTTTTGCGGGAACTCAAGCTTTCCTTTCTCTGACTTTAAATTGTTTTTTCGCCGAAACTAGGAAGTTCGGTACGTTCCCAAGTTTTCCGTTCAATTCGCAATGGAAAACTCTACAAAGTACTGCTTCAAACTGAAACACGGCTTTTCACTGCCCATATGCCTTTAAGGGCACCATTCTCCACTTCTTCTGCCACCTTGATTAGATCTTGTTAGCTTAAGGAAAGTATTCACCGTTGTGTTTTGGCTTCCGGATTTTTCACATTTTCTAATCAGTTTTTTAGTTGAAACTCTTTTCTGAAAAGAAATGCCTTGGTTATTTTTCCGAACAGAATGATCTCCACAAAATGATTCCAATAATGCGTACATAGGTTCAAAAGGACATTTGCTGGCTTATTTCCCGAAGATTCCTCAAAAAATTAAAAAGTACACTTCTCTTTTTTCTTCACTATAACGTTAAGATAGTCACGATTGTAATTTAAACCGAGGAAAATGGGAAAATTTTCTCACCTTTCAATCAGACAAAATAAGAAAAACCGCGACATCATGCGCCCAAATTACATAGTCTTGCACCAGAGAACTTTTTTAATCCCTCGGTTCAACTTTTGCTGAAAATTTGCTTAAGTGTACTACTAGGACCCCTGACCCTAGAAGAAGAAAAAAAATTCTCCCAATAGATCTTGTTTCTGAGTTATAGAGCTTCAAAGTCCGCCAAATACGAAAATTATGACAAAAAAAACGCTATTTTGAAAAATGTTTCCTGGTGAAAAACTAGAGCAGAGAGAAATTCAATAAAAAAGAAATTCAAAAAAGAAACGAACGGGGCCTTCTTGGGAGAACTGGCGCGCTTGGGCCTGCCCATGGAGTCCTTGAGAAGAGCGGACATCGTCGTCGCTGAGATCCTGGCCGTCGAAGCTGGCGAATGCGACGGCGGCGATGGCCAACAGCAGGATGGCAAGCAGAGACGCCTTCATGATTTGAAGAAACCCGATTTTCCTCTCCTTTTATACCTTTTCTCACGCAATCAACACGTTAACTTTTTTAGAAAGGTCATTTCTGAGTTTATTTGGAGCGTGAATTTTTTTTTGTTTCTGCTTCAATAACTGCTTTAGACTTTCTAATCATCTGTGATAGGCCGGAGAAAATCGAACGGTATACTTGGAAATGTGGAAAATTTAAATTTTTAAATTTCGTGTTTTCAGATGAAAAGTCATTCGAAATCGGTGAGAAAAGTTTTTGAGTATAGTCTGTTCAGATTTTGAATTTGAAGTCGTCGCTCAAGCTCCGCCCATAATGGTGCAATAAACCAATCAGAGAGCGAGCCATCCACAGAGTGTTTTTGAATGACGTCATTGCACTTGACATTCAAAATCTGAACAGACTATAGCCGCCAAAAGGGCGCCTTGCAGCAAAGTTGCTCTATGGACAACAGGCATCGCCATTTTTCGCTTTTTCGTTTTTTTTTCTTCGCCTTTTTCAATTTTCAATTTTTTCTGTTGTCATTAAAGTTCTTTTTCAATATATTTAGTTTTTAAAATTCAACAAAACACCGGAAAGACTTTATGAAATCAAATTTTTTCAATTTTCAATCGAAAATCCTTTCCTCATTCTATTTCTTTTTCTCCACATTTAAACCCTCCATAAAATGATATAATTGTCAATATTGACCAATGATTACGAAAGCAGACTATTGCTCAGTTATCGAACTATTGATAACGGCAATTTCTGTCTAAGTCTGTCAAACACGCTGCTTTATTCAAAAAATGATGACGCCCATAGACTTGAACAACGCTTTTTTGCCCACATTTCACAGGGAATCCGTCGTGAGGAGCTTGCCAAAGGTATGTGGAAACTAATCGACCGTTTTAAGGGAGTCTGGTATTTCTCGAAAAAGTATTCAGAATCGAGAAAAAATTGAAAACCTATTGTGAAATAAGATGACGTCAGACTTCGAAAAAAAACCCCGGAAGTCCTAATTTCAAAATAATAATGGGTTTCTTGAAGCTTATTTTACAATTTACTCATTTTGCTCGCTTCAAAAGCTCGAGACCGCACCTAACTTAATGGTGGCATGCCAACTGCAGTTCCTGTTGAATGCTCCCGACCGGAAACGGCTTGCGCGAATTATTATGAAACTATTGTAGAAAAGCATGCTGTGAAGCTAGTGCTAACAGTTTCGTTGTGGAAATTCCTTTTAGCTTCAAAAAAAAAAACTGCTTTTCCTACTTTAAAAACTCCGAGTTTCAACTCTAATAAGATTTGTTATCCTGGAAAAATGTGCAGTGGCCACTTTAGGGTTTTAAAGCACTGGTGGCCACCAAAGTAGTCGAATCGTTGGCCACATAAATGGCTTTAAATTTAGTGGCCTCTTTGGATGTCCAAGGGGTACTACTCGACCAGTAAACATTTTAGAGGCCACTTTAGGGATCAATAAACCGTAACCGGTTCGATTTATCTTGAGATCATCTGAGTTACAGTACTGTCAGAAAATACAAAATTTTCTGTGAACTGAAACGCAAAAAAAAAAAAACGTATTTTCTGAGAACTGAAACTCTATCAGAGAGTTAAAAACAACAGTCATCACAGCTCCAGAAAGTTTCAGAAAGACTAGACTTCATACAAGAAAGTTGTGACCAGGCTTGTGCGTCAGGCCAGGAGGCCCGTCCCGGGCCGACCTGGCCCGGGCTACGGGCACCATTCTCAGGAAAAAGCCCGCGTGGGCTCGGGCCGGGCCGGGCTTCAAAAAAAAATTTAAAGTTTCATTTAAAAAATTTTCACCAAGATGTGGTTTATACTTCTGAAATCATAGTTTTTGTTAAACTTGAATTGAAAAACTGAGCCAATACGTAATTTTTGTCGTAAAAAAACTTGATATCCGGTTAGAAAAAAATTGTGCGCTTCGGGCCGGGCGGGCCATTTTTTCTTGAGGCCCCGCTAAGGCCGGGCCGGGCCGGGCTTACGAAATGGTCGGGGGGCCGGGAGGGTGACGGGCCGGCCTTCGCACAAGCCTGGTTGTGACCGAAATCCCGTTTTTTCGTGTATCTTTTAACGGTTCTGTAATCACTTGAAAGAAAATTACTAAACTGGCCACTAAGACCCAAAATAGTGGCCTTTCTAGAGCTGGTTTCTGTGTCATCACCTCCAAGTAAGGAGGAACCTCTCAAGTCGGCACTAAAGGTTTTCCCATCGATTTGCTGTCAATATCAACCCTTATCAGTTTAAACAAGGCTTCCATCAAACATGAGAAACAGTCACCATATCGAATTTTATATGAGCAGCGTTGAAAAAATCGGGTTTTTTTTCCGACTTTGAGCTTGAGCTTTTTTATAGGTCAGTGAAACGAACAATTCGAACAGAATAAGCGTCATTTCCTTCGTCCCTCAATTGGGTTAGTTAAAAGAAACTTTTTGATGAGGTTCCAAATAACTATATTAAAACAGATTGTACCGAAAACGAGTTGAGTTCCGGTTCAATAATACCTCAGAGAGGAAACAATGAAAATCGAATCGTTGAAGAAGAAATTTCAGGTGAACTTGATTAACTTTATCAGTAATGATGGACGATTTTTAGCTAAAGCTGAAAATGAAGAGGTTTTTGCGACAGATTCCACACTTCTGCAGCCCTCCGAGAGATATGTCAGGAACATGTTGAGGAAAAAAAGGCGAGCCGCCAGGAGGACGGAAAAATTGGTAAGAGCCTAAGGATCAGACGGAGATTGTGTAATAATCAGTGCAAAAAAAAGTCACAAGATGATTATCAGAACTTTATTTTGCCCTACCTGTTCAAGAATTTTAGAGTGATCCCTATAGAGAACGGAAAAGTGGTCACTATAGGAGCCCCTAAAGCTTAAGTGGTCCCTATAGGGGTCGTTCAATTTCCTTCAAAAAAGGTTATTTTTGGTTTTTAGCATGAAAATGCTTCCTCGCCTAGAGTTCATAAAAATCATCGACTAGCAGGTCCCTGTAGGGGACACTAGCTAAAACCCCTATGGGGACCACTTTTGATTTAATGGCCCCTATAGTGGTTAGCAAATTGGCCCCTAAGGTTACCCCTAGAGGGACCACTCTGAAGCTCCTAAGTATGATCACCCCTCATACTATCACGCAAGATAAACCGCGATATAGCGACAAGATTGACGCTAGTTCGCGACAAGATCCAGGCGATATCGTCAGCGAGTACCATGCCGTATCGCCAGAATCTCGCCGTCATACCGCGGTTTGTCTTGCTTGAAGGTGAGTCTGATTTCAGTTATTTTTTGAGGTGAGCTTGGTTTGAAGTACTCGAATAATCCCTTCAGATTTGAATTAGTCTGATCAGACAAAAAAATGAAGAGCAATGCTGATATATCTTCGAACGAAAAAAAGATAAATTCCGGTCATTATTTGAAAAGAAGGAATATACAAATTACTGATTATAATTGAAAAAACTTCGAAAAACTTCGGAATTTCAGAGCGAACAGGACCGAAGAGCGGACAACGCTCGAAACTCCGCCGCTTACACGGAAAGAAATCGCAGAGAAATCCAGGAACTCGAAGATATCATTGAAATGAGGCGTCGGAAGCTCACCGAAAAAATGTCGCATTTGAAGGGAGCCTATGATAATGCGGAGGTTCGGAAATCACAAAAGTTCAGCCAATTCTTCGAAAAAATGGTCCTAAAACGATAAAAGAAGAGATAGCGTCTGGTTGGTGGAGAGCGCAGGCAGTGCGCTTCTTAGCGTCTCAAGCTGACCGTGAATCGGCACAAAGAAAACCAAAAATTGCTCAAAAATACTAGGAAGCTGGTGAAAAATCAGTCAACAAGTTCAACATTCAAAATAATCAGGGCGACACCGAATCGACGCCACGCCTACCGCAGCAGCGGGGAATAAAATGTTTTGTACGCATGGCACACGATGCACAAAAAAAGACGCGCAAACATCGAATATTTATAATTAATAAAATTATTTTCTAACAGGGTTCGCCGGAATAAAATTCCACAATATTTATATTCTAAAAAAAATCACAACTCGAACTCGAATTCCTTTTAGAGAAAGATAACTCTCTATCAATCCCCAAATTTTTGTTTCACCTCTAAACAGTGGGCTGGTGTCGCCGTGATAATACATTGCCAAAATATACGCTTGAGCAAGATACGTCATTTCTAGAAATTCAAAAAAGGCGTGGAATTCTCGATTTCAGAAAGATGATGATGTATGAGCGGAAAATCTCAATTTTTTTTCAAATCAAAAATTTTCCAGACCGCTTTTCAAATGCTGCAAACCGAACCGCCGAGAAGCAAACATGCGCAACTTATTGCTTTGTTAATAAGAAGTGAGTTGAAGGTTTGCAAAATGAATACTTTGAAGTTTAGAGAACGAAGAAGACAAGAACCGGATATTCAACGAGCCGTTCAAACCCATTGGATCCAGAGAAGTTAGTTCAAGATAAATTTCTCGGAAAAATACAAATTTTCAGGCGGAAATCGCTAACATCGAAAATCAGATTGAACTTTTGAAAAAACGGAGAAGTGCAACGGTGAGATTCAATTTGATTTAATCAGTTACAGACCGTTCAGATTTTGAACGTCAACTAAAATTGGTTGATCGAAAACGCTCTGTCGTTGGCTAGCTCTGATTGGTTCATCGCGCCATTAGGGGCGGAGCTTGAGCTGCGACTAGAAATTCAAAATCTGAACGGACTTTTCTCTAAGGCAGGCAGTATATAGAATTTGATCCTTTGAATTTCAAAAGAATCAATTTTTTTTGTTTGCAGGGATGCCAAAAAATGAAAGGAAACCTGTCATCGAACATCAGTCGCACAAAAGTCCGATTAAAATGTCTGATGCTCTACAATGAGATTGAAAATATCGAAAAAGTATAGTTTAATCGATTTTTCAAATTTATGTTTATCACAACCACTTTCATCCAAAATTCTCAAGTGTACACAAAAATTACCTGATTTCAGCACATCGATTCGGTCAACGACAAAATTATCCGATTGAAAGAATTGAACGACCAATTACGTGAAACATTTATCCGGTTACTTGTGGGCCCTTCGAAATGAAAAAAAAATCAAAAAAAATCGTGATTTTCTTGAAAACGTTTATTCAGTGGAATCTTATGTAAAATACACATTTTACAAGTTATCTAAAAAGAGAACCGGACTTAAAGAACCTGAAAGTCTGGGTAGAAAGGCAAGCGGAATAATTCATATAAAACAAGACAACCAAAACTTTTTTACAATGTATACAGTTTATACAAGCGCCAAGAAAATGCGCTTCAGAAATACGTTTTTGATTGGATTATCACTAACTTTGAGGCTAGAAAACCCGATTAAAATCTACTTTTTTTTTCTTTTGAAGCGTACTTCAGAGAATCAACGCATATTAGTCCTACTTATTTAAATCATCATCGTAATCCCACACGTTTTTGTTCATGAAAGCGGTATTGACGTCTTTCCGGTGATTTTCCAAGTCGCTGGCGAGATCTCGGATCTTTTTGGCAGCATCGGACGCTTCGCCTCGTTTTAACTCCTTTAGAACGAGAAATTATATAGTCTGTTCAGATTTTTAATGTCAAGCAGCTAACTCCACCCCCAAGGCTACAATATCTTTCGCGTTAATTTTTTTATCTACAGATGACGATTTCCCTTTAATAAGGCTGCATTTTTTTGACTTCTTTTTTTCTATCTTTTAGATCAAAAAAAGATCAAAATTAATCCCGCACGATAAAACATCGACGCGAAAAGGTACCCTCTCAGCGGGGGGCGAAGTTAGCTGGTTGACATTAAAAAAACCTGAACAGACTATAGAAAATTTTTTTCTGAATAAAAAAATTCTTTCATTTTTAGAATAAAGTCGCGAAATAGGGATTTTTTGGATGAAACTTATTTGAAATCGAAATTTCTCGCGTCTCATTAAGTTCTTCTTGTTGAATACTAAGAACATACTTTATAATTTCTCTAAATTATTTTTTTCGCCTTGGTTAGCATAAGTTATCTGACCTGAAATAGATCAAAAATCCGATTTTCTAAAAAAAAAAGCTCGTATGACATACGTTAACGTGAGCGTGAATGGTATGGATTTTCATGATTTCGATACTTCATCTTTTCTTGTTTTCTTGATTCCCAATAATTAATTTTTTAAAAACGAACCAAAGCGCTGGAAATGAGGGAAATACTGTCGAGAACGATCCCAACGGCGGCCGCCGCGTGCAACGTGGCCCGTAACGCTAAAGATGTCGAGAATCGGGCCTTAAAATATTTCTTTCGAGTAGTTTCATCGCAAAAGAAGGTACCGTTTGTTTCACGAACATTCCAGCGACCATGGTGCCCATGGCGCCGCCGCTCAACACGTTGTTCAGCAGTTCTTTGGGCCCGATCGAGTCATTTTCGCCCTGAAAAATGGTTGCATAATACAAAAAAAGACAAGCAGAAACATTTTTTTAATCTCGTTTTCTACGGAATTTCAGCGATTTTAAAATTTCTGTTTTTTTGTTTGAAGAGAAAAATTGGGTCTTTTAACCAAATGACGGATTTTTTAAAATTTTCTGTCAAGATGAATTTTTGATTTTTAAAGTTTTTCAAACGAAAAAAGAAAGAAAGCAACTTTGCTTAGGAGATCCAGAGTGGACCCTATAGGGGTAGAGAGGAAAAACAGCCCTTATGGGAGCCGAAAAAGTGGTCTCTTCAAGGGGTAAAATTAAGGTGGCACCTATTCTGACCCTTTAGCCCTTGAAGCTTAGGTGATTCCTATAGGGGTCTTTTAACTTCATTTAAAAACGCTTACCAATTTAATTATTCGCATGGAGTGCATAAAAATTATCTACTAGCATGTCCCTTATAGGGGCCACTTTTGCGAGCTTTAGTGGCCCTTACAGGGGTCGTTAAAGTAATTTCTAGAGGGGACCCTCCAAGGGCCCTTAAGGTTGCCCCCATAGGGACCACTCTAAAGTTCCTAAATTTTTTCTCGCATCGAGAAAAATCAAATTTTACTATATTTCGGATATTGGGGACGTTGAAATGTTCTCTTTCCAAACTTCAACTCACTATCGCCTTGGCCGAGTTGATCAACTCCAACACCGCCTTGACCGTCGCTTCGAGTTCTTCCAGAGCCTTTTGGTCTTTCTCCAAAAGCTCTTTCACCACGTTCATTTTCATCTGAAAACCAAATTTGAAAAGGATTCTTTTATTTTTTCATTACTTCCAACAAAATATTATAAAACTGAAAGTGTAAAAAAAAAAACTGCACCTTCAAATGAATAATTTTGGTCGCGCCGGTGACTAAATTCGACGCCGCAGCGAAGGTTCCAACGACGAGGCCAGCCACGGCGACTGGGGGCATCAGGATCAGACCACCGATGACGGCGGCTCCGCCCCCGACGCCTACCGTACTCCCAACTACTGTAGAGATGGCGCATCCTCTTGCCATGGAGTCCACCTGTCGAATGTTCTGATTGAAGTATGGTTTAAAAAAAATGAGACTCGCTAGTCTATAATAGTTATGAACTCTATTAGGGCCCACTAGAGACCCCTTTACCAACCCCTATAGAACCCCTCAAGCTTGCACAAGTGTTCCCCATTAGGGTATTTTTTAGTGGCCCCTATAGGGGAGATGCTGGTCGATAATTTTCTTGAACTCTATGCAAAGACGCATTTCCGTGTGCAAAACTGAATAAAGCAGCCTTTTTTGAGTGAAATTGAAAGACCCCTATAGGGTCCACTTGAGCTTTAGGGGTTGAGGGGCCAGACCCTAAGACCCTATAGGGACCACCTAAATTTTACAACTGTAGGGACCATTTTTCGACCTCTACGGGGGCTGTTTTTCCCCCGAACCCCTTCAGGGGCCACTCTAGAATCCTTAAGTCGAACGAAAAAAGTTCCGCCCACACACACATTAACGCTGTGTCATGGCGTCACTATAACTAATCCAAGGCTGGTTTGAGCCATCAAAAAAAGGGTTCTGACACGCTTGAAAAAGAGAAATAGTGTCTGATTAGTGGAGAGCGCAGACATGTCACACCAATTACTCGGGCAAGGTCGGAATGGTGGATAATGGCCGCTAAAAGGGAGAGGCTCAAAAAAGGCTGCAGAAAGGCAGCAAAAAGAGTCCCTTTATCGAACCTACTATTTTTTCTAGAATCATGAAATGGTAGAAAAAGGAAAAGGCAGCGAAAATGGAGCATAAGAGCCGAGAAAATGGCGCAAAAAGGCAGCAAAAAAGAAGCCTTTCTCTAAAAGGAACACTTCTATGGAGCCTTTTTCTGTCTATGTATTGAACCAACCTAACTTTTTCTAGAAAACTTTAATCAACGCTAAAACTTATATTAATAAAAACCAACATCATCGGCGATTTTCAGAAGGTCGTTGACGATATTCTTCCTGTCATCCGACCAACGATGAAGGACGTCGCCGGCGTGCCGAATCTTCTCGTCGATGTCGTCGCTCATCGATCGGGGAATCTGAATATTTCTATTCACCTTATTGTTCAAAAAGAAAACTCACAAAAAGCTTCTCATTCGAGGCGTCGAAAATCGGAACGCCGTGAAAATCGTCGGCGACCCGGCTTGGAATCATTGCCGACATGACTTCTGGATAATCAATATTTTTGAAAACGATCGAACCTTTTTCGAATTTTTTTCAATGTTACACAAAAAATTCCATTCACAAATAGTCAAGTAGAAGCTAAGAAGACGAGAGATCAGGCGATGTGAAGAGACGCCAGAGAAGCGAGAGTTTCTCGAATTTTTTCGCGTCTCTTTAGCATAGATTCGACTATAATTTTTAAAAATCGGAGCTGAAATGAAAGTTTTCAAGCCTCTGCCTATCATTTTTGCCGGAAAATAACGGGAAAATTTAAAATTTCTATACAGAAAACATGTGTCGAAACAGTTCCAGGACACAATTTTTGTGAAAAAATCGCTCACGGGAAAAAAAAAAATCGATAAACAGCGGCAAAAAGATTGCTAATATTAGCCAAACAACTTGACAGCCTGTTCAAATTTCAGTTGAATCGAAAAAGAAGTAAATTCCATGACAATATTCACAAATTTATTGAAGAAAAGCGCCCACTCTAAATCCATCTAAAATCCAATGCAATCGAAATCAAAAAAGGCAATATTTCCAGTACAATCAATGGGGGCCAGAAGAAGGCAAAAAACAAAATGATAATAAGGGAAGACGATCGAAACCCTAAAAACAATAATTTATCTCAATAAATTACTCGAAAAAGTGGCTAATTTTCATAAATTTCTTTCAAAACGATCAAAAAAAGAGTCGCGCGAGATAGTCACATGCAACGTTTGATGATGGGAAAATAGAAATCTCGGGGTTTTCTGTGGGAAAATTCTCTTTATTTCGGGTAGAATCGGGACGAGGATATGTTTGGAGAAAGTATTCAGGTGATCAAGTTCGTTGTGGCCATCAATTTCAATAGCGATCCTGAAAAAAAGTGATTCATCAGGGTTTAAAAAATCAATATAGTCTGTTCAGATTGTGAATGTCATGTACGGTGACGTCATTGGAAAATGCTCCGTGAATGGCTGGCTTTCTGATTGGTTTATAACGCCATTAGGGGCGGAGCTTGAGCGACGACTTGAAATTCAAAATCTGAACAGACTATAGTGCGGTTACAGTGACAGAAATCGAAAGTCACGAAAAGTCGGATGCATCGAAAAAGGTCTCGCTTTTTGGAACCGTTTTTTTTGAATTTCCATCAATGTAACCAGCCATATTTCAGATTCGAAAAGCCAAACAACATTTATAAAACTGAAAAATGAACGGACAAAGTCAACCGACTGAACTGAAAAGAAAAGAGAAACACGATATTTAGAGCCCCAAGTGTGAAAAAAACCAACGAAAAGGGTATAGGAAAAAAAAGCCGCGTAAAAAGGTGCTCTACGGAGAAAAAATTAATTTTTGGTGGTATGAAAAAAACACCAGCGAAAATTCAAATGGCGACTTTTCCGATTTTTTCATATCGCTAGGGAACTTTCCGACGGCCACCTTTCCGACGAAACTTTTTCCGACTTTTTTTTCTCGATAAAATATCCGTTTTAAATTTCCTATATAGAGTAGGTAGTTGGTTCATGATTAAAACACAAAAAAATAGGAAAAAAAAATGTAAATAGATGTCTTATAAACCGAAAAATATAAGGGGAAAAAAAGTCGGAAAAAAAGATTTCGTCGGAAAGGTGGCCGTCGGAAAGTTCCCTAGTGATATGAAAAAAATCGGAAAAAGTCGCCGTTTCAATTTTCGCTGGTCTTTTTTTCATACCACCTAATTTTTTGCCGATATTTTTATTATTAATGGAGATACACATAGTGCTTTTGAAAAATTTCAATTGGAGACTTTTTTCCTTTTTTTTGCGGCCATTTTTTCCTATACGTTTCGAAAACAGTGTAGAAAAACCACAAAAACACCAAAAAACTGTACCTGACGACTTCCTACTCATTTACGATTTCTGTGGGGCACGCTAAAATGGATTTTTATCTCGTTTTTTTAAAAGTCAAATATTCTCTTTTTTTCTAGTGCAACTCACCGACATGTAGGAAGCGAAAGAACTGGAAAGATTTGAGAACTTCTCGGCGACTTTCGAGGCACCCGCACGCAATGAATCTTTCATGTCACCGAGGTCAGGAACCTATGAAAAAAATTATTTAAGCATGATAAAAAACACGTGATAAGGGTTTCGAAAAAAAGGCTTAAAACATGATTTTTTTCAAATTAAAGACTTTAGAATTTTCTGAAATTCTGCAATTTCCAAACTTTTTAGAAATGCCAGATCGGTTCCTAGAGGGCCAACTTTGGGAACTCTTAAAGTTTCCCCTCCAGGGGTATTTTTCATTAAAACTATATGAGCAGAAGAATAGAATAAATACTTCTTTAGGGATCACTTAAGACATCGGCGCCTAAAGGTCAGGTCCTAAACTTCTATAAAAATCACCTAAATTATAACCTTCTAGGGAACACTATTTCGTCCCCTAATGCTTCTTGATTTGATCCCTGGCCCCTCTAGGGACCACTCTGGCGTTCCTAACTCGGACTCTGATAACGCGAACGTTTCTGGACATTTCTAGTGACCACTTAAGTAGCCTAAACGCTCTTAAGTCCCTAGAAATGCACAGAATCATCCGGAGCACGCCAGAGAAGCCTTACGGTGACTCGGACGTTTCTGGGCGATTCAAGGGATCACTTAAAAGTGCTGAGGCTACTAAAGTGGTCACTAGAAATGCCCCGACACGTCCGTTTCGCGTCCCGTTCGCGTTACCAAGGTCCGAGGAAAGTCAATATTATCAATGGAGCAACCTTTCCCCATCTCCCATACCAACCTGACTCGGCTGCACCTGACTTCCATTGCCCCAAAGATCTTCCGAACCTAACGAGGATTGGCCTTCGAAGCGCGACAGAGCTGATTTCGTTTCATACTACAAGTTCCCATGATTTTCCACTTTTTAGAAACCACAAACATCCATCTCATTCGACCCGAAGAACATATCGCTTGAAATCGCCTTGGCGTTGGCGAATTTCTTCTGAGCATCTACATCAGGGGCCGTTTTTGCCACGGGCGCCTTTCCGGCCGTAAACCGGGACTTTCTGAATATTTCTTGGTCCGGAAATTGTTGAAGTTCGATTTCTAACTGTGGTTGACTTTCGAAGGCATCGAAGAATTCGTCGTTCTCTTTTTTCGCCTTTGATTTATAATCCGTCGTGAAGAGGTCGTCGTCTTTGTGTGAGGAGGTGAATTTGTGGCTGAAAAATTTCTTTTTCGGAAAATAAAGGAAAAAAAATGAGGTAAAGTCCCTCAAGACAACGTCAATTCATTTTGATGAGAAAATTTTGATTCTTTATGTATATTGAACGCCCAAAATTGTAGAGAGTTTCTGTTCTTCGATAATTTTCCATACATTTCCTTAGCCGCAAAGTTGATGACCTTCTTCGCCAGAAATCAACGGAATGTCTCGAAATTAAAATTTCACGACTCACGTCTCAAAAAAAATATTTTACACAGCTCCGGTCTCTGTTCAGAATAAGAATTTGTTTCCCAACTCAAGTTTCAGATAAAGATTTTTTTTGCCAAGCCCAAGTCTCATAATGGGACGACTCCGGTCTCGAAAAAGGCATTTTTTCCCAATTTAGGTCTCGAAATAAGACTTTTTCTCAGCTCAGGTCTCTGAACAAGACCTTCTCAGGTTCTAAAACAAAACTTTTACCCAACTCAGGCCTCAAAATATGGTTTTTGTTCACGGCTCAGGTATAAAAAAGGCCTTATTTTCAGCTCAGGCCTCGATGCAAGACTTTTTTCTCAAAGCTGAGGTCTCAAAATAAGACTTTCCCCTCAACTCAAGTCTTTCGAAACGAACCTATCCTCGACGACCTCCCAGTCGTCCTCGTCTTTCGTCGGCTGCTGCTCCACGGCCGACCCTCTGCCCGACAAATCCGACTGTTTGATGGTTCGGACTCCCGTGGCGACCGAATGAGCGGCCCGGGCACGCCCGACTCCGCCGATGCCCAAGCGGTCGACGGTGGCCGCCTTCGTCGGATCCTTCGCCACTCTTGCCTGGAAGGTTAAATATAATTTTTGAGCATCTGCAAAAGGCCGAGGAAAAAATTCCATGAAATTGTTTGGAAACACTATTTTTTTATCTGAGCTTGAGATCATAAGCTAAAAATCGAAAACTCCGTGAAGTTTTATAGAAAAGACCTGATTTTTCGAAAGAATTTTCGCCCTTAGCCCCTGAACCTCAAGTGGACCCTAAAGGGGTCTTTCAATTTCATTCAAAAACGCTTTTTTTCAGTTTTTCCCATGGAAATGCTTCTTCGCTTAGATTTCATAGCAATTATCGATAGGGACCACTTTTTCATGCTTTAGTGGCCCCTATAGGGTCGGTACAATGGCCTCTAGAGGGGACACTCCAAGGGCCCCTACAGGGACCTCTCTGGTGTTAATAAGTAAAGTGAAAAATTAACCATTTTTCCCAATTATTCATAATTTTTTTATTCGAATTTCTACCTCGATATTCTTTCTCTGTGCATCCAAATCCTGCATGGCGAACCGGGCGCTCATTTTTTTCCACAGCCGCCTCATTTCCATTCGAATTTTTCCTCCTCTTTGTAGGCCAAATTGCTGGCGGCGATTTCAGCCTGGAAAAAAATAATATAAAATTCAGGGGATTATTCAAAAAAATAACCTGCTGTTGCTTTTTCGCGCTCCGCCGCACGTTGTTCGATCTCATCGAAGTTGAGTTTCACTTTTTTTGGGCTCCGAGGCCGCCTTTTTTTCGCGCCGAGCTTTAAAAAAATGGTGAATTTCTCGAAAAAAAGAGAAAAAGAAAAAGGATTTTTTTAATTTTTTTAAGAAAAAGCTTCTTTAAACTCGGAAAATCCGTTCGACTTGACACTTTTTTTAAAACTCAAAATTTTTTTATTTTTTTGAGCTTATTTTTTTCTATTCAAGCGCCTATAGTCTAGGTAAACCAAAGCGCGTTTTTCCAATAAATTGCAATTTTTCGGATTTCTAGATCAAGTTACCTTGGATCGATTTATTTTCTCAAATGAACAAAACTCAAAATTTGTTTTTTTACATGTAAAACTCTACTTAAAATACTCCAAGCGCGTTCTTTTTCCAACTGATTGAAATTTTCAAGTTCCTAGGTTTATATAAGCTCGAATCGATTCATTTTTTTCAAAAAAACGAAATCGCTCGGTATTTGCTTTTTTACATGTAAAACTCTACTTAAAGTACTCCAAAGCCCTTTTTTTTCTACAGATTAAAATTTTCAAGTCCCCAGATTTAGTTCATCTAAACTTTTAATCAAGTTCTTTTTTTTTTTCAAAAAAACGAAATCGCTCAAAATTTGCTTTTTTACATGTAAAACTCTACTTAAAGCACTTCAAAGCCAATCAATTCTATATTTTTGGAAAAAACTAGCATTAGTTTTTCATTTTTCATTTTCATTTCGCATTCGCCATTTCAGAAACCTAATCTAAAGCACATTCAAGTTATAAAGAAAAATTGTAGAGTATATAAGAATCAAGATAAAGTTAACTTCTATAGAAACAAAATTTACCGTCGCTTTCTTAACAGGTTTCTTTAAAATGACAGAAACCGGGGCACTCGTCGCCACGGGCGCCGAATCCAAATGATCGACTTTGGGTCCTGAAATTTCTTTTTCTCTAGGACATTCCTATCCTTCTTCACCATGAGTAGAATCGTGATGATGATTTTCAGTGATATACGCGTCGCTTCCCAAGGAAGTGGCGCTTTGCGACGCGGCTGGCTGATGGCCAAACTCTTGGGAGAAGAAATCTTCCTCGTTTTCCTGGAAAATGCTCTTTTATGATTCCTAAAACAACTGTTACACGACTAGCTTGCGACGCTGAAAGGGCGTGTCCTGTCTGCGCTCTCCACGAGCCAGGCACTATCTCGTGCATTATCGTGTCAGGACCCTTTTTTCGATGGCTTAAGCCAGCTGTTAATCAGATATACCTTTTAAGATAAAAATATAGGAAATTTAGAAAAATAGACTGTAAAAATTTTCAAAATGCGCACTCTTAAAAATATTGTATCCTCGTGAAAACTTCAATAGTCATTCTAGAAAGGTTAATGCTGAATATTGTTGAGTATGTAGAATGAATAATAAATAAAAGAAATCACGTGGAAGATAATACCACAGCAAGGGTATAAAAGGGTCGATATTTCAAGAAGATGATCGATTTAACGACTAAACTACGTTGTCATTTTCTTTACTCAAGGCTTTTATTAACCGCATACGTCGGCTGGATCCCACCACGGGGTACTTCAGTACATTCTCAAATTGTTTTTTTCGCGCGCAAAAGGCTGGGGTCCAGCCGATTCATAATTAACCGGGATCATCTTCTGAGAATATCGACTCTTACTGTGTTCCAATCTTTCATCTTATCTCTTTTTATTAATTATGCTTTATATTATACGATGAACAACTTAAAATTTTAAAAATTTTTATGCAACGACATAAATAGGTTGCTTTGAATGAACTATTAAATTTTTCATCCGGAAAAGTTTTTTCGAGGCTTTTATAGCCGATTTTTTTGGCAAAAATGACGAAAAGTCCGAATTTTTTCATGAGCCTTGTGAAAAAAAACATTTTACTGTGCAAAAATTCATTTATTTTACTTTATATGATCATTTTCATACCAAATCATCCTTTTTTCCGTGTTAACACTAAACTTTTTCAAATCTGAAAAATTGAAAACCAACATCTTTTTTCTCCTCGGCATGGGAAACCGTGTCGATCAACAGCTGCTTGCCGTATTTCCGTTGGGCTTCTTGACAGATGTTCGCCAATTTGTCCTGAAAATATATTTATTGTTAAAAATTATAAACTGAAGTGATCCCTAGAGGGGGAATAACCTTGTAAAGTTGGGCGGCGCGGCTTTTGTATTTCTGCTGGGCGTCGTTGGTTGTGCAGCCGTGCTGCTTGAAGAACTGAGTCTGCAAAAATTTTATATACTATGAAAAAAATAGCGGCATAGAAACTCCAGAGTAGTACCTATAGGGACAACCTTCAGGGCACTTGGAGGACCACTTTACCAACCCCTATATAGGCCACTAAAGCTAGTTTAAGTGGTCCCTACAGGGGACTAAATTCCTTCTTTTTTGTGTTCTAGATAGTAGGATCCTTATAAAAATACAACAAATATGAATAAACAAAAAATAAATCGATATTATCTCAACAAATCCTTTAAAAACCGGACTTTGCTGTTGCCAAATGAATACTAAATCTAAAAATGTCGTTTTTGTTTGATAAGGCTCGTTTTCTGCCTGTATAAAATTGAGATATTATCGTGATTCTTGAGATGTTTAGAACTTCAGAGTGGTCCCTATAGGGGCCTTTGAAGGTTACTCTCTATCTAGGTAGCACTTTACCTTCCCTAAAGGGGCCACTAAAGCTCGGAAAAGTGGTCCCCAGAGCAGTTTTAGATGGTTCCCTATGGGAGCATTCAAGTGGTCCCTAGATGGACAAAGAATGAAATCAGGCATAAAAGTGATCCTATTTCAAATAATCGATGTGTAAAATTGATTACAGAAGATCATATCAATTTCTTGGAATACAACTTCAAGACCCCTATAGGGACCACTCTGCTTTTCCTAGGTTTTACAAGAAAATATGTGAATCTATTCTTGAAGGAAAAATCACCGCATTCGAGTTTCCGCCGAGTTGCATGGCTCGGAGCTGGAGCCAGGTCCAGTTGGTGTCCAAGTTGGTCGACCTCACAAAAGTCAAGTGAACGCCGAGATTCCTGTGCGTCGCCGAGCAGTCGATGCACAGGAAGACGCCTGGAAATATCGAATTTCGAGCGAAAAATCGAGTGAAATTGCATAATTTTGAAACTCCTAACTGATATTGTATAAGATGCTTCTACTGACCATGAAAAGTTGATGGAGTTTGGAAAAATATATACCAAATATGTGATTTTATGTGTTATTTCGAACTTCATGCAGTTTATTTTAAACAAAACCCTTGTTCCTTTTTTTTCAAGCTGAAAAAAATATTCAATAATACTGTAGTCTTTTTTTTTGAACCAAAAAACTGAATTTTCTACGTTTTTCATCATTCTTACCGTACGTGACAGTTGCCCAAGTAGGATTTCGAGCTCCACAGTCAAAGCAAAGCTAAAAATTGAATATTACCAACTTCCTACACAAAAAATCAATTAAAACCTTGTTGGCTGGGAGCGCCCGAAGCTTCCTCATGGCATTCTGAAGATCGACCTTTGAGGGTCCGGTATCATCGGACATTGCTAAAAAAAAAAGAAGTTAAGAGTTTGTGAAAAAAAAAATTCAGAAAAAAGGAATATAGCTGAGAACGGTTTGTCCAGCGGCCGCCGCCGTTGGGACGTTCAGCCAACAAAGAAAAAAAAAGCAAACAACAGGAAAAACTGGCTTTTCGCCGATAACTGCAAATATTAAGCTTTTTTGGATTTCCATTCGAGTAATGCAATTAAAAGGTCTAAAAAGCGAACTGTAGAATGTTTTGAAAACAACAATTAAAAAAAACCTAACTAAAAAAAATTCAATTGAATAATGCGAATCAAGTATTCTTTCTTATCAAATTTTACAAATTCCTTATCAAAATTTCACAGTGGAAAATCCAATGAGCTCTGTCAGAATCTAAACGATAAAATCAAAACGGTGAAATTGACAGCGGAGTTTTTTCCGCAAGCTGAAGCGACACGTGCACACAAAATTCTGCAACCACCGTGATGAGAAACCTACACCAAAGACGCTTACAGTATGTCATAATTTTTTTCCGGCGTTTTGAACAGTTCAGCAAAAACACTTTATTTATTCAAAATTATCACAATAATCTATTATTCTGTATTTACAGATAGTGTTGAATCCGTTGTTGAACCAATTAAGCCGATTTTTTCTGATGATTCGCGACGTACTCGTCAGCAAGCTCCATAAATAAGTTAGGGCAAGTTCCTGGAGTGAAAATTGTTTCTTTTTCTTTTTGTTGAATTTCAGTACCTTCATATTTAATTTGCGGCAACTTTGTCATAGAAGTGTTCTTGCAAATTGCGGAAAACATGCGTTTGGACATTTGTCGGCAGGAAGGACAATCGCCATCGTAACAGTGAACGTTGCATCTTTTTGCAACGCAGGAAAGAACCTTAAATTCGATATTTATAACAATTGTTTGAAAGTATATTGAAACTGACCTGATTGACGTCTTCTGTTAGACAATTTTCCACGCACCCCTCAAGTTTTGGGCAAAGACCAGCTGGAAATTCATTTTTTTTTTCAGAATAATTTTCAAAACTAACATGTTTTTTCGCCTTGAGCCAGAGCACTCATTTGTTCCAAAGCGTAATGACACTGTTTGCATGAAGAGCACTCCTTTCCGCATTTTGAGGCGATGCAAACCATGTCAAATCTGGAATTTCTCATCATCTGTTTTTATTTAAAATTTTCATGTTAATTTTGAAGCTGACCTTTCCACGAGGTTGCCAAAGATCTCATCGCGCGGGGAACTGCCGATAATGCTGTCGACGAGCGCTGTAAACCCAACAGATCGAAAATCGCCCGAGGCTTTGTTGCCAAAAAGGGTGTTGTAATTTGTGTTTTTTGACAAGATTTGTTGGTCATGCTTCTCATTGCAAAAAGGTTGTGATCTTCAAACTTTTAAAGATTGTGAGGAAAAAATTGAAAAGCTCTGAATTTTTTGTTGATATTTTTAAAAAGCGTGATATTTTTAACAAGCTCTGCTCCATTTTTCTGAGTTTTTGATCTGTTTATAACTCTGAAAAAAATAGTTTCAAACCCATTCCACCTGGGACCAGAAAGAAAAAGTTTGAAAAAAAGGTTTTTCTTTTTAAATTAAAAACAATTTTTGAACCGATTTTTTTGAAGTTAAACTTTCAATGATTTTTTTAAGAAGAATTGAAATTTTTTTATAAGAGTTCTGAGCCTTCTTTTTTTCGACGACGCTCTTGTATCAAAACGCTATTTTCTAGTTTCTATGACCCTTTTGGTAATAAGTATAAAAAACAGGAAGATCAGACTATCCCAAGAGGGGAAAATGTGTTGAAACTTTCGAAAAAAGCTGAAAAAGTACCTGAATCGAGGCATTTCTCGATGGCGCAGGTGGTCAGCAAATTGCAAACGGCCGAGATTTTCGCACTTTGAGTCATTTCGACGGAAAAAATGAAAAGCAAGGCGACGAGGAGCATCTTCCAATTCAATTCTTGGGAAGTCGTCGAAGTTATAAGCGTGGCTGGACGCGCCCCCGTTCATTGGGCGGGAATATTTCTTCGAGAAAACAATGGACGAAGACGTCGCTACAACAACATCACAACACTTGGCGCAACACAAAACAAATGTACTTGCCGCTTTTTTTTCCTAGCTTCTTGTATTTTTCGTGTCTCTGCCATTGAAAACAACCAAAAAACACCTCTACAGCAGTCTTCGGACGTTGGAAAACGGCACGGACGATGCGGAAGTTCGGGACAAGTTTGAGAAGGATAGGAAGTAAGGGGAATGAAGCTGGGTTCCGAAAAACTAGATTATGAACAGAGAATCAAATTTAGATAAGGAAGATGCCTAAAACCGTGCTTTTCAAAATTTCGATCATTTAGTCATCTCGAAATGAAAAATATTCTGTTCCAAGAAACGGTCCCAAATGATCGAAAAACGCAGAAATCCGAACTTTTAGGAAACATTTCAAGTGAGCATTTTTTGAAATTTAATCATTTAGTCTCCTTGAATACAAAATAATCAGTTCCAAAACGATCCGTCTAACTTCGACTTGAAATGTAAATACAAAGCAGATTATGAGAAAATACTTTTTTTTTCCCTTTTTAAATCGATCAGTCATGACAAAATATACACCAGCTTTCATTCAACGTAAAAAAAAAAAAATTTCACCGTAAAATAATTGAAAGAACACCAAAAAAACAATGGACAAGAAGAAAAATAAAAAAAAAATCAGGACTTGGTCCATTTGAATCGGTTGGGATGGACATTGATAAAGGACCAATCTTTGGCTCGGAACGTCCAGGAATTCATTCCGGCGTTGGTATATCGGTCGTTGACCCTCAGACCTGCCGGCTGCTCTACGCTGCAAAAATCGCCGGACCGGAGAAAAGCCGCAGCCTGGAAAAGCTCAGATTTTCTGTTTTTGTGAAGCGTAATCTCTACATGTTTTTTTGTGGTTTGTGTCGATGATAGATCACGTGAAATATAAAACCACTATGTAAAGGTCTGTTCGCACAGACCATGTCGAAGAGCCTTATCCCGGGGCCCGACTGACAACGACAGCGACGGCAACAAAGATCCCCTGTCCCCGACTTACGACAATAGCTCATGACTTCTTTTTTCTACCTCCATCGTCAATAAAACGATAAATAAACGGATGTTGAAAAGTCATGAGCCATTTTCGTAAGTCGGGGACGCGGGATCTTCGCTGCCGTCGCTGTCGTTGTCAGTCGGGACCGGGACGAGGCTCTTCGACAAGGTCTGTGCGAACAGACCTTTATATATTCTTTTTATCTTTCACGTGATCTATTATCGACATAGTTTGAATCCTAATGAATGCTCAAACTCTACAGGCGTTTTTTAGAAGACAAATACAAAAAAGGAAAAAAATATGATTAAAATTTGAGTGGTCACTTAAGAGAATAAAAATGAGTAGACAATCTGCCAAAATTTGTTATTTTTTTTTTTGGTTTTGCTAAGAACTACAGTGAAGATTTGACATATATAGTCAATGTTTCCCGACTTGAAAGGCGAGGGAGGCGTGGCAAGGGGCGGGAAGCGTAGCGTGTGCGTACGCGGTTCTTGGCACGTGTTCAATTCAACCGCTAGCGAGCATTCAGAGAGCTTATTTATCACTCTTTTTCACTTCTTTTTTTAATTATTTATTGATTATGTTCATGTGTGCATCAAAAAATAGAAGAAAATAAAAAAAAAGAACGGTTGCCGAGCTTTTTAAATAGTCGGCGGCGATTGAATTGAACTCGTGCCAAGAACCGCGTACGCACACGCTACGCGTCCCGCCCCTTGCCCCGCCTCCCTCGCCTTTCAAGTCGGGAAACATTGACTATACATCAGTTTTTTTTATCACTTAAGCGATCACTTCAAACGTTGTAGTGCTCACTCAAGAGAATGACTGTTTTCCAGTTTTTTTTTTCTTGATCCAAAGTTATCCTCTTGTCGCTTAGGACCTCTCAAGTTCTACCTTCAATATGACTTCTTAAGTGGTCTCTTCTAGGGGAAGCTTGAAAACTTATGTTCTGACTAATAATAAATCTTAAGTGGTCACTAAAGAGGCGGTTTAAGATGAACTGAAGATACCTTTTTGAGCCACTACTCCAGGTGTTTCAAAACCTAATTTCGTGATTCACAATTTTTTTCAGTGAGTTAGGAAACAAGAAAAGAATTAAAAACTGCCTTAAGTCCATATTTGATTGGATTTCTTTGAAAAATGATCCTCCTCCAAAAGCTCTACAGTTCCTCAAAAATGAAATTAAGAAAGTTCACGTTCAAATCTCTGAAAGTTAAAGACCGTTCAAAAATGAGAGGTCGTGTCTTTTCTCTCTCTCTCTCTCTCTAAACACCTTCTCGTCTACCAGCGCTCTCTAACTTCCAAACATTAAAACTTAGACTCAATCGAGAATTTCCTGAACCCACCAGCTCCACAGAATGAGGCAGGATCGGACCTCGGTCCAGTTCGACGACATACTCGGTCGGTTTGCCAACCTTCTGGACGACGTGGGACGTCTTCTGAGCATATTCAAAAGTTATTAGAGGCTCACTTATTGGAATAAACATTGAGGGAGAGCATCTGGGCGTAGAGAAAAGGTGAGGCGGCGATCAAAGTGGGCGGGATTCGGGCAAAGGCGCCGGTGAGCTCGTGGACCAGCTTCGAAGTTTGAAGCATGTTGTAGAGCGCTTGGACGGACGGTCCCTGGTTGATTCATCTTTCGATGAAAAAAAAAACAGAGTGGTACAAAACTAGTGAAAAAAACTTACAAAAAAACATTGACCTTCTCAATGTTCGAGAAATAATTATTTTTTTAGGTTTTTGTAAAATTGGCTAGGAAAAATCGAAATCGAAATCTCTTGGAACTAATAAGAGCTAGCTTAACACATTCCTATCAGAAAAGTTTTCTTGAATTCAAAATTTTAAACTTTCCCGAGGAAGATTTTAGAAAATCGACTCTAAAAGATGAGATCAAAATAAAAAAATATTTATATGATCAGATTAATTTAAAATGATCAAAATGATAGCGTTTCTTAATAAACTGACTGTTAAGCTTAAAAAAATGGATCATATTTTCAGATCTCTTTTCATTGTTTTAATGCTATATGGGACATTACCATGCAAAGTGATTTTTCATCAAATCCGAATGTTTCACTATTTTCGACCCATCCTTCAATGAACCTTGACTAATAAACACGAGATCCCCTCGCTTTTTCTCCTTGAATCGTAGGGAAAGCTGCCTGAAAACTCTCAAAATCATTCTCTGAACATGTTAGAAAAAAACCTCGTCACATTTTGCTTGATGATATTTCTTGGCGACACGCCAATCTCCTTCAACCATTGCTGATTCGCTTTGGTAGGGCTGGAAGTTGATAAAAGGATAATTTTCTCATAATCTTTATTTTTGATTAAAACTGGGAAAAATCTTTTCGTCTTAAGATCTATAAAAAAAATTTTCCCAATGATCTTTTCAAAGACAGAAGTGAACTCTTCTTAACCACAAAATAAACAAAAAAAGGAATAACTTCATAAAAATTCATAAAAATCGTGGCTAAATTAAAGGCACATCAAGATCGCGCAAAAAGGTTCCGACACGTAAATTGAGTTTTTCACGAAAAAAAAAAATTCATAAAAGTTCATAAAAATGAGGGATTAAAGGAACATCTACATTACGCGAAAAATGTCCCGGTACGAAACTCATCATTTACAGAAGGTTTCAAGGAAAAGAGGAACATAGAGGTTCATGAAAATGTGCTACGTTAAAAGCGCATCGATAGATATCACGCCAAAAAAAGTCCTGACACGAAAAAAATTATTCCTTGAAAGTTTCAAGACAAAAAATGAAAAAAGATCCTGACACATACCTCTCGTTCTCATCTTCGCTGTTCTCCTTCTCTTCTTCCGGCTTATTTTCGTTCTCTTTTCCTTCGCTCATATTAGAAATCGTACTTTCTTCATTCATCACTGGAATAAAAGAAAAAAAATTGGAGATTGATTATTGAACTGATAACGAACTACTCATCGAATCGTTGGACATGGAAAACATGGAATTCGGGTTGTTTGAAACGTTCGAAAGGCGTTTCGGCTTCCCGATCACTTCATATTCGATTCCTATGGAAAATGAGACTGTGAAGAGCATTTAGATTTCCAAATCCAGAGGAAAATGAAAGAGACATGTTTCTCAAGTTATAAGTTCATTCATGACTTCCTTCTCGAACGCCCTAGCAAGCCAGGCCTCTGATTGGCTGGCCACGCCCTTTTTTTGACTTTAGAGGCGTGATTTGCCAGAGAAAACTTGTAGGTCTTTTGAGATTACAAAAAAAGTACCATTATTTTGTCTTTATTATTTTTTCTCGACTAATTCCACAGCTTTTAGTTTATTCATTATAAATTCAGATGAATTTAAAAGCCTAGAAATTTATTTTGACTTGAAATACATTCAAAAAATTGACCAAAGATTGGGAAAAGCCTATGAAACACAACAAAAAGAAAGAATAAAACCTTGAATTTTGAGAAAAGAAAAAAGGATGAAAAGCGCAGATTTCAGTTTGAAATTCTTTTTTTTTTTGATGTTAGTTCAAACCAACGGCAACATCGAAAATGACTATCTTTATAAATGAAACGCAGACTTTTGATGGAATTTTTTGACTATACCTTCACTCCGGATCACCTCCCGTACAGCTGAAGTTGTGTGTGAAACAAGAGCGATCAGTTTTTGGCCACCCGAAGTTTGAAAACACGAAACCGATTCCTCGCCAATGTCTAAAAATTATTCACTTTTAGGCATGAAGGAGATTATTTCAAATTTCGAAAGGTTTTAAATGGAAACTTCAAAAAGTACCAATATCATCTCCGCTGCTCGTTTTCGTGAAAAGGACATTGAAAGACGAGGTCGCGACGTAGAAATTCGAGCGGTCGCCTTTTTTCCAAGACATGAATAGTTGCTCGAAACATTCTACCCTGAACTTACACGTCAGTTCCGAAATTCTACAAAAAGTTTGTTATCACTTCAGAAAAAAAAAAAGATATCACAAGTTCACTGATTTTTCTACTTCACGACTTTCATAAAAACAAACCATTGGTTATTGATGCTATCTTGAATGGCAGACGTCATGGGAACTCTTTGAACCGAATTCAGTAAACTACTGAGCCTCGGATACAAAGATAGGCCAGGTAAGACCGGGAATTGCCAATATAAAGAGGAAGCCTCAAAAATGGCCAATGGGGAGCGCGGCAAATTCGTCTGAAAATAGGTCATCATTTTTTGAAACAACAAAAAAAGACAGTTGGCTGATCTGGATCGAAATCTCGGATATGTTTGAGCCCCTCGTAACGATCCGCTGCCGTTATACGGACAGCCACGATGCCTAGGATCCATACAATAAACTTTTCTTTATATTCTTTAAAAACCGGTGGTTTTCTTGTTTTTCATCCAAGGAAACGGTTTGCTCGAAGTGAGGCGAAGCTTGGTCCCTGGTCTCAAATCTAGCGGGAATTCCACTGATTCCTCTTCCAATACTACTTCTTCTTTCTTGCTGTTGGGTAGCAACTCGGAAAAGTCGGTCGCATAACATTCTTTCAAAAGAGCCTTCTGAAAAAACTCTATTCAAAAACATTCCAATAATAGTCTCGGACCGCATCTAAGCTTCTGTACCGAGAAAAGTTAGACCGCCTTGAATTGGAGCATTCTGACTTTTCTGGAGATAGCACAGAAGCTCCTTGAGAGAATCTGAAAATGCCAGATTTTTGTCCATAGAGGTACGGAAATTACGATTCGTTCTGGCGACTGAACGGATCTTGAGCATTGGAATCTTCCCATTCAAAAACGCTATTTGCAAATGTGATCGGCTGCGTTGGTTTTCTTTTCTTCGATGGAGAACCGACCTAAAGTTATAATTTAAAACGAATTTAAAGAAGCTTAACCTTTTTAAACGGGTTCGAAGTCTCTGCTGCAGGCGAGGAAAGAGCTGCTACCAGCCCATCATCTACAACTTTGTTCCCTGCATTGAAAATAGGAGCCAAAGACCGACTTGAACTGAAAATTAAAAAAAGTTTAAAATTACAGGGTTTTTAAGAAAAACCTGCTCTTACGCTTCAAATGACGCTTCAAATGACGCTTTATACGATCGCATGGATTATACGGAGCTGGAGATGTCTCACTCATACGAAATAGCCGATTGCGAAGAAATTAATTTAAAATAAAAAAATGTATTATAATTTTTTAGATGAAAATTCAGCCCGTAATTCTACAAAATTTGAGTTTCGCGCGTGAAGGTTGTATCATTAGAGCGCTTATTCCGTAAAAAAATATTTTTTTCTCATTTTGTAAAAAAACTTTATAAAACTTTTTTTATAGTTTCTTTTTGGCCATTCTTTTTTTACTTCTCCGTCTCAAGATCTGTAAATTGATGAAATTACTTTTCATCGATGACCTCGTGTTTTTGTTTACACAATAAACGTCAAATACGGTTATATTTTTCAGAAGAATGTTAACCAATAGTAATGTCGCTTTCCGACGATTATTTCATTCTTCAGTTCGGTTATCTTGTGAAGGAAAGAAGAACAAAGAGGTGAAACCACCAGAAGAGGTTAGAATTTCGTTTTTCCCAGTTCAAATTTCAAATAATTATTTTCAGGCGGGATGGGCTTTCAATCACGTCGAGAAGAAGATGGGTATGTATAAGCCGAAGCACACAATTACCGAGCAACTTGCCTACATGAAAAGCAAAGGTTTTTGTTATTTCGTAAGGTTTAAAGTTGAAAATGTTTGCAGCTTACGACGACGCTTACAAGGGCCTTCCTATTTACCGTTGGTACAAGCGTAACATAAAGGTTAATTTTAAAAATTTATGAAGCTAAATTGAAAATATTTTCAGGGTCAATCGAAGCTACAGCCGCCGCCACGACTTTTTCTGCATTGATAAACACGGAAGATTCAATTTGAACCACGCCTGTCCGGTTAGAAAAAAATTCCGACAATGATAATATTGATGGAATATTTAGGTTTGTCGTGACGAATATTTGTTCTTCGACTATAGAAATCCGGCTTTGATTGAGCAATTTCTGGCCGACGGAACTGACCAACCGATCGATATTTTGAAGAGTGGATTGTGTCGCGAGCAGTACGCTCAGCTGAAAGCTCAACTTTTGAGAGCGAAAGAACACGGTAAAGTTGATTCACGGTTTCTCAGTTTTGTCAGAGAGTGTTCGAGCTTTTAGCATCAATAACAAATCTCTTTTTAATTGAAATTTTAGCCTTCCATGAATGAAAAAAGGTTTCTTACATGCGTGACGAAGGTTAAGAGAACCTCAATTTTCATTTCGCCAAAAAAAAAGTTAAAAGAATGAATTTCTCGGCCCGAGTCGAGATGCATTCCTAATTAGAATTTACCAATTTTCTCAATTTATTATTGTGACTTATACCTTTTTCATCTTTTTACCTGCAGAACATTCCGAAATTGCCTCAGATAGATTTATAAAAAATTAATCATGAGAGGGAAATAAAACTTCTCTATATCCAAAAAGCGCATTGGGAAAATTCTCAGTCGAAGGTCACCTAATATTTATAGGAACGATTCCATTTGCTGTGGATTTCCGAAACTTTGATTATCGCCAGTGGTACAAGCAATGGACGGATGAGCCAGGCAAACCAGTAAGTTTTTAAAAAAATATTGAAAAAAAGTTGTTTTTCCATTCATTTTTTTATTAATTCATCGGGCTACGCAAACTAAAAAAATTAACTGAAAGGTTAGAAATATGTTTATTTTTTTAAATTCTTTTTGCTTTTTCTTTTTTTGGCCAATAAGTTATTTCATTTTTCGTTATTTATTTATTTATTTGTTTCACTCAAACACGAAAAATACAGAGTTCCTTAAATTTCCTTTGTAGAGTTGTTAAAAAAATTAATCCAAAGGCGAAGTCCAAACGACTTCAAAAAGACTTTAAAAGGAAGAGCATAAACCTCCTTTTTGAGGTTCTAAAAAGGTGTCAAAAGTTTCTCGGAATTACCTTTTTCCCACCTTTTTCCGCCTTCTTTTTTTTAAAAGGTCATTTTCAGAAAAAGGTCTAGAAAAAAAAGGCGCCTTTGAGGTCTTTTAAAGACCTTTTTCCAGAAGTCCTTTTTGAGACCTATTGGGCTTTTTCCCGTGTCAATTTTTTTGTTTATTTTTTTATTTTTTTAATGGAAAGAACTTCATAGGCTCCAAATAGTATATCTTTTTTTCATTTTGTACAAAAATCTTATCTTATCGAGATTTGCTGAGAATAATTTTTTTGTGATAGGGTGTGAAAAACAAATTTCATGATTGTTTATCGCTGTTTTTTGACGTGCTCCCGTATTTTCTTTTCGACAACTTTTAGCTAAAAACTTGGCAGAATAAGGTTTATTTCATGATTTATAATGAATGTATATCGTCTTTCATAATTTTTCTTCCAATCGGTTTACACAGAACTTAGGTTTAATTTGTCATTTTTTGCTTTTCAGAAGTTATACCGTGAAAATCGAGAATTGAATTGATTATATTACACAGTAGAAACTTTCTTCATTATTTTTTATTACTGTGTTTCAAAGTCCTATTTCAATCGAATTCAGGTTGAACGAGCCGGCGTCCGTCTCCAGGACATCCACCCAGATCCTCTCGTTTCGTTTCCAACCTTCAAAAACGACAAGGGCAACGACTGGGACGAGTGGTGGCTCCGACACGACAAATTCGCCCGCAAAGCCAAGTAGTTTGTCCCAAGTTGTAAATTTCGATTCATTTCGTAGGTTTTCCAAAATTAGGCTCTGTTTTGTTTCTCCTCGTTGTTATGTTGTTCTCATAAAAATTGCGAAAATCTTTATTAGGAAAAAGAAAAAAACCCGCTGTTTAATTGTGTTGTTTATGCAATTTGTAGCAGAATGTCGATGATGGACTAGTTAAGAAAAGAGACAATTTTCCATTTATGGGTTGGTTACCCGGAGGATGTGAAAGAACTGCATGGAAAGAGGGTATCGGAAAATAGAGCTACGGAAAATTAGCGTCTAAAAATGAGAAGATGCGCTCCATTGATAAATTAAATCTAACTGGGTTTAAAGGGGTAAATAAATTTATTGGAAGCAGAAGAGACGCCAGAAAAGTGAAGAAAATTCTAATTCTCTGACGTCTCTTCAAGTTCCATTGGTCTCAGGGTATTATAAAACATGTATCTCAAAAAATCTTCTGTAGAAAACACAATTTAACATTTTCTGCCTCAAACTTCACTTTTTTTCACTGGAGCGCACTTTCATCATTATTTTGAGCTTAATTTGCGCAACATAATATTCAAATACCTAGGGTCATAGAAATGAAAGTTTACGGTTCGTAAATGCAGCTTTATATGGTTATCTACCTACCAAAAATTCTTGAAAGTACAGCTTCCAAAAAAAGCTGAGCATTTAGAAACCGCATCCTTTCGAAAGTATTCACAAGAAGGATGACTCAAACCAGAAGGCCTTCGCCTTTAATCACAGGGAAGTCATTTTGAATGGCTAGCGGTTTGCTGGAGAGCGGAATCTCCTTGGGGGAATGATAGTGGCCGATGACGCGGTCGGACTTGGTCTGAAGCCGGAAAGCGCTTTTGTACTTTGGCTGTGGTCCGGTGTCGGCCAATTTGATGCCGGGAGAGCCCAAGCCACGTTCGGGCTCCATCAACAGCTTGATGCCCGGGCTGAGGTTCTTCTGCAGCTGAGGCTGCTGTTTGAACTGGTAGTTGATGGCGAGGGACTTGGCGCGAGCTGGAGGAGGCGCCGAGTGGAGCGGCCATTCTCCAGACGACGACAACATTCCCGAGTCGGCGCTGGAGGTCTGCGGAGACGTTAGGATGGGCGCCAGCATCGTCGGCACCGAGTCCTGGAAGATCTAGATCTATGGAAAATTCTGATTTTTTCTAGTAGGGATACAAAGATCTTCCGGAACTTGTTATCCCTCTTTCGAAACCAACCTGACTACCGTTCCGAGAGCGATAGCCTCCATTTGGCACTTCAGCCGCCGATCGAGACCGGATTTTCTCATATATTCTGTCTTCGTAGACCTGTAAACCAGGAACTTGTGAAATAATTCAGTTTTTTTTTTACCTCCTTGTCGTCCTCAGACTCCAAGTGTTCCCGTATCCGAAGCAGGGTCGCACTTTTCGGATCGAAACTGACAAGAGACGTGACTGTGGTCGGACCTCGAATCACCTCTTCGTCGATCTCGATGTGTTCGATCTCATCATCCTTTAAAGCACCTTTTTGTAGCCCCAAGGTAAGAACCAGACTGGTCGCATTAACCAGGTAATCTTAGAAAACCTCAACTTATCATAATTTTTTCAAAGACCTCCTTGGCAGGTTTTGAGACCAGATTTGGAATCAGCGTAAAAAACTATAGGAAAATTTTTAGTGGCCGCTATAGAGGACTACTTCGAGAGAACGCTAAAGTGGCCACTAAACCCACCTCTATAGTGGCCACTACTATCCGTTTTAGTGGCCACTATGGAGGTTCTCTATTTAGTGGCGCCTTCAGTAGTTTTTCATCCAGTATTCCTTCCAGTAACTCTGATCATTTTAAAACAAACAGATTGGACCAGTTATGTTGGTCCATTGATCCCTAAAGTGCCCACTAAAACACCAAAACCCTATAGTAGCCACCAAAACGCCAAAACCCTATAGTGGCCCACTAAAACGCCAAAACCCTGTAGTGGCCACTAAAAAGCTAAAACCCTATAGTGGCCACTAAAGATTTTCGCAGTACATCCAGGAAACTGGATCTCATTCAGAAATCCTTTTGCGACCAGAGACCATTCCCTGGTAAGAATTACTCAACGCGTAACGGCTTCGGTTCATATTGTTTGAGCGGTCAGAGACCCCTAATTTAATACGCAGCGCGACCGCCACGCGTTGACTCATTCCACATGCGACCAGAATATTCAAGTTGTTCTGCTAGTCTACCTGATTCCGCAGGATCCTCGTCGACTTGACCGGCTTCGTGTAGACGTCTTCAACTAGATGAGCATCGTCGGCAGGCGTCGAGGAGCACGGCTTCACGTCGGGGGCTGGCTGAACTTCAGAATTCTCTTGAATATCAGACGGCGTAACAGACCATGGAGTTTGGACGGATCTTTCCTCGTTTCCTCTTTGAATTCCTCTCGTATTGTATTCGAGTGGCTTCGTTGGCGACTTTCTGGGCCTGAGTTCGTCCCAACTCTTCGTATGTCGAGTTCATGTACCCACTGCTTCCGTCGTTGATCGAGCTTGGCGGATGACCAACCTACAGAAGATAAAATATCAAGACTTTGTGCACCCTAAAATGAATAACATAAAGACGCAGACACTCGAAAACTTTCAAGTCACGGCGGACAGACTAAACTACTCCTTTAGCTTTTCAAACCTTGGAAGGCGTGATCTGAGCGTACTGCGGCTGGCTGCTCATCGACTGGAAGGACGACGAGGCCGGCCTCTGACTCTTCTTCCGCCATTCCAGCACCGTCATCACCGCCAGAATCGTGGTGACCGTGGCGAAGAGGATGTGCAGCACCGCCTTCAATTCCAAAAAGTCTCCCCGGAAAACCCTCAAAATCTACCTGCGCCGCCTCGATGACGTAGAACGGGATGAGACACTTTCCCTGCACCCAAATCGATCTGAAAATCCGTCCACTTTTCTCTTTCTTAAGCCGCTTAAAGTCACTGAAAGTTCTTACGTACCTTTTCAAATCGAAGTGAGATTCGCAGTTCGGGGTGAATCTTAGGAAAAATGAGAAGGAATAAGGAAGGCCGGCTGATAGAATGGGTCGGGTGATGTCGCCGAAAATTCCAACGTACCTGAAAAATGAAAAAATAATTTTGAAATATTTGAGACATGAAAGTAATGATTTTTAGGCAACTTGAAAATTCCAGAGTGGTCCCTATAGGGGTCAAGAGGAAACAACCTTTATAGGCGCCGAAAAAGTGGTCTTCATAGGAGTAAAATTAAGGTGGCCCCTATAGGGGTTTAGGGTCAGGCCCCTTAGCCGCTAAAGCTCAAGTGGACCCTATAGGGTTCTTTCAATTTCATTCAAAAATGCTTATTTATTCCGTTTCTCCCACAAACGATCATAACAGTTATCGACTAGCATGTCCCCTATAGGGGCCACTGGAACCCAAAGCTTTAGTGGCCCCAATAAGAGTTCGTAAAGTGGTCCCTAGAGAGGACCCTCCAAGAGCCCTCAAGGGACCACTCTGGATTTACGAAGTAAAGTCTGTACTACTTGATTTTTTTAAATTTTCCGAATCAAATCCTCACAAAGTGGTCGAGGTTTTCCATTTTTCAAAAGTAGTCCAAGTTCTAAACTCATCAGAAATGCCAGAATCATGGCAAAAAAAAAAATCACTTCAGTACTTCTCCATATTTTTCACTCTCTCGAGGGAGGTCGAAATTTCCATAATTTTTATGGTTCGGATCCCCGCTTTATTTCTGGAGTTATGATTTTTCAAATTTACTGATTATTCCAAGATCCAAATAAACCTATTATTCTTATTATCCACCCCCTCCCCCCTTCATCTTCATTAGCTATGAAAAAACTCAACTTCATTTCAAAAAAGTGATTGCGCAGGTGGATGACGAATCTTTACATGCCCCTTGAGAGAGTTTTTGAGCAAATTTATAGAAAATTCCTATCTTTACGCTGAATTTACCACCGCGTTCAGAAAAATTATCAGAAAATGATATTATATAAAAGCCAATTCATTGAAAACCTCTCAAACTTCTTCCCAACCATGAATGGGTTATCTTCAAGATAATACCTTGGGCGGTGAAAATCCTGAAGAAAAAAGCGATTCTCCCGATCTTTCACCCTCAAAACAACCAAACAGACATTACCAATGCACTGTCGTTTCGCAAACGGCCATAAAATTGGCATGTCGCCCGGCTTTCAGAACATCAAATAATACGGCAATGATTCCAGTTTGCAACCCCCGTTTCGGCGTAATTACAGAGAATAAAGGAGAGACAGAAAAAAAGCAGTAGGTGAACGGTTCAATGTCATTTTGAGACTGATTTATTGAGATATGAGGTTTTTTTATGGGAATATTCGAAAAAAACGGAACTTCTAAGTGAAAAAAAATAAGCTTTTTTTAAATCAATTAATCAATCAATCAAATATTTCAGTTCTCACACACAAGTGCTAAAGTTTACGGAGTAAATGTAGGGAAAATACGTTTTTTGTTCAAAGGATCAATGAGTTGTCGAAAAATTATAAAATTTCTAAAAAATGAGAATAATCTCTTACAAAACATCTTTTTTTGAAATTTTCAATGGAGGAATCAATAGCTTTTCATGTTCAAAAATAGGGCCTTTTGAATAAAAAATCCTTTTAGAAGATTAAAGTTCAAAGGTTCAGCAAGTTATCAAGAAAATGGTGTTATTATCAGCAATAATAAGTAAGAACCAATTTTTTTAATTAAGAAGGAAAAAAATGAAAGCCTCAAAAATCTGAACCTCCTTTTTCAAAGTTTCTTCTCCGTAAAAAAAAGCTTAAAAATTAAATAAACTCAGCATTTATGACCTCCGAAGCCTGTGGAAAAGAACAACTAAGAAATCTTCCAAAACTTGAATATTTATAACCTCAAAAAATAAAAAATTACCATAAAAAGATGAGGACATTCTCAACGGTCGAAAGGACGTTGGAAACGGCCAAACCAATCAGAAGGCAGGACCTTTTTTGCAGAGAGCCGAAAAGACCCGTGATGCAACAGATGACCTGAAAATATTCTATTTATTTCTTCCCATTAATTTACTCTGAAAGATACGTTTCCCGACAGTTACAATTAGAAAATGAGGGAAATTCAATCCAATGAAAATGAGTCTGAACTTGTACTATTTCCACTTTATATGACCTCTCGAGCGAGAGAAAAGAGAGTGCAGACAGGTCAGAGTGTTTCACATCGTAGCCATAACATTTTCAATCTCCTCTTCGTGTCCGTTTTGAACTTTACCAAGGGATTTGATAAAACAATCCACCAACCCCCATTTTTCACAGTTATAATTTCCTCACTAATCTTGTCAAGCCCCATCATTCCCTCAATATTTGGTCATCCCGAGTATAATGACAGTTATTTGGCTATGATATACAGTCCCATGTACACGATTTGTCTCTTCTCTGTATAATTAGGCGGAAATGTCGGTGCGGGAAAATTGGCGTCGGCGCTGACAATTTTCCGATTTTCCGGCCGCGATGGCATTCAACCGGGCGGAAGGTCGTGCCGGCGATTGGGGTCACTTGTTGATTTGTTTTTCTTTTTTTCTTTTTGGTTTGTTTGGTAAGGCTCAGATTGGAAAAGGTTGGGAGCTATAATGGAATGAAAGGACTAGTGAGTAAATATTAAAAAAACTGGAAAAAAATGGGGGAAGGAAAAAGGGGAAATAAAAAAATTTACGGCTACGATTTGAAACACTCTGACCTGTCTGCGCTCTCTTATCTCTCGCCGGAGGATGCTCACTCAACTTCTCTCAAGAAAAAAATTTTTTTTTCGCCCCTCCAGGGCTCACTCAATCCCAAATGTAAAATATAATTTTCCGAGAAAAGGGAACTGTGTGTGGAATGCGCGCGACCCTTCCCGAGTTCACGCCAAATCCTATTAAGCAAATCGTGAAAACGGCCGCCCGAGGCGCTGATAATGATAAGGCGCGCAAACAAATCATGAGAAAGTGCGGCCCCATTTTCGCGCCAATAATATTTCAAAACGGCGCCTTTCATCTTTTGGCAGTTTTTGTGCGGAAATGGCAATACTTTTTGGCAATGTGCGATTTTATAGTTTATTCACCGCGGGCCTGGGAAAATGTTCGTAGGAAAAATGGCATTTCCTTTTTTTCAAAAAAAGTTATAACTCTTCAGAAATTGATGAAACTATGTTTTCAGCCTTGAGCGGCTTTTCTAAATGACCTCAGTGGCAATATTCAAATTCTGATTCGAAATCAGCTTAAAAAACAACATCTAGTGACCCTAGTCCCATTCGAAATAACTAGAAACTTGAAAAAAATCCTATTTTTTTCTGGAATAAGTTCTACTTCTGTCATCCTCAAATCTTCATCTCCATTAGCTTTTGATAATTTTTAGATTTTTCCAATTCACTTGAACCCTATAAATGACCTATAAGTGCAAAAACACCACGCCCTCCAAAAAAGGTTCCACATTTTTGATTCAACATAACCTGTTCAGAAAAGCTCCCACCCCCCAAAAGGTACTACTCGCAAGACATCCGAGTTAAGCCCGAAAAACGAAAGCAAATCGATGGAAGCCGACGTATGTAACTGAAGAAGATAGGTAGCGCAAATATTGGTCAACGCCCGGCGGGCCGGTCAAACCGCATCCGTCGCCCAGAGCGCCCTTTTGCGGTAATATCCGGCGGCTTCTTCTCAATCAACTAGTGAAAATTCCGTGTTCGAAATATTTTTGGGAGCTTCAAAATCGGTAAAAAGTCTAATTTTTAATCAAATTTTTGAATTTCGAGGGTAAAAGTCGCCATCTATGTGAGACCCTTTTCCTCAAGGCCCCAAAGGGCAATTTTTTGTACTTTCTTTTTTCCCTTGGTTTTGAAAACCCTGGGATTACTTCTAACAAGATCTTATCAAAACTATACCTTTCAATTCATTTTTTCTACTCTGAAAAATTCAAAAATCTGTTTAAAATGGCTGAATACCGAGAAAAATCTCAAAAATTGCCTTACAGGGGAAGTCATTTTATTTGCTGTCGGGAACTTCCTGAAAATTGGCCAGAACACTCTTTGATGTACCAGAAGAAAAATCCTGAAAGTCCCGACCTGTACAATTTCCTAGACTTCAAAAAAAGTTCAAAGAAAACTCTCAAAATCTATAAAAATGAGCTATTTTGAGGCTTTAGACCCCTATTTCACGAGAACTAGAGAGTTCTGCAGCTTGAAACTTTCAGAATCTTCTTCTGGTAAATCAAGGAGCGTTCTAGCCAAGTTTCAGAAAAATCCCAACCGCAGAGTGAAACGACCTCCCTTGTAAATCAATTTTTGATATTTTTCTCGTTATTCAGCCATTTTTTACAGATCCACAACTATGACCAAAGAACCCCAGAAAGCTTAAAACGAACGGGAGAACAACCCGAAATCCTCAATATTTAGGTCAGCTCAGCGTGTGTCAACCTAAACCTCGTAAATCCCGTCGCGAAAACCGTTATGGTCAATTGTAAAAGGGAATTATATTCCCTATCGCTTTTCTTTTCCAGGAAAATCAAGGGGTCTTGTCTCAAACAGGCTTAAAGTTTTCTTCCGGGGCAATGGTGATAAGGTTTTTGATTGATAACCGAAAAGCCTGATATATGGCTTCGTCATCTGAGTTTTTCAACACTAAAAAAATTGGTTTAAAAACGTTTTTTTGTGATTTGAAAAAGCCTTCTTTGAAAAGGAAAAAAAAAATATTTCCCTCAAAATAAAATTTTTCGTCATAAGTATAGTAACCGTAGGCTTCAAAAAATTTTTTAGGTTGAAAAATCCTGAACAACTCTTGCAAGTCATCGAAAACTCGCAGAGACATTAGTTTTCTGAAAAATTCGGCCTAAAAAAAAATCGAAATTGGAAACCTTGAAATTATTTCGGGAAAATTTTGTTTAAAAATACCTTCACGGTTTCAGAAATTCAATATAAGGTTAATTCAAAACTTCTTTTTGATGTGCTTACTGTATTTTTTTAAAATAATCGAAAGTTCGAGCTAATCGAAAATAAAACTTTGAGATTATTGATCATTATCAAAAATCAAAACTCCCTAAGAGGGTAATAAATAAAGACAGCAAATATTTAAGCAAACAATGCCTAGTCAAGTGGCCGTGAAAGATTAACAACGTCTTTTTTTGCAGATATCGCAGAGAAAGTGCCATTGCGAAATTAAAATATTGAGAAATACTTCGAAAAATGCGCCACTGCTTGAAAAAGTCTGATTCCTCTGCTCTCAGTGACTCTCTGGTATTCAAGTGCTATTTCTACTTTTCGTGACCTTCTGCGAGGGAAAAGAGCGCAGACCGGTCAGACTTTTAAGAAGTTTACCTAATACCGTTCACTAAAGATAAAATGAGGAGAAAATAAACTTTCAAAAGAAATATTTCCACAGGAAAATTCCCGAAACTATGCTTCCATCCCACTTTTGAGCTAGCTCCATGAATGAAAAATGAATTTGCATATTTCAAGGCGAAATGTTTGTTTGTCGACCGAAATATGTACAGGTGCGGCCAGGCGGTGGCCAACAACTGATGCCAACACAAACAAGGACGAGCCACGGGTGGTAAAAGTCGCATTCCGGTGACTTTTACTCGTGTCTTTAGCTTCAGTTTTGGATTCATAAAAAAGAAAGGTTGAGCGTGCAAAAATAAAAAGTTTTTTTTATGCCTTCTAACTGGAATAATGCGTTCTAATCATTGGTAAAACAAAAAACCAGACTCATTATTTTCCTGCTCAAAAGCTCCACGTAAATCGTGAAAGGTATTTGCAACTTTTAAAAATTGGTACTTGGTCACTGGCTTGTCCTTGCTTAAAAAAAAACTTAGTTTTTAAGCAAGGACAAGCCAAACATTCTCTACACAGGAAAATAATGAGACAATGACCAAGTACCAATTTTTAAAAGTTACTTTAGAAACAAAAATGTATTTCTTTTTTTTAGAGGAAAATCTAATGCTTATAAAAGCTAGTTCAAAAAGAGAAAGAAAAAAAAAATCATAACGAAGAAAATTCTGGCCTATCTGCGCTCTCTTTTCTCTCACTGAGTCCGTCATAAAAATAAAAACAGAACGTAAAGACGAGAGGGTACAGAGATGCCAGCGTTTTTCGATTCTAGGACTTTTTGTTGAATTTGATACATAAAAAAACTTGACATATTTTTTTGATTTAAAAAAATGAAAGCTTTCATAATCAAAACAATTAAGCCGGTGTACGGTGGATTGAAGTCTTCGACTATAAGAAAGCATTTATCTATTCTCAGAAACGTATCAAAACACACTTTCTCATCCCCCAGCTAGCAGGTGTCATTACCAAGCTAGAAATGCAATTATTCTCCCTGACCAAGGTCCAAATTCTCAAGTGTCCATGCTTGACCGCACAACGCCTGTAAATACAGCCGGAAAGCTTTTAAGATCACCGGCAGGTGGGCGATTTGAAGAGGCGGAACGAGAAAGGAGAAAAAAAGGCGAAGAAAAACGAAGAAAGGCAGGTGGAGACCGGCAGGCCGGATATTTTCCCGTGGCACTCCTCGGGCCTGAGTGGCGCAGCATTATCGCATAGCGGCGATCGACGCAACTTTCCATTCTTTTTTCGACTTTTAGGTACGTGAAGGATCGCAATTCAACTCTTTTCAAGGATAATCAAGCTCAAAAAAAAATTAAGCTGAATATTGTAGCTAGAACCCTTCTCTGGTGAAGGGCAGGATCGAATTTTAAAATGAATATATACAGCAAGGATCGGAAAACTAGAGGCTCGAAATTTTCTACGAAAAAATGATTATTTTGAAGAGCCTTTTTTCGAGAGCCCTAGGGGTTCTTATGGGTTCCATACGGTTCTATATGAAAAAAGGACCCTCTGAAAACAGTAAAGGACTTTTCTTCACCAGATTCTGAGCTTTCTGAGTGGAGATATGAATTTTTGAAGCTTTGACTGGCAAAATTGACACATAAGGAAAAATTGATTTTTCGAAAACCCTCTGGGTTTTTCAAGATACCAGATGGTTGTATATGAAAGACGACCCCTTAAACACAATAAAACCCTTTATTTTACCAGATTCTGAGCTTTCTGAGTGGAGATATAAATTTTTGAAGCTTTGACTGGCAAAATTGACACATAAGGAAAAATTGATTTTTCGAAAACCCTCTGGGTTTTTCAAGATACCAGATGGTTGTATATGAAAGACGACCCCTTAAACACAATAAAACCCTTTATTTTACCAGATTCTGAGCTTTCTGAGTGGAGATATAAATTTTTGAAGCTTTGACTGGCAAAATTGACACATAAGGAAAAATTGATTTTTCGAAAACCCTCTGGGTTTTTCAAGATACCAGATGGTTGTATATGAAAGACGACCCCTTAAACACAATAAAACCCAAATGTATTTCACCGGGTTCTGAGCTTTCTAGGCGGAGATATGAATTTTTGAAGCTTTGACTGGCAGAATTGACACATAAGGAAAAATTGATTTTTTGAGAACCCTCTGGGTTCTTGAGGGCATTAGATGGTTCTATATGAAAGAGGACCCCTTGAACAAAATAAAAAAAACTTTACTTTACTCGATTCTGAGATTTTTGAGCCGAGATATGAAAATTTGAAGTTCAGGATGACGTTGACTTTACAGAAGAATATAAAAAAAGATTCTACAGAAAAGTTTCAGAAAAATGAATCTCTACGTTTTGAAGCCTATATTGTGATAAAGAAGGGCACAACGACAAGATACAGTTTCCAATTTCATAAAAAAAGCCACGGACCTGCAGGAGGTCGAAAGCGACAGGAAGCCAAAGCTTGCCGACGAGGTCGAAGGCGAGCCTCGCCACGGAAAGCCCCAGCCAGGTGCCGAGGAGCAGCGACAGCCAACTCCGACGGTTCATCGCGTCAGCCAAACCTTCTATGGACCTTCATAGAAGTTTCGGCTTTTTTTCTTCGCTTCGGCCGCGTTTGAATCGGATCTTGAAATTATCAATATAATCGCTTTCCGAATTTGAAAGAAAAAAAGGAGTTCAAAATAAGCGAAAAGATAGCTGAAAAAGGCGTTCAAACCATTTCCAAAGCGTTGTTTGAAATAGAAACGCTAAAAAACGATAGAAGTTCCAAAATGCCGAACTTTTATTGAGTTTTCTAACTTTCTCACGAAGAAAATCGACGGTGAACAGGAAAATTAGAAAAGGTTTGACTATTTATCAAAATTACTATTATTTATTTATTAAAAAAGATGACTATTTATCACAGTTACACCTCAAATTTTGAATATATTTTACAAGGAGACACCAAACTGTGTACAAAAAAACACATGAATAATTATCTTATCTGTGGTGATAACATGGCTCCCTCAGAAAAAAATTCAACATGGGAAAAAAAATTTAAGACATTTTCATCATAATAATCTTAAACGAAGAATTTGATGCAGTTTTGACTTCGTTCCAAAAATGAATCCGAGTGAAAAAATTATTCTCAAAAAAACGGAAGAAAATCAAAAACTTTGATACAGAAGGCTTTTCCTTAAAGAAGAAAATTTTGGTGCCATGAAAAAATTACATCGAAGCGCAAGCTTTACCAGATTCTGGATTTCCAAATTCAATTCATCAAAATACGGTAAGATTAATAATTAAACATGATGAAAAATTCAAAAATTTTTTTAAAGCATGAATTCATTTTAAAATAATTCGCGTCAAATAAAAACGCCGTGGACGCAGCGAAAATGACGTCTAACTGCACGCTCTAAAAATGTTTTTTTGTCAATTTTTTTCTTGTTTTTTTATTATAACTTCCTGTTTTTTTCGGAAACAGATTAAGCAAATTTTCGATTTCTATAAGTTCACTCAAGCAATGATACAGAAAGAACCTAGAACTTTGAGAAAATTCAGTATTTTTCAGGCCTGATAAAATTGTTTTTTATACATTGAATGGGGGCTCACGGTTTTAGCTACTGAACAATAGCGATGATAATAATAGAATAAAAAAACAGTAAACAAACAAATAAAAAAGGCGGCGAGAAGAAGAAAGAAAGGGAAAAAAATTGAAGAAAAGAGGAGGAAGAGAATGAAGTGGCGATGGTCAGACCGTCACCCACCGCCTGGCTTGTGTGTGTCTGTCTGTTCTATGAGAGCGTATGTGTGTGTATACGTGCCGAACGGCCACGCCTACTCGATTCCTGTGTGCTGAGAATGAGAAAGTGATGCCTCAAGGGGATGAATTCGAGACGCGCCAAGGGTTGAATTGAAATCGAAGCCATCTGACTTCAGGAAGGAAGCAGGTGACCCTCCTATTTATATAGCTCTTCAAGCGGTGATTTTTAGTCAAAAGAGGAAATTATTTTATTCAAGTTTTCTATCAAATTCAAAAATTGGAAGAAATAACGAATTTAAAAAAAGATTCCTACAGCCGAGGGAAAAGCCTCGGATCATGATCACTAGACTTTGTTTTTCAAGCCAATCCCGAATCTGGGCTTGGAAAAAGGTTAACCGACTATGATAAGAGATATGACCTTTCGCAGTATACACTTTTCAGATCTTTATTTGAGCTGAAACCTGCTGTAAGAAGTTAACAAAAATGAAGAAAGTTCTAATCAAAAAATTTATGTATTAACAAAAAAAAGCAGAAAATCCCTGATAAATCTACAAAATATGGAAAATTTTCTCATCCTTCTCGTAAGATTTACAAGTCAAACAGTCATTTTCTCGGTGAACATCAAGGCCCGAAGCATCTGTCGCATCACGAGGTCCAGGACGTTGCTCACCTCGTCGCTTACAGCTTGGACCTGAAATTAAATTCATTTTCTTCGAAACTATTCAAATTGCTCATTTTAAATAATCCAATGACTTTTTGTGATGAGACGTAGGTCACTACAGTGGAATCGTTTTTTATCAGGCCGAAACTTTATTTGTTTCCAGCGAGTTTTGAGTCAAACTAATTTTATTTACACTCAAATTTTTGCATTCACGAATCAAACCTGGGAAAAGCTGAAGTGTGTCCTAAAGGGGACGCAGAAGAGGGTCCTTTAGTATATCCCGTAAGGGGGTTTTCCTTCCTAGAGGGCTTACTTCAGCTTTTCCCTGAGCATCTCAAAAAAATTTGTTTTTAATTTCAATTTTTCCCTGTTTTAATGAGTTTTTTGCGCCAAAATCGTGGCTATTACTGCGAGTGAATTAAAGTGATTCCGCGAAATTCCAAATAGCCACCAGAAAGTGAGAACATAACTGAATTTTCGAAATTCCGAAATGATTTTGAATTTCTCCAAAATTACTTTGAAAACAAGACATGTACAAGAGCGCCGCAGTGCATGGGAAATAAACACTACACTTTACGGGAAAAACATGGGCGGGATTTGAAAACTTTCAAAAAAAAAATTTCTGCGAAGATTTTGCACACTTCATTTCTAGAAAAAGGTTAGAACCAATTTATAATCTTATTGTACCTTTTTTTTCTTCTACCGCTGAATATAAATTACTTAAGGCAACGGGACATTGATGATTGACAACAAGGAAGAAAATGAAGAGAGAAACTCGAACGAATCGTAGATTTCCACCACTACTTGCAGGTTTTTAATTTAATTTTACCCTTTTTAAATATTTCTTCATGAATCTTCTTGTTTGTATTTTATCAAAAAAGTGAAAAGCGAATTTCAACTCACCAAAAAGTCGGAAAACTCGCTGAACACAAGTTCGGTCCGTTTTTTCTTTTCATTGCTCCCGACTTTGCTATCCCTTATCGCTTGTAGGTGAGCCATCGTGTAGTGGCCCTGAAAATATTTTAAAATTCGGTGAAAAGAAGTAAAAGTAACCTTTTCCGCGATTTCTTGAAGTCTCTCGTCTTGGGTCAACTTCAGGAGAACGGCTTCTGCTTTGTAGGAAGTGTAAGATTGTTGGACTTCTGGTCTTAAGGTCCCAACCAAGACGTCGAGTTCTGTCATCTGGAAAATATCTAAAGGACTAGGGAAAAATATAAAAATATTATACTGGGAAATTTTAAGTGACCAATTTAGGGTTTTGACGTTTTAGTGGTCACTATAGTAGTAAAATTAGTGGTCACTTACGGGGTTAAAAGTCAGTGGCCACTATAGAGGTCTAAGTGCTACTACTAGACCAATTAAAAATCTAAGTGGCCTATTTAGGGGTCAATGGATCAACATAACTGGTCCAATCTGCTTGTTTCAAAATTATCAGAGTTACTGGGAGGAATATTGGATGAAAAACTACTGAAGTGGCCACTAGGTAGAGAACCTATATAGCCCCTAAAACGGAAAATAGTGGCCACTATAGAGGTGGGTTTAGTGGTCACTTTAGTGTCCTCTCCAAGTAGCCCTTGAGGAACCTCTGAAGTGGCCACCGAGGGTCTTCCCAGTACAATCGATAAAAAATATCGAAACTTTGAAAAGCGTAAAACGTAGAAACTTTTCTTCGGATCAAATATTTTTTTCAAAAAAAGTTTCTGGCTTGCCAAATGGAAAAAAAAATCATAAAGTCTCTCAGAGATTATTTTTGTGCAAACTTAAAAAAAACTTTCGAAAATCGAAAAAGATTCATCTAACTTAAGGAATTGAGTTTACAAGCCAGTTTTGAGCTTCACCTCACGATCAAGCATTAAGAAGAGAAATTTTGATAAGATTATGGAAAAAAACTGAGAAAAGAATGTTATTTTGAAATCGATTACTAAAAACCAACCTTCCTTTGCTGTCCGATTCCAGGCGTCCGATAAATAGCCATGAACTGTTCGATGGCCTCGTGAGTGGCATTTATCATGAACGACGGCTTGGGAGCCGGTTCCAAGCTCACCTAAATACCGTTTAAACCAAAGAAGAAAAATGAAAGTTTCGTAATTTTTTTTTTGTGTATGAAGTTTCTGTAGGGACCGCAAAGCCACGCCCCTTTTCGCGATAGAAAAAGTGGCTTTTTTTTGGTTTTCAACTTTCATTTTGTTGTAGTTGCAAAATATGTGGAACTGGCGAATAAAATTTGACACACATGTACAGAAAAGCTTCCTCTTTCGTTTAAAAAATATTTCACGCTTTTTTGATGCGTTCTCGCGGAATGTCGTACAAAAACGTGAATGGAACTAAAAAATTTTGTCATTTTTTGCTTTTTTCATGTGTTTTCAGGTCGAACGCACTCTTTCTTTTTAAATAATGATTTTTGATTCAAGTAACGAAAATTTTAAAACAATAAAATAAAAAAATTCGTCTTTGCCAAAAATTTTTAGGGAGCGCCGAAAGTCATAATTCAAAAATATCGTTAATAAGCGAATATAATCAAGTTTTTTTGTTTTTTTAAAAAAATTTAGATCATGGCCTTACTTAAATTTTTTTTCTTCACAGTATCTGTGCTTGAAATAGTTGTTTAATACGCAAAAATGCTCTTGAAACTAGAGAATAAAATTAGCGGCGTTTATCACACAGAAAGCGGCCGAACGCAGGTTTTTAAACGATTATATACATTTATTAGTGAAAAAAATCTTTCAATTAAAAGAATAAAAATAAAAATTCGTCTTTGCCAAAAATTTACGGGGGCCGTTTTAAGGCAGCGATCGTTAAACGAGGAAAAAAGCACTAAAAAACAGTTTTTCGAAGTGAATTTTCACGGAAAGTTTGAGTAAAGATTTGCGAACATATTCTGATAAAAATAGCTGAATTACTTCAAGTTTTTATTTTTGAAATAGGCAATCTGTGCTATCTAAACGGCTCAAGGGTAAGGCGGATGGAAGCTCCCCTTGCTAGACCTAGCAGCTTGGCGCAGCGCGTGCGCTGCGATTTTTCATTTTGAGGTCGCGAGTTCGATGCCCGCAAGCGTCAGTTTTTTGTTTTCTGGAAAATACCGACTTTTTCGGCAAACTAGCTGATGAGCATCATTTTAGCACTCTATTATGATTTGTTACATCATAATAGACCAGTATCAAAACTTGTTCTAGAAGAAAAATCGAGAAAAATGTCAAAATGGATAATACCAAAATTTCAGTACTAAAAAAATGGTGCGCGGCGCGCCACATTTTTCGTCATAACTTTTTTCATCCTCAATCTTTTTCGAAAAACTAAACGGTTCTGAGTTTTGAATCGAAACAGCTATCAAACCATACAAAGCTCAATGCTGAAAAAAATTTTTTGAAAATTGGTCTGCGGTCCCTAAGTTTCTGCGCGGAAACTGTTATCTAGAGCGAGTTAGGAATTTCAAAAAAAAAATTTGAAAGCCAAATAAAGGAACATCGTTTGAGTTTCTGCAAAGGTGAATGAAAAAAATTATAAAAAAAATTCCTTCCTGACATTTTTTTCAAAAATCCTCGTGTTTTTTTAATTATTTTTTTAAATATTGAAAAAAATATTTTTATAGTAAGCCGTAGAGCGAATTTTTAATTTTTGTCCTTGAAAGATTTAAAACCGCCAAAAAAAGGCCAAAAAGCTAAACAATTATTCCAAAAGCTTATGTGGTCTCTTTTTACCTATACCACGGAATACTTCTGAGAGAGACTTTTATTAATTTCTTGAAACTTGAAACTTCAAAAAAGAAAAATAAGAATATTGACCTCATCCAAACTGAACGATTTGATACTGATAACGGCTGAAATCCCTTGCAAGACTGGAAGAAGCTGAAGAAACATCCAAAGGTCGATCCGTTTCCGCATTCGAAAAATAATAAATTGAGAAACAGAAATACTAAAACAAATGAAAAAAAAAGTTTCAAGACGTAAGAAATCGAATAGAAATCGAAGGTGGCGGTCCGCACCAGCACAACTGTCAAATGGCCCACGGGGAATCGCTTCCTTCTTGGGCGACACGTAGAATGGAGTCTGTTGCGTGGAATAAATACAAACACGGCTCTCTGTTCAGTTGCGCTCCTTTGTTAAAAGGTCTAAGATCCGAAGTAAACTCGCAGAGAGTTCAGCTTGACTAGACGTCGGCAAGCTTAAAAGCTTCTGACTAGGTAAAGTTTTCAACCCTTAATTGAACTTTTGATGGAACTTTGCTGGAGTGTACTTTCGGACCTTCTTCTGGAACAAAAAAATTATCGCGAATAGTTTGCTTTTCGAGTTAAGACGCTTCAAAAGCTTCAGATTGCCCTTTTTCGTCATAATATGCGTTTTCCGTTGAAGCTTCATAAATCGAACAGCAGATTTATTGTGAGAGGTATTTCTTGTTCTGGAATCAGGGGGTGCTAGTAGTACACTTCAGCAAAGTTTCATCAAAATTTCAAATGAGGGTCGAAGACTTTTTTTTTCAAATACCCCTTGTGAGGGTTCTGAGAAGGAAGGCTATAAGCTGTACCAAAACCAAAAAAAGTCGTTTTTAAAGAAATATCACAAAATTTGAATAATGATCCGATAGTCTAAACTACAATCAAATCTTGGCAAGTGGTCGATGATTTTGGTTTTCTCGAACTTAATTCGAACAAGGCGAAAGAAAATTTCCTGTCGATTCAACCTGCCGGATAATTGTTATAGTCAATGTTTCCCGACTTGAAAGGCGAAGGAGGCGGGGCAAGGGGCGGAACGCGTAGCGTGTGCGTACGCGGTTCTTGGCACGAGTCCAATTCAATCGCCGCCGACTATTTAAAAACCTCGGCAGCCGCTCTTTTTCAATTTTTCCACTATTTTTGATGCACACATAAACATAATCAATAAATAATTAAAAAAGAAATGGGAAAAGCGAAAAACGGGCTTTTCAAAGAGTCGATGGCGGTTGAATTGAACAAATGCCAAGAGCCGCGAGCGCACACGCTACGCGTCCCGCCCCTGCCACTGCCCCGCCTCCCTCGCCTTTCAAGTCCGGATACATTAACTATACCACGTCCAAAGTTCGATGTAAACTCTGAGAAATTTTAGCTTGAATAGAAGTCGGCAAGCATTGATTAAACTTTTTCAATCAAGCTTTTGGCTTTTCTTAAAATTATGCTCCTTACTCGAGCCCAAAATTTAGAATTGGCCGATAATTCAAATCTCCGGATTATTACCTAGTAAAATTTTGAGTCATTTGGCCATTTTACTAGAAAGTTACGAGCTTATAGGTTAATTAAATAATCTTCAAAGCTTCTAAAAGATCGATAACTATTGAGCTTTCAAAAAGTCCAGTTCGTCAAAGTACTAAAAACTTTTTTTGAATTTTTAATGTTCAATTTAGTTCAATTCCAGTTCGAACTTCTAAACATTGAAGGAGAGAGTTCAAATAAAAGTGAAATATATCTTTTTAAAAAACCGTAAAAAAGCTTCATAAAAGCTTATAACATTATCAATAAATCTCTTATATCAACAGACATTTCGAATCACTTCTTTAGAAGCTTCAGCCACCCCGAAATTCCTCAAAACTGCTTCAAAAAACTTTATTTTCGATTTAATAAAACTGATATCACGATTCATCAAAGTATCCACAAAAAAACTTGAGAAACAGAAATATCACAAAGTTGAGAAAAAAAAAAATTAATTTACAAGAGCCACGCAACATCCGGCGTCGATGGCAAATCGGTGTAGTACGGGTAGAGTGGCTCGAAAACCTGAATTATTCATAAATGGTCATTTGATACCTGTTTACTTATGTGTAGTTTGAACCTAAATGATCTCACCGGAGGTAGTGTATTCATGGAGGTGATGGTCCGTTTGTAGTCGACCTTGTACTTGGGGGACGCTTCTTCTTCACCTTCAGAGGAGACAATTGGCAAGGTGCCAATGAAAACCGGAAGTTTAGAGCTGTACGTACGACGACGCCATGTCGTTTCCATTGTCACTACTACCTAGAAAAATTTCATGACTTTTAAGCCTCATCTTTGGATTATAAGTTACAAAAAGCTTGACTAGGGAGATATATAACGCCGTTTTCGAATTAATTTTGGCGATTTCGAAAATGACGCGTTATTCGTTTATAAACGTGATTTCGCGAAATAAGCAAAATTGGTATAATCCGTCCACCACAGGCAGTTTGCCTGTCTGCGCCTCTCTGTTCCCTCACCAGCGAGGTAAGAGAAACATGGAAATAGCACGTAGACATGAGAGAGACTTCGAGAGATAAGGAGGGCGCTCTGAATATAGTCTGTTTTTCCCGCCCTTTCAAGTCGCGAAAAACAGACTATATTCAGAGACTCTTTGAAAATATTCTCAAATGTTGGATTCATATTGACATTTTTTTTGAAGTCACTATATCGCGATATAACCCTGTAGGCTGTAGGACCAAAAGTTTTCTAAAGGCTTCCGGAATTCCAATTTCACGTATGTCGCGAAATTATTTCTATTAAAAAAATGCGCCAACTTTTTAAATCGTCGTGATTACTTGGAACACGGCATAATCGTTCTTGATTACCATTTATTCTTCTTTTTCGTTTTTTTAAATTATCAACGCATAGAAATATTAAAAATGAGAAAAAAAAAATAAATTAACTTTAAAAAAACCTTGACATGATAGTCGATGCCGACGATAGATTCGCCGAAAGTCGGCACTAATGGCGGAACCACCATCGATACCGCCGATTGGTGGAATCCTCCACGGTCGACGTTGACCTTCTGGAAATAATTTTGTAGATATCGTAACGAGAAAAGAAAATCTGGAAAAAGTCTTTAAAAAACCTTATCGGTGACTCATTTCTCTTGTTCATTCGGACCAAGATTAAAGGAGTTTACCAGAAAAGTTTTCAAAAAAAAATTGTTGCGCGAGCTCGCTGGGAAATATCATGATGTGCAGAAACCCTCAAGGAAGTGGTCTTCAAGTTATTAAAAAAAAGTCTCTAAACGGGCCACTTGGCTATTTGGCGCCACACTGGAAAGATCCAAAAGCTAGTTATAGCCAATTCACGGCTAGGAAAAGGGCGTGGTCTGTCTGTGCTCTCCACCAACCAGACGCTATCTCATTTTTATCGTGTCAGGACCTTTTTTTCGATGGCTCAAGTCAGAATCAGCCATAGCTTAAAACTCTGTTAACGCAAACTTGACGTGCCCCCCGGACGTTTCTGAGCTTTCGTAGGGAGCACTTAAGAGTACTGACGCCAATAAAGGGACTACTAGAAATGCTCAGGAACAAAAAAAGCTGTAGGCTCAACCTTTTATTTTTTTTTCCAAACTCGAAAATTACCCACCGTTTCAGCAATGGTGATCGGCCTTTTTCTCTCCTTCCGTTCCAGTGTCGTGGAGTGTTTCTCGTCTCTTATCGATAAAAAGTGAGTTGTTTGAACTAATATTATTTTGATCTAGGATTGAACATTAAAAAAAAATTAGGAAAAAAAAAACCGATTCAATCAATTTCTTGGAACGATTCTCCAATTCAACATCCGTGACCAGTTGTTCACCTGGCACGTAGCCAAACTTGCTCAATCGGCACTGAAATTCAAGATTCATTCTTATTATGAAGGATATTATAACTCACCCTCAAGATGACGCTTCTAAAGGGAAGACAAAAACAGGTTCTTTTCGTGCCGACACTTCCAGTAACATTGGTTCCAAGGGGATTCCATCGGGACAGATCCGCACGAGGTAAAACTGTGAAAATTCAAATCACTATTCAATCAATCAATAATTTTTATACTTATTTTAGCCACATGTAATTGACGATGAAAAAGAGCTTTTAAAGCTATAAAGAACAACAGATTTCAGCAAACTAAAATTTCAAACTTGTAGTTGATCAATCAGAGAGAAAATGGCTAAAAATATTGGGAATTTGAGAAGAAAAAGGACAGTATTCCATTCAACTTCTTTAAGAGATTTTTATTCTTAGTCTTACTGGAAATCTCAGATTTTTACCGTACTTCGCAGTTGAAATCAAGCTCAGACATTTTTTTGAGGAAACTCTTGAAGTTTCAAGGACTTTGGTAACGCTAACTGGCCGTGTCAGGGTATTTCTAGTGACCACTTTAGTAACGTCAGCACTCTTAAGTCCGAGACATTTGTTTATAACAGTTTTGGACTCTAACCTGTGAAATAGAAACGAGGCGACTCCTTGTCGTCGACCTTGGCGGTGACCGAATACCGGACGCTGCCAAATTCGCCCTCGAAACTCGGCGGACAACGGTTTGGCAATGGAAACGAGAAGAAGAGCCGATGCCGGCCCACTCCGAACATCGACCGATTCTCGGGATTCTGGGCCCAGACGACGTCAGAAATGTTGACGTAGGTCACCTCGTCGTAGCACACGATCGGAGTCACTTCTTTAGTGATTCCATCGCCATTCCTAAGAGAAGTCAATCAAGGGGTATTTCGAGACTTTTTGCACAAAAAAATTTTTAAAAGGTTGGCCTTGGGAACTGGGGAAAAAATACTGGAGTCGTTAAAAACCTTATTCATCTCATTTTGTCGGAGTTATTTTCTAAAAAATAACTGCTTTTTCTGAATTACGTGCATAGGTAAGTCGGAAAAGGTGGGAAAAGGCTCTATGGAAATGTTCCTTTTATAGTGGCAAAGGCTCCTTTTTTGCTACCTTTTTGAGGCCTTTCTGTGGCCTTTTTTGAGCCTCTTCCTTTTAGCGGCCATTATCCACCATTCCGACGTTCCCCTGTGGAGAGATTACTTTGAGAAAATTTTCGAAGGAATTTCGAAAATCGCGATTTTCAAATTGCGTTATTTTTTGAGGCCAACCATAGAATTTTTTTATTTTTTGCCAGAATATGCGTTTTTAGTTGCTTTATGATATTCAAGAATAAAAAAAGTTGCCCAGAAACTTTCAAGAAAAAACGGGATTTTTATCCGTTTTCGGCCACAAATGCGTTTTAAAAACTGTCGTCGTACATTCTTATTTCTCATTTTTTTCAGTATTTTTCTTTTTATGTAGGATTGTTAAGTATAGCCGATTGTATGTTTCCCCTAATTTTTTCTCAAATCGGTACAAGAAAACTGTTTTAAAATATAAAAAAGAACCAAAATGCAACGAAAATGACGAAGTTTTTTGAACAGCGAAGTGGGCTTGGCTCTGCGGTCCCTATCTTAGCGGCCATTATCCACCAATTCGACTTTGCACGAGTGGTAAGTCAATCAGAAAATTGTTTTCAGGTCTGGAATTTAGGTTCAAAAGGATTTGATTCCTATTTCCTTTTTCCTGTTCAAGAGATAGTCTATTCCGCGTCAGCTTGCCACGATTTTGGTTTTTCTTTGAACTACAGAAGCCTTCCCTGCGATATGATAGGCCTGCTGCTGTGCATGCGCCTTTAGTTGAGCCAAAAATTCACGTTATCCTAAAGGCGCATACACAGAGGTGGGTCACGCGTATCGAAACAAAGGTTCTGTAGCTCGGAGGAAATAGTGCCAATAGGCTATATTTCAATCAAGAAAGTTAACTCACAATATTCTCTGTTGAAAGTCGCTTTCCCAGGAAGTTTGCGCCTTTCCAACCAGAGTTACAGTGATACATTGTATCTGAAACAATTAACAGTTAATTGTTAATTAATTATTAACCTCATTAAAGAATTAAGAAAAATACTTGACTTCCAATCTTAAAATAAATTACCTCGAAATGACGAAAAATTTGAAGCTCGATGCAGCCTTCGACAGTGCCCCCTGGGGAGAAGACGTCAGAGCCGCGACCCGCGAATTCACACGTCAACGAGAAGTTTTCCTCCATCTAAATCCTATGAGTAGTTAGTGGATAATTCTTGGAGCGCGTGTTTTCGATAAGGTGGTCTAGTGGCTAAAAGGTTGAGAGCAAGTCAGTGAGGTCGCTGGTTCGAGTCCTCTCCAGAAAAAAAATCAAAAAAGTTTTCAAAAAGATGATCTTTTTCAAATTTCGCATATCATTTTACTACTATGAAACACGGTTAATACTTACTTTAACGCATAATTTTCTTATTTAAAACTTTTATTTTCGAAAAAATTATTTTCTTCACTTTTTCTTCAATATCACTAAATTTGACTAAAACATTTCTCAATTTTAAATCGTATTAAAAGGCCAGAAAAATGAGCGCAACATGTGCAGCTTAAAATTAAGCATATTTGCGCTCTATGGAGAAAAACCTTGCAATTTTACCATTTTCAAGTTTATTTTTTTATCTTTTGCAGGTACTCAAAGGGGATTTTGAGGCTTTGATGAATAACGTGGTTTGTTAAAAAAACAGCATTTTTTTCGAGATTTTTTTGAAGGCGTGGAGTCTTTCAAAAGGTTATTATAAAACTTGAAGAAAAGTTTTTTTCTTTGGAAACTCGAGAAAAGTGTTGACAACTTGATTAAATATATCAAAAAAAATATTTCGAATCTACTTTTTTTGACAACCGTACTTATATTTTTTAAAAAAATCATTTATTCCGTCGATTTTTTTCAGAAATGATAATTTTTCAAAGAATATGAGGTTCGAATCATTTCAGTAAGTCAAGAAAGGAGTAGAAAGGAACGGCGCCGTCGGAAGAAGTGCAAAGAAAATGGCGGCCGGCGCCGGGACTCTGGCCCTCGAAAAACCTGTCGCTATGGTAATGAATTGCAGGTGTCGGATATGCTTATCACTCTTTATCTTGCCGCCGATATCAGAGAGCATCCCGGGGCGTTCAATTGAAGTAAAGACCCGCGCAATTTTCCTGCACATCTCATTCATTTTTGAGATGCTGAAGGGGTGGACAGTGAAGCAAACTTCAGCACGAAAAGAAAAAAAACGAGGATATTTTTGAATTTTTATTCATACTTTCTTCACAATATCTAGCAGGGAATTTTAAAGGAGTATAATCGAAATCACGTCACGATGAGCTTTTTTTTGATTTTTTTTATTTTCTAACTTCTGCGCCTTCAAGTAACCGAGCAAGGTGTTTTGAATTTATCAAACTCTCGGTACTACTGAAAGATTTATTTTTTTTAAATTCTTTGATTTTCATAATAGTTTTTGAAAATACTTCAGGCATCTTTGAGGATATTTCAAGCCGAAAATTTAAGCTGAGAGGTGCTAAAATCAAAAAAATTAAAAACATATTTTTTTCCTTCGGGTTAAGGTAGCTTTAAAAAAACCTTAAAAAAACAGTTATGAATCGACAATAATTTTTTTCTTAATTTTTTTCAAGAAAAATTGATTTTTTTGGTTGATTCACTTTTTAAAGTTTTGAGCTGATAAAATAATATTTCCAGCGTTTAAATCAAAAATTTGAAAAAAAGAATCTAGAATGAGCCATAGGAATTCTTTATTTGAACTTCAAAACTGTTTTTTTCGTAGTCATTTGATGTTAACACGCCATCTCAAAAAAATATTAACCAGACCTACGGGATTTTTTTCCCCAGAAATACGCTTAATAAACTTGATTTCTCTAACGACTTGGAAAACGATTTGACCAATTTAAGCTAATAAAATCAGCTTTATATTGATCAAGTTAAAGAAGAAAAAAAAAAGTTATTATCTGTTTTTTTCCACTAGCTTTCCACCAAATTTGAAAAATTCTGTTTCACTAATTTGTGTAAATTATTGAAATATTGTGTAAAAAAGAAAATTTCTCAATATTCTGAGCTCTAGAGAGGTCCCTGTAGGGGCAACCTTAGGGGTCTTCGGAGGGTCCACTTTAGGGACCTCTTTACCAACCCCTACAAGGGAGTTAAAGCTGGCAAAAGTGGTCCCTATAGGGGCATGCTAGTCGATAGTTTTTATGAACTCTATGCGAAGAAGCATTTCCATGGGAAAAACTGAATAAAAAAGCGTTTTTTAATGAAATTTAAAGGCCCCATAGGGTCCGCTTGAGCTTTAGGGCTAATTACTCTTTGGTTTTTTAATCGCCTCAACTAGTTTTGCGTGGGGATTCCTGAGTTGTCCTTATAGGGGCAACTTCAGAGGCCCTTGAAGGGTCTCCTCTAGGGGCCATTTTACCAACCCCTATAGGGGCCACTAAAACTTGCAAAACAAGGCGTTTTTTTTTTTTGAATGAAATTGAAAGACCTCTATAGGGCCCACTTAAGCTACAGGAGGTGAGGGGTCGAACCCTAAAACCCTATAGGGACCCCTTTAGTTTTAACCCCAAAGGGAACACTTCTTAGGACCCTATAGGAGCTGTTTTTCCCCCTAACCCCTACAGAAACCAGTCTAGAATTCCTCAGTTCTTTCCTTCAAAATGGCCTGTTTGGTCCCAAAAACTGTGAGAAAAAAATGACTCAACTCGTAATATTCAAATGTTTACATGTTGTTTTCGCAATTTTTACATCATAAAACGTGAGAAATCGGCTTTTTTCAACCATTGAAAACATCAGTCACCCCACTTGCACTTTGAGCCAACCGGTTCTGCAAAATTATTTTTTTTTTGATGGACAATTTTCATATTCAAAACAACTTCAACGATTCACACTGGTTTTTGAAAGAGAAATAAGAGTTTCTCCAACTTTTTTGTCTGGGAAAAGACGAGAAAGTTGTTTCAACTGCAGCTGAACTTTGTCACGAACCACAGATTTCGAATAATTCACAATTTACACAAGTTTTTTGGAGCCGCCTGTTTGCGTGTGATGTCTGTTGTGCCACTCGAATTGGTTCAAAGTATTCTAGCAATTGTAACTGTTTGCACAGAACATGGCCAAAGTTCAAAAAGTTCATCGGAGCTCAGAAAATAAAGAAATAAGTGGGAAGGTCTTACGCGAAATAGAGTATTTTCAAAAATTCTTACTGACTACTTAGGAGTGGTCCCTATAGGGGTTAGGGGGAAAACAGTGACCGAAAAAGGGTCGATACTTTTCCGAACCGGGATTTTCCGAATCGAAATCCGAACCGATACTTTTCCGAATCGTATTTTTCCGAATCGGTTGTGTACTTTTCCGAACCCAAATTTATTATGCTTTTCCGAATCGTAATTCAATTAATTCTTTAGGTGGTACCGTCATTTTCAATCCGATTCCTTATAATTTTTTTCCCAGAGTGCAGCCTTCCGTCTGACCATTTTCGAAACTCGAATAGGATTCATTTTTCCTCGAGTGCTCTTTCAGGAACTTTTTTTCTTGGTTCTTTCGATTTCAGAACGGACTGTGGCATCGCCAATGCCAACGGTCAGCTCTGAAGTTGACTGGCCCGTTCTCGTCTTAAAAATTTGAACTTGGAAAACAGTTTTAAGATTCGAAATTTCGGTGTGCAGGAAGGACTTTAAATCCGCAAGTGCTCTTTCAGAAACTTTTTTCTTGGCCCTTTCGATTTCAGAACTTACTTTGGAATCGTAATTACTGAAGGAGAAAAAGCATGCAATGTTCGAACCATCGTTATCGTGATCGAGAAGCAAATATGTTTTTCATATCGTCGAGATACATAAGTCGCGAGTACATTTCGGCAGTTCTTTTATGAAGAAATTCCGGTTTTTTTATTTTATTTTTAAAGCATTCTTCTTTTTAATGTCTATCATCCGCGATAACGTAATAAAATTTGTTATTGTGGTTATTAGCAAATTCAGAGCGGACCGTTGGCATTGGCGATGCCACAGTCCGTTCTGAAATCGAAAGAACCAAGAAAAAAAGTTTCTGAAAGAGCACTCGAGGAAAAATGAATCCTATTGGAGTTTCGAAAATGGTCAGACGGAAGGCTGCACTCTGGGAAAAAAATTATAAGGAATCGGATTGAAAATGACGGTACCACCTAAAGAATTAATTGAATTACGATTCGGAAAAGCATAATAAATTTGGGTTCGGAAAAGTACACAACCGATTCGGAAAAATACGATTCGGAAAAGTACGGTTCGGAAAAGTATCGGTTCGGATTTCGATTCGGAAAATCCCGGTTCGGAAAAGTATCGGCCCGAAAAAGTGGTTTCTAAAATGGGTGAGATCAAGACGGCCGCTATAGGGATTTTTAAGGTTAGCCTCTAAATCTTAAGTGGTCCCTATAGGGGTCGTTAAATTTTATTCGAAAAACGGCTCCTGCTAAGAAAACTCTTAGTGCCCAGTGTAGAGGCTCCCTAAGAACTTCTTGAAGAGGACACTAAAGTGCCCACTAAAATTACCTCTATAGAGGCCACTATTTGTTCATTAGTGGCAAGTTTAGTAGTTTTAGTCATCTAGTAGTAACACTCAGAACTTTATAGTGGCCACTAATTTTTAACCCGTAAAGTGGTCACTAATTGGGCTACTATAGTGGCCACTAAGGCGTCAAAACTTTACAAAGGCCACTGAAACTTTTCCCAGTGCATTATGACTTTTCTAGTAAGGTTCTTAATGTAAAACTTATTTGAAAAAAATATTATGACTGATTTTTTTATTTCTTTAAAAAAATTTCATATTCAATGGATCGTTTGAAAAAAACAAAATTTCAATCAAAAAGGTCGTTTTTTTCTTATTTCAATCACGTTATATATTTGATAGGAGTTTTTTTCCTCTTTTTTTAGACTTTTTTTAAGGTTTTTTTCAGAATCGAAGATAATGAGATTGAAATCTTCGAAGAACAAAGCTATCAATCAGCTAGTGAGATGAGAAAAACTGAACCGCAAGCAGTTCGATTCGACCTAGTTTCATAGGGCTGATCGGTCAAATTTCGCAGACCTTCCATCAGTCTCTATTTATTTTCCACTGCGAATCTTTTCATTTCTCGTTTCTTCATTAATTCTACACCTGATATTACTTTTCAAACCAGTAGCATAGGAGAAAGGTTTGTAACACGATGCTGGGGTGAAGAAAAGGCGAATATTTGATGAGCGCATATTTTTAGATTATACTAGTAGTTGTATAGTTTGCACACCTTTCCTCGTACTATTCCCAGATTTTTGGTTATTTAAATGTTTGTTCTTGGGATTATTGAAAAAAACAAGACGAAATTTTTGAAATTCATAGGGACATTTTTTTATTGAATTGAAATGCAAAGTTTTATGAATTGAAGTACAGAAATTTTTCTCAATTTTTCTGTTTCAAAAAAAGCTTTTTCCCAAAACTGAGGTTTTTTTATCTTTTTTTCCAAATGCCTCTTTCTAATTTACAAGTTATTGAGTTTTTAAAAAAATATTTTTGAAAGTTTCGATTTCTCAGTTTTTCCAAAAAAATCCCTAAAAATTTTTTTCTGATAAGCAAATCTCCAGCTCTTCAGAAAATCAGGGTGAACAAAAAAACCAAAATTGCGAACAAAAAAAGTACCGTTTCTCGAAAATTTCTACAGTAACCCGAAGATGGTATGTACTGAAAAAAATTCCTAAAATTGCATTACCTACCTATTAATATACAACTTGCCTAGAAAAAACTCCTTACTACTCAGATACGCAGTTGCCTACCGTAACCCGGCTACAGTAAGAGGAAATGGCTCAAAAAATTCTGTCCGCAATCCTGACGTCATATGATAACATTGGTTGAAATTTCATTCAAATCAAAAATTTTTTTTTCTGTACCTTCCGATTTTGAGAATCACAGAGACAGCGTGTTAACTGAAAAATTTTCAAAAACTCCTTTTTGAAATCATGAATTTCAAAAAATCATCTTTGGTCATCACCTCAAAAACGAACGGTGGAACGGAGCCAAATACTTCATTTTTTTTCTTCTAAAACTCACCCTTTCTTCAAGTGTTTGTTCAATTTAACCTGTTGCTTTCCGGCCGAGAAAAAAGAGCGAAAAAAACGGTTTTCACACTTTATTGGATTAGTTTCGCACGAAGAAACCGAAAAGTGTCTTTGAGAAGAAATCCCAAGAATTTTCAAAATATAGGAGATTTTGCCAACTTTTCGCCCTGTTTGCTTTCTTTTTCTTGGCGCCGGCAAACAATAGAATCGAATGGAACTGCCAGTAATATTGACGGTCGTCGAAGATTTTTTGGATAAATAAAAGGTTGAGAAATACGGCAAACAGCTTGCTGGTGGTAATACCGACTCGGAACAGAAACTCAAATTTTTTATTTACCAGTAAAAAAAAGAAAAAAAATGAACGAAATTTTAGCCTTTGAAATTTCGCTATCAAAAGATTGTGAAAGAGAATGGTTCTTTTTATGAAAGGAAACTTTTCGTGTTTCATCATTTATTTCTATTTTCAAACAATTTCGTATTTCTCACGACTCAAAAAAGCTTCAACTGTATTTTAATAACGTTGTGAAGAAATCCAAAAAAATTAGGTATTTCGAAATTAAGGGTAGATTTTAAGTTCTCTATTTATCTGGCTCTCACAGAAGTCATAAGAAAACAACAAAAAAAGTTAACGACGCCAACTAGCCTTGTAAAAGTGGGACAAGTTGTTCTAGTTCCTCTCATAACGCCTGGTAATTATCTCAGGTATAGCTGTTACCTGTGTTGGTCCTGAATATCCAGAACTTCAATTTAAACTAATCGTTCCATTATCAAAAAGCTGATAAGTTTGTGCGATTAATGAGCCCTTTTTTAATTGAGCAATAGTAGTTTGAGAGCTTCATAAGATATCTGTAAAAACCCTTCAGCAGCTTCAGGCAAATCACTAAAGTGGTCACTCACTACTAGCCCCTTTAGGGACCTTCATTGAGGTCTATTTAAATCACCAAAGCGTTTAGTATCTGTAAAAATTCTCCTAGTAGCTTCTTCAACATCCCTATAGTGGTCACTTTCTCCTAGCCTCTTTAGTAACCATCGATAAGGTCCATTTGAATCACGAAAGTGTTTATTATCAGTAAAAACCCTTCAGTAGCTTCAGTCAAATCACTATAGTGGTCACTTGCTCCTAATCATTTCAGTGACCATTGATAAGCTCCATTTCAATGACCAAATAGTTTAGTTTCTGTAAAAACCCTTCAGTAGCTCCAGTCAAATCACTGTAGTGGTCACTCTCTCCTAGCCACTTTAGGGACCATCCACAAGATCATTAAAACCACCAAAGTCATCGCTGTTAGCTAAAGAATTCCAATAGACTTATTTAAATCAATATAGTGGTCATTCCCTCCCAGTAACTTCAGTGACCATTAAAACTTCTGGCAGAAAAACATCCTTGAGTCATGGTTGTTGACGGAGGCCGGCCCAAGCGTCAGTTGGCCCCGATTTTCCTCGCCGACCTTTTTCCCGGCTACAATAACAGAGTGCCTGCTGTCGTCCTCCCTGACGTCATCCCCCAGTTGTTTCCATCTCGAAATTTCTCGATTCAACGGCGCAGCCCTGTACAGTTTCGGTTGCACACCTGCCGTTTGACATCCAAATTCCCCGCTCCTGGCCACGCCTCCTTTTTGGTGGAAGGTTCGAGGAGTTGTATAAATACCACCGCCCCTGGGACCTCTTTCGTCGACGTGGCTTTCGTTATTTTTCCTCATCCGTGGTTCATTTTATCGAAAATATATCGCATATATTCTTAACCTAAAAAAGATGTTATGACGTTTTCAAAGTAATTTCCGCGAAATGCAAAATTATCTCTGGCCCTCCTAATTTTAGTTGTCTTTTCCTTTCTCTGACGGCTATTTTGAATTTCGTGGAATCACTTTGAACACGGTATTACGAAAAGTGATTTTTTTAGTGCTTTGAGAAAAAGTTTTCAAAGCTAAATTTTCTAAATTTTCTAACTTTACGCTGGGAATTTTTTCATGAACAGTTGCTGACTGAAATCAGTGACAAAAAGTAGCTTTTTTAATATTCTAAGATTATTTTTGAAGATTTTTAAAGATCAAAACCTACATTTTTATGAATACTTCCCTAGCCTCCAATTTTGGTGGAAGAAATTTATTCCCTAAAGCTCATTTTTAAAAGAAAGTTTTACTAATTTTAGATTATTTCAGTATTTTTTTCTAGTCTCAAAAAAATTTTTCAATCTTTCTGTTCATGATTTGAAGTCAATTTTACTTTGAACAATTTTTTTGCTTCAGTTCCAATTTTTTTCGCAATTTTTTTCCATGTTTATTTTTTTCATTTTATCAAAATATTCCCGTTTTGATCTGGAGTAGCTAAATTTTTTTATTAGTTTGAAAACAAAAGCGTGAAATGATTCCCAGAGTTAGAAAAGCCTTTTTTTCACTTTTCCGCTAACTAGGACTACACCAGTCCACTTATACTTTCTCCAGGAACTCGAAAAACAAAAAAAAATAGTATCCGTTCCCCCTAATCCGTTTCCACTACCTTTAACCAGCAGTCATTCACGCACCAAATACGACACCGGCCCAAATCCTCATAATTATGCGGCGGCGGATTCTAAAAATCCGGTCACTGTGCCACTCTTTCTCTTACTTGTTGAAATGGAACGAACAACATTTCTGAACTAGTGCCTTGTCTTTCGTTCTGTGTTAATACTTCATTGGTTTTAGTTAGTTTTTTTGAAGGTTCAACTTGAAAAGGGTTTTAACAGGCTGATCTTTTAGTCAATGTACCAAGAAGCCTGTTCTTATCTAAAGACCATAATTTTACTTATTTTTTTTTTTCTGAAAAAGGAAATTTTTGAATCTTCGAGGTATGACTCGAGGGAACTCAATTTTTTTGCTTTAAGAGGTCCTAAGTTTGCTTTTTGAAGTACCAGGGGCCTTGTTTGACGATTAAAAAAATAGTCCAGTCCCTCATTTTTTTAACAGATTTTTAAAAAAACACTAATTTTTTTGAATCAAATAATAATGAAATAAAGGAAAAAAATTTGCAGAGAATATATTAAATTTTTGAATGGCTAAGTCTCAAAAAGGCTACCATTGTTTAAAAAAAGATAACTTCTGATTTTTTTAAAGCTATAGTAGAATAATTTCTCAGTATTAAGTGATGAAGAAAAAGTTTATGATTTCATAAATCAATTATAAAAAAATAAATTGTTTCGTGCTTTTTTTGGAAATAACCCACTTGAGACATTCTGAGAGCAATTGAAGAGGTCTCATGACTTCTAGTAGTGTAACGTTTCAGTTTTCAAATTAATGCGAAAAAATTTCGCAAAATTCCATTTCCACATCTCTCAAAAAGCTTGCAAAAATTTGTTTCACTTCAAACCATTATTTTTAACTTTTCTTTGATTTTCTCTTAATAGATAATACCTTATATTTTTTTTTAAATACGTTAGAATTGAACAAATTTCAAAAAATAAACTGACCTCGTAAAAAGCAGTCCGCGGAACCAAAAATTGCCTTGTATGGAAGACGGCATCGTTACGTTTTCGCATCAATTCCTGAAGAAACAATGAGGAAAAGAAGAAAATTTCCCTTCTTTTTTCTGTTCTTTCATAAATAAAGTGCCTTGTTTTCGACGAGAATGAGTAAGCGGAGTTTACTTTTCTGTTTCCCGAGAAGTTGGCCGAGAGAAAACAGTACCTACTTCGAGGGGAAGGTCATAAATCAGAGGTTGAGAGAGGTTGGAAGAGTTTTTTGTGAAAGAGAAAAAGAGTTCCGTTTCATTTTCTGTAGTTAGAAGCCGCTCAGCAAAATATTAAGGCAAATTCATAGACATAATTATTTCAAGGCTTACTTGAGCCATCCAAAAAAGGTTCTGACATGATAAGATAATAACTTTAGCAGCTCCCAAAAAAGGATTGATTCCGAACTTTTTCGAAAACTTTTCCTGAAGTTGACAGTGGACTCACTAGTTTTATGAATAGCTTGATGGAAGCTTCAAAAGCTGATCCTATTGATCTTCAGTTATCATTTTGAGTTCCTTTTTCATCTTTTTTCTGCTCCTGATCTCAAAAATGACCCTTCTGACGTTTCTGTCATCTTATCTGATCAAAACGTCTACAGTTAACCTTACATGGAGTAAAAAGTGAGCATTGCAGCTGACAAAATGAAATTCGCGATCCTCCTCGCTGTCGCAGTGGCTCTGGCCGCCGCTGCCCCACGCGACAAGCGTCAAGTCTCCATCGGAACCATCGCCATCTCCGGCGGAGCTGGCGGCTCTACAGGCTGCGTCGTCACCGGAAACGTCCTCTTCGTCAACGGCTTCCGCGTCAGGGAACTCAACGGAGATGAGCAGTCTGAGCTCGAGTCCTACCAAACCAACGTCGACCAGTACAAGAATGTGAGTTTCAGAAAACTAAAGGGCTTAAAGCATTGGTCCGATCTGAGTATCAAAAAGTCCGGTGAACTTAAAAAACTAGGAATTACAAAATTAAAAGGGGAATTTTTTCCTAAGAAAAGGGATCAGCCATGAAAATTAAGTCTGATAGTGTATTTTGAGATACTTATAAAACGTCGATAAGAAAAATAAAAGTGAATATACGAAAAAAAAGAGAAAAAAAGGGTCCAAGAATTTTCTGAAACGGCTGGATGACGTTTTTGAGCTGTTATAAGAAAGACAGAGGGTGGCGCTTTCAAAAATCTCTTAAAACAAGAACCAGAAAAAGAACGCTGAAATGGACAACGATGAATGAGTTCAGCTTCTTTGCAAAACGATAAAATTTTATTATGAACACTTTTTTATAGTGTTGCGCATGCTGAACCCGTTGACCATAATGGTTGAAAGTCCAACTTCAAACAGTAAAAACCCAGTTTCCGAAGTTCTGGTCTTCCCAATACCGTAAAAAAAAAGTTTTTTTTTGTTTTTGAGCATATCCGAAAACTATAACTTGTCTTCTTTCTCTCAAATTATCCTCAGAACTTGGTGATTAGGTTCAAAAATGGGCGTCCAGCCTTGAAACCAGAAGCTCTAATTCATGAAAAAAAAGGCGGTCCAGGAGAAATAAAAGATTTTCTAATGGTTTTTCCGAACTCTTGTCAAGTTCACCTCTGACTATTGCAGCAACTCCGCGACTACATCGAGCAGCAGAGACAGCAGCAGCAGAACGAGTTCAACTCGCGCCATCAGGGCCGCCGGACCAGCCAATCCGGCGACAGCAACGCCGTCAACGGACCTTCGTCCTCGGCCAACACTGGCCTGACCCGTCCTACGGCCCCCGCCAAGCCCTCCTTCTGCTCCGCCGACGCCACCACTCAGTACTACTTCGATGGATGCATGGTTCAGGTGGGACCTTTTCAGATTACAGAAAATTTTTTTTCTTTTCTGAGGGTAAAAAATGGCCTAGCTTCTTAGTGGAGAAGAGCTAAAAATGAGGAGTTGATGAAAATAGGTAAATCTTTAGGGCGCCCTTTTTCTGTAGAGGTTCCATATTGGGTTCTAGTGGAGTCTGATTAACAGAGAATGTGAATTTCATTGTAGTTTTCCTGAATCACGACTTAATTTTACACTATCCTTTATACTCGTTAAAAAAATACACTTAAAAAAATCAAAAAAATCGCATCGTTTCTTTTTTTCTAGGTAAATAGGAAAAAAAATTGAATTGCCACTAAAAAGCCATTTTTTTCGAGCTACTAGGGTTGAAAAATGAACGTGGAGTTTTTTTATTTAGACATTTTTTTCAAACTTCAAAAAGTTTCAGAAAGTAATAAAATTTCTATTCACTGAAAACTTGAAAAAACGGAGTCAAGAAAAGCATTAACCTGATTTTGCAAGGAAGTTTGTTGCGCGAGAGTTGGAAGGGAAAAACCAAGGATTGAAGAAAAAAAAACCAAAAAAAAGACACTTGAAAGAGAATTCTCACCTTTTCTTCTCTCCCATCTTTTCCTAAAAGCTTCTCTGCACTTTCTCGGGTCTATAAAATCAAAAAAAACCTCTCAAAAGGTTTCCGATCCTTGTGTGGCAATAAATCTATCTTTTTTGCTTGACCAAAACTGGACTTTTCTATCGGATCGGAAGTTGGGATCCATGAAAGATTATACGCGATTCAACAATAGCGTGACCTTTTTTGGATTGTTGAAAGAGGAAAAAACCTTCTTTTCACTGTTGACTGCGTTTTTGAAAAGGAAACACAAGGTTGGATTTTTCCAGGACAACAAGGTCTACGTTGGCCGCGAGTACGCCCGCGACTTGACCGCCGATGAGCAGGAGCAGCTCAAGAAGTTCGACGAGCAACAGACGGCCTACCAGAACGCCGTCCAGCAAAATGTCCAGAGTGTGAGTGAATCAACGACTATTAAGTGAAAGATAGCCCAAAAACCTGATATTCAGTAGGAAAAACAGCAGAAAAAGATAGTTTTTGAAGTTTCAATTTACAGCAGATGAAGGGACTCTTCGGCACGGACTTCTTTTCCGCTCTCTTCGGTGGAGATGACCGTCGTGCCCAGCAGCAACAGCAGCAACAACAGCAGCAGCAAGTCGCTCAGTCGACGCCTTCCACCGTCTCCACCACTCTTCCCCCGAAACCAGATGTCCCCAACTTCTGCACGGCCATCTTCTAATCCCACCCAACCTCATCCCAAGCAATATTACGGTCTTCTCGATAATTTACTTGTATTATAATGTGTATTCACGGAATAAAAGACATATAACCAAACGAAATGAAAAAAAAAGAATAAAACAAACCGACAAGACTGGGCGACCACGCGTGCACTGATCTGAACTCTCTGATCGGTCGTTCACGCCGATAAGAAGTACTTACTCTTTTCCCGCACTTTTAGTGATCAGATAAAGACTGAAATTTGTCAAATGCAGTCATAACGCCGTTACGAGAGAAAAACGACGGTTTGAAGCGATTTTCAAAATTACTGTTTGTCAAGCGTGTGCAGTAGGTGTTCGTAGCGGAAAGCGTTTTATTTCACGCGCAATTTGTTGAAGTTTTCTCAAAAAAAGTTTTTAATAATTTTTACAAGCTTTCAAAGTGTTTCGATAATATCGCCTATTGATGTTTTGATCAAAAAAATTAGTTGATGAAGTTTTTTTTTCTATTGAAGTCGTTTGAGTTTTTTATTCAAATTTATTCAGCGAAATTAGAAATGAACTCTGACTCTTTAAATTTTGGTCATCTTTTTCATTCTCTGACCGTCGTTTCCATTACGCTGGAATCACTTTTCACGCTACATTATCTTGAAAAAAAAATGTCGTTTTTTTTAAATATTCACGTTCACCTTTGAATATTTTGACTTTTTCCAAAAACTTAACAGTCCGTGGAACGTGCCGTAAATGCCGACTCGAAATCGTCATTTCGAGACTTCAACAGGACTAGAAGATGTCGTCCTCCAATTTATCAACTGTGGTTGGGTCGTAACTTTTTGAGTTTTTGAAAGTTGTTTGATTTGAAGTCGGCGGAGACGGCGGTGAGCTTCGACGAGGAAGACTTGGCGCCTGAATGGACTGACGTCATCGTCGCCATCGACGACTTCAACCTGCAGCGAAAAGTCGTCAGCCGCTACGAGTCGTCCTATCAATATGAACATTTCCTCATCTACGTCGCTCAAACTGATGCGGTAGAGTTTATATTGCATTCAACTCGGGCAAAGGTCTGAAGGTCTTCTAAGGAAAATTTTTCGTTTCACCTTTGATAGCCCATGTCGCGCCAATTTGTAACAATTTTCTCTTCTCCAGAGTTACAGTGCCCTTATCTTTGATGTGTGGGTCGTGTCCCTGTGCATGCGCCTTTAATTTAGCCTAAAATTGATGGAAGGCTCTTTAGCTTTTTTGGGCTTTTTTTTTAGCAATTTTTTGATTAACGCGTTGAATTTTCCGTATACTTCTGGATCACTCTCATTCAAAACCCCTCAAAATGTTTTTTTAAAATTGTAAAAGCCCTTGTAAAGCTAGGGAAAATCTCTTCGAAAACCTGCGAAATTGAGCTTTCAAAAGCGTGTCTTTGCTTTTACAATAAAGCGAATTTAGTATTTTTTTTTAATCTACAAATCTCAAGGCGGAACTCAAGCCGTGGCGCCACATCTACATGTCGGTGACTACGGAAGCCGATTCGGAATGGTTTCTTCTGGTTCAGCTACGGATCAAGACTGGCGAGAACGCGAGTGTCTTGAACGTCGTCGACAAGGTCTTTTTCAAAGGCTTTCAGACTGGGGACTTGAAAATACCCAAATTTTCAAGTTTTTCAAAATTTTTTCAGGACGTTTTCCGCTTCGACTCGTTCACCCGGCCCTTGTCCGTCGAGCTGCAAACCACCGAAGTCAAGTTTTTGAAGCTGGAAATGCGAGTTCTCAACACTGTCCGTTTGGGAAGTTAAGAAAAGTCCAACTACTGTATTTTGATGGGAGAATGTTGAAAAGGAAGAATTGAGTTTAATCTGAAGACTTTAGCTTGGAAATTATCGATTTCCAAACTTTTCTGTTTTCGAGTTTCTTTATTATTGTTCAAACTATTTTCAGATTCAATAAAGCATTGAGTCCGTAAGCGTTAAACTCTTTACAGCTTTACCTCGAGCACCCGCGGTTCCTCGACGGCGATACTTTGATTTCCTTTGAAGACGGCCCTTCGATCCGCGTCTACAAGCACATTTTGTACCTTCTCTCCGACTATATGGGTTAGTTTTTTGATTTTTGTTTCAAGGTCGTTAAGCAAAAATAGGCTTGAGAATGGTGAAAAATCAAGAAAATGTTCAAAACAGAATTTTTGATGGAGCGTGGTGAATAAGGCATCATTTATTTGAAGCACATTGTGAAAAATGTGTTTCAGTCATTCTTTTTAAAATCATTTTTTTTAATTTTTGGAAGTTTGCGTAGCTTCTATAAATTATCGGCGTAGTGTTCCGGAGTCCATATTTGAGTTAATAGTTATCTGAAAATTTGTTTATAAAAATATTTTGAATGAACGGAAAATTACGATTTCACTGTATCTGTTTATTTATTTTCTGTTTTAGACGAATTCGAAAAGCAGTCGTCCCATATCCAAGTGTCTCACATTCCAAGGAAGGCTTTCCTTGAACTTCTTTATCAGGTTATTTTTTAATTATTGTAAAGAAAAACGAAGGATAAGTGGTTTTGAAGTGGTAATTATAGGGTTAGACGCGAAGTAGTCATTTTAGGATAGTCGTTTAGACTTGAGATTTGAAAGAATATTTTTTTTCAATTTCAAAAGTCATTATCAAAATATTTTGTGACCTCTCTAGTGATCACTGAAAGTGGTGAACCTATATTTATATTTTGCTCACTGGGAAAATTTTCAGGGGCCACTATAAAGACTCGCCAAGAGCTACTTGGAGAGGACACTAAAGTGCCCACTAAACCCACCTCTATAGTGGCCACTATTTTCCGTTTTAATGGCCAATAGAGAGGTTCTTTATTTAGTAGCCACTTCAGTAGTTTTTAATCCAGTATTCCTTCCAGTAACTCTGATAACTTTAAAACAAACAGATTGAAACAGTTATGTTGATCCATTGGCCCCTGAAGTGGCCCCTAAAAATTTCAGTGGTCTAGTAGTAGTACTAGAAAGTGGTCTTTTTTAGTGGTCTAGTAGTAGTCTAGTACCTCTATAGTGACCACTAAATTTTAACCCCTTAGTGGCCACTAAATTAACTACTGTAGTAGCCACTAAAACGTCAAAACCCTATAGTGGCCCTAAAAAACTCCCCAGTATTTCAATGTCAATCGGTGGCTCCGACCCTAAACGCGCGATGAGCCAATCCTACTAGAGCGAGTCAGATTTTTAGAATGACGTCATAGTCCTTGAAATTCAGATTCTGGACAGACCTTGGCTCTTCTTCTACCTTCCAGAGAATTGATAGAACAAAAAAGAAGACGTTGGTAATTCCTCGATTTAGGCTTACCCAACCCGTCGGCCGATTTATGGAAACTTCCGGTCGCTTTCCCTCGCAGCAGTCGGTCTCCGCTGCAATTCGCTGATAAATCACCTTTCTCGGCATATTGTAGAGTTCAACTCGAGACCTGTTGGCCTTCAGCTCAGTTAGGAGATGATCGAGGCCATTTCAGTTGAGCTTCGAAGAGCGATTCCGAGCGGCGATCGATAATCAGCTGGCGCCGGCGATCCAGGAGATCGCCTTCAGAGCGGCGCGCGACGGCACTTGGGATCGCCTCATTCAGAAGGGCTTCGAGGCGGAATCCTTCTGCGGAAAGTCGGTCTACACCCAACTCGTCTGTCCTGCCATCATCAAGGTTCAAAATTTGAGAAAAGTAGATGTTTTTTAGAGAAAAAAAAATCAAGATAATTTTTTCTTACTCTCAATTTGTGTGCCCTGCTGTCAAAGATCACATTAAAAAAAAAATACTTCTGGGTAGTTATCTTATCTGGAGCTCCGACTTCTTGTAGTCTTCCGAAACAAAAAAAACTTGATGCTTATCGTCAATTTTTATGGGACGACTTAAGGGTCGACGTGCCGGATTGGACGATACCTTGCTTAAGGAAGATGCCCCAGTCCCCGATTTTCTATCGAAAGATGTTTGATAACTTAGTTTCCGACTGGAGCTTCTATCTGTACCTTTTCAAGCCCAACGATGATAGCAAGTCAGCGATTTTGTTCCGCGGGACGACTTTCTACATGAACAGTGGCCTCCTAGCCGCCCACGGAAGGCAGAAGTTTAGCATTGGCCGAAATGGTTTCCCTGGATTTTATCGGATCTGTACTGAATATTTGGTTCTAGAAGAATACATTGCTATCTACAGTCTCGACTTTCAAAACGAGTGCGGCAAGATGAACTTGTTGCCCGGCGAGGTGAACTTTTTTTTTGACTGGGAACACGGCGTTTTTTCGACGACGCCACGCCCACTTTTGCTTCGTAAAGTGTCGTGTGTCGTGTGCATGCACTGCGCCGCTTTCGTGCAGAAAATTGCGCTTATGTAGAAAAATTTCGATTCGTCTTGAGACCTCTGGCAATGGGCCTTGATATGCCCTGTTATTAACGAGTCAAAATCTCTGCCGTTCCCATGACGTCACGTGGGAACGGCGGATATTTTGGCTCCGCCCACCGTGTTTTTGCTTTCACATTTTCTTCCACTAGCAAAAACGCCGTGGGAAAATAAGACGAACATGTTGTTAAAAAAATGAAATTTGACCGGAAAAGAGTGTGTTTCGACCGAGTTTTTGGACAAAAAAAGAAGAGCTCAGGAAAGTCGATATGAAATGGTGGTATAGCAGATTCACAGCTGGCTTGAGCCATCGAAGAAAGGGTCCTGACACGATAGTGCACGAGATAGCGCCTGGCTCGTAGAGAGCGCAGACACGACACGCCCCCCTAGCGTCCCAAGATGGCCGTGAATCAGCTATATCAACGGTTTATCGTGTTCCTTGAAGGACGTGTTAAGAGAAATGATTCAAAAATCCTATATTTTTTTTCTTTTAGACGTTTGATGCAATTTTTCAATTTCAAAATTTATTGGCGTTCTAGGTGTTGCTCTCCGTGCTGCACTACATGATGCCGTTGGGACCGATGCCTCAGGCGGAGATGCTCCGCGCCGCCATCGTCTTTTGCCATGACCATGAATGGAACATCCTCAAAGAGGACCTCGAACAGGTTTCCCAAAGGCTCCTTGTTTCCGCAAAAATTCAGGATTTAGGAACTTTTGCACGAGCCGCCATTGACCGTGATCCAGTACATGTCGCAGCTGAAATTTGCTGAGAAATATGGCCTCGTCAACATGTTGAGAACGAACGTCCAGAGGGCCGAGGCTAGGTAGGATTTTAGGGGCTTGTGCGAGGGCCGGCCTGGTCTTATCTTTCAAAAACGTCCGGCCCGAATAGCAGAAATTTCTTTCCAATTTTCGACTTCTTTCACGACAAATATCTCATTTTCAGACCTTGATTCATATAAAATTCGACAGAAACTATAAAAATTAATAAAAACAATTTCGAGCAAGGATGAAGATCTATAATTATTTTCGAAGCCCTTTTTCGCAATATAAAGTGGCCCAAAGATTCATAGTCGTCATAGACAATCTTTCCAGCTGCCACCAGATCGCCAATCACATTGTCGCCTCCGGCCAAATTGACGAGCTTCAAAAATCGACGAGCGAGGCGATCGTCGACAGAATGTGCAGCGGATGGGGCCTTCATCCCAGCGTCAACCGCCTGGCTACTAGGTATCCTTCTGGGAAAAGCCACTTAAGAGGTTCCTCGAGGACTACTCTGAAGTGACCACAAAAATCATCCCTATAGAAGCCACTACGTTGCTTCTTAGCCGGCACTAAGACTTTCAATGGTTTAGTAGTGCCGCTTAGACTTCTTAAGAGGTTACTAATATAGCCACTTAGGTGGCTGTTGATTCGACTACTTCAGTAGCCACCAGAGCTTCAAAACCCTGAAGTGACCGCTAAAATATTTCCCTGAAACTTGATTTTTCCTGTTTCTGGTTTTATTTCTAGAAGAGCCACTAAAACGTCAAAACGTAAAACGTTAGCCACTTAAGTGGCCATTAGTTCGACTGCTGTAGTCACCACTGAAACGTCAAAACCCCAAAGTGGCCACTCAAAACATCTCTATAGAAGCCACTACCTTGCCTCTTAGTGGACACTAAAACTATCAGTGTTTTAGTTGTACCACTTCAAAAAATGGAAAAATGGTCCGCCCATGTATGCTTTGGATCACTGAACTGTTTATGGACTTTTCCCGAGCTTTGCCAACTCCCAGAATGCCGACAAAGTTCACGGAACGCTGTGTGGAACTGGAACGAGGTTCGGTTCTCGCCCGAGGCCCCGGTCGCCTCTGCGACACACTCGTCTCCATGCAGTCCGAGTACGCCTTCGGCATGCCCACGGAGATGGTCGTCGTCGACTGATTCTTCCTCTTTTTTCCTCCCTTTCTTCGTTTTTCTTTTTCGCTTTTCTTGATAAAATTGATGCACCCGCTGTGGTTTTTCTTCTTTATTTTTAGAAGGATTGAATGGAATAGAAGGAATGGAAGGAATTTTAGAGCTTGAGGACTTGGAAAAAGTTCGAAGTTTAAAACAAGTTTTGGAACTTCTCTGTCAATTTTTTTTGGTTCGATTTTCACTTGTCAGAAGTTAGTTTTATTTAACTTCCGAACTTCAGAACAACTTGAATTGTTCCGAGCTTTGTTTAATTTAGGTCTCAAAATTTTTTAAAGGTTCTTCTGCTGATATTAACTTTAGAAAAGTGTTACTGTTTCTTAGGTTCTGATTTGGAGGTTTTGAAGATTTACTTGTGATGACGTTCGGACGTAAATAGATGAATAGTATCGTTAGTTAAGATCACAGAAAAGTTTTACTGATAAATCGGAACTTGAAAATGAAAGTCCTGCGAGAGATTCCCAGTCGCCATTTCTTCCGATTTTTATTACGAACCTCTGTCAAATGTTTACCAAATCAAGAGGTTGATGAATAGTTTTAAAAGCTCTTTGAAACGTATCAATAAAGGGTTTTGGTAGTCTTTCGAATTTTTCAGAACTTTTTGCAAAATATCGTTTTTGTAATTTTTCCTTTAAACCGGTTACTTGAAAAGGTTCACTGAAGCCTTCTAAATTCTAAGTTTTGAATAATTCCCTTTTTTTCTTTTTGATTCGATCGGAACACTTTTCTCTTGGAATGGAGATTTTTGTGTTTCTTGACCTTGACTTCATTACTTTTGTTTTTTTTTTTCCAGTTTTTAGAGGTCTCAGATTACCGACCTTCATCAGAGATTATTCTTATCAGCTGTGCCAAGATCTCCTGATCTTTTGATCTCTCTCCATCCCTAGACTGTAGGCTTATATCTCGTCTTTTTCATCCTTTTGTGTTTTGCTCGCAAAGCCGGAAGGCCCTTTATATTCATGCGAGGACCATCTCGAAAGCACCATTGAGCGAATGGAAAAGAAAAAAAAAGGGTCCCTTGTTGGTGGAGGTATTGTTCGGAGCAAGCGCCGACGCCGAATTAGGCGAAGATTAGGTTGTGTCGGCGCGGCCGGATACACTAGGACCGAAATGGGGGCGGAGAGGAAGTTCTGCTGCTGCTGCTGCTGCTAGTGGAGCCGGAATCCCGAAATACCCGGCCGCCGGCGTCGGTTGTGTCAACACCGAAATGAGCGTCGACGGTCGGCGTCTCCGGCCCCCGAACGGTCTCTCGTCGGACCGTCGGACCAGGCCGCGGCCGCCGGTCACCAGCAGCACCTAAATCCGCCGCCTGTCGTTTTGAGCTCCGCTTTTCGATCATTTTGTTTCTTCATATTGCCAACTTTGACTCTTTTTCATTTTTTCTGTATCGGATTTTTCCTTGAAAAAAATTTGACAGTGTCTGTATAGTAACTTTGTTTGAAGCCTTGATTGGTTTAGATCACCCGACAGTATTTCTCAACTTTTTTTTCCATATTTTGAGGATGGTTGCGAAATATTTCAGTTATGTAAAGACACTACAGGCAATGTCTTTAAATAATTGGAAACCATTCCAAAAGCCTGAAGCGATAAAATCATCATCATCATCATCATTTATTCAATACGAATAATAATACAGAATTGTTTTTTCTGCTCAAAATTTCGATTTTTTTTCTCACTTTTTCTTGGTTAGATTTTTTTAGCACCTCAAATCGCTATCTGTATTTTTGAGCACCGTTTTTTGATCAACTTTTTTTTTCCTGCTGCCAACTTTGACTTCTTCTCATTACTCGGCATTTTCCTCACCTTGGAAAAAGTTGCCCACTTGAATTTACAGTACTCCATTTAAGCCATGAAGAGGTTTTCGTTCGGTTTTTAGCACTTTTTCCATTTCAGCTTGGCCTTTTTATCTGTATCTCTTTCTGAGAGAAGGTGCATAAAATATTAGATAGTTAAAAGAAATACAAGTGTGGATTTCAAGCCAGAACAGCTTTTCCGCTGGTGTGATTTTTTTATGAGATTTTTATGAGATTTTTTGTCTTTTTTTGGTATTTCTTGATTTTTCCGGTTGTTTTACTGGTAATTTTTGTGGCCTTTTCATTGAATAAATTTTTTTGATGATGGAGTTGTTTTTTTTCTCTTCTATCAATTAATAAGCTAAAACAAACAAATTTTGGAAAAAAACCGCTACTTTTTCAAAATTTTTTTGGCAAGAATAAACTACCTGTGATCAAATTTGACATTTATGCACAAAATAAATCGAAAATTTAAATTTTTTTGATTCAGTTTTTTTCTGTCTCAAAGTACATCAAATCAAAAGAAAGGGCTCTCAATGCCTGAAAGAGACGCCTCTGATTTTTATCTGATTTTTTTCAAAAGCCCCTGTTCAAAAAAATGGCTGTGGAAGCTTTAAAAGTGTTTCTACCCACAGTTTGTTAAATTTGAAATACTATATTTTTTTAGAAATGCCGATTTTTTTGTACCTCTTATCCCACTTAGAAAAAAAGGCCATTTTTACGTTTTTTTCTTTCAAAAAATTTTTTTGGATTTCCAATTTTTTAGTCTGGATAACTTGTTGAGTAGTTGTTGATATGCACTTTGAAGTTTTAGGTTTGAATCCAGAATTTCGTTTGATTTTTGATTTCTTAAATATTTTGTGAGGCAAGCTAAGAAACGTCTTTTTCGGAAACAGGCGTATAGGGAGAAAAAAAACTTCAAAAAATGTCAAAGTAAACTTCCAGCATGATATCTGCCTATCAGAACTGTTCTTATATGCAGTTATGAGTTTTATTAAATTGGTTCTCGATTCTCAAATAAGAATAAACGATTAGTGTCGAAATGTGTGTGGCTGACCGTCGGTGAGCAAGCTCGAATTTCACAACTTAGCTTCTTTTCGTCTAAGCTTTTTGTCGTTTTTTCCCCCTCTGGACGACACGACGATTACCAGGGCCGCTGGACCCGCTTTGTTCGGCCATTTTTTCTTCTCGTGCCTCTTTTCTGTTGTGTGTGTTGTGTCAAATGTTTGTATTCCCGCTCTTTTGACCCGATAATTAGTCCTTTTATCTGGCTTTTCTTGCACTTCTTGGTTTTTTTCCCTGTTGATCGATGAACAGTACCGCGCATGGATTATGCAGAAAAAGTTTTGAGTTTAAATAACTTTTTTATACTTGATTTTTTCGAAAGCAGATATCTTGTCAATGCTTGGTAGTAATCAGTCAAAAAAAATAAATTTGGATTTAAATATCATTTATTTCTATATATACTTTTTTTGAAAAAAATCTTTTTTGACCAGGGAATGGTCTCAGCTCACAGTGGGACTTCTGAATGAGAATAAGTTTACTAGATGTAGTTTTTAATGCTGATTCCAAATCCGGTCTTTAAAGTTGCCATACAAGCCTGTGAAAGTTTTTGACCCTCAAAAGTCGAAAATCTCATAGTCTCCTATCGGGAGGGTGTGTAGATCCTGTCCCTTTGATCACAACTTTTGAGGGTTTATAACTTTTTTCACAGACCTGTGTGACAGCTTTTAAGACCGGAATTGGAATCAGCATGAAAAACTACATCTGGAAAACATGGTTTCATTCAGAAATCCCACTGTGAGCTGAGAATATTCCCTGGTGAGATGGAGATCAATCAAAAGAGCTTGATTTGTGCTCCCTTCTTTGAACTTTTTTTTCCAAGTTTGGAGCCATTTTTCAACTATTGAATTTTGAAAAAAGTCGATCTTTTGGTAAAGGTACCTATTGAAAAATTACAACTTTCTGGCCCGTCCTGAAGTGATTCACGCCATGTTAGAAGTGAAATATAAGTTTTGGAATTTCTTGAAATTTCTCCTCAATTATTTCTGTTTCATCCTTTATCAACAATATCTCAGATTGAATTTGCTTTTTCTCCCGAAGAGTTTTCCAATTCTGTGTCCCACTCCACATCTTGGACGATGATTCGCAAAATCCCGAGCTTGATCTGAATTTAGTCTGGTCTTGCCCACTTTTTTCTGGCCTTGTAAACATTTAGGTGGAGAAAAGATCGAAAAATGGTCTTTTTTGATTTTCGTTGATCTTGTGCACTTGAATTTCCGCGGCTGAAGAATTTTTGGCGGCTCAGAGCGTTGCGGTCCTGTTACGGCTGAAATCGGGTTCTGAAGTCCATTTTTACGCGTCGGGCAATTCAAAGCTTTTGAACTAGGTTGATATTCAGAAGTTTCTATACTATAAATGAAACAATTTTAGTGACTTAGAATTTAGAAAAAAAAGGGCCGAAGTTCACGTCATCCTAAAAGGCGGTGTTGAGCTTTTTATTCTAGCTTTTATTCAGAAGAAAGGAAGCAGAGTTTTTTGAAATATCGATCATGAAATTTCGATTCTATCAATTTTTTGTTCAACCTGAAGAGGGATTGAACCAAAGAGTTTTGCTATAGAAAAAAACCTCAACCACAGAGCTACGCTGACTGTTTTTCTGACTATCAAAAGTACGAACAACGCTTGGAAAGTGCTTTGACGAAAATGTTTATCTATTTAAGCGTTTAATTGAACCTTTTATTCACACGAAGCAAGTAAGATAATTGATCCAAAAACAGATTTTCATGCGATTTCAGGTAGGAGCTGAATTCGGAAGCAAACGCTCTCATACCTCAAATTTTTTTTACTGGCGATCATGAGCCTTCAAGCCGTTTTGACCGGTTTTCGAAGCGTGAAATACGCTGACAAAAATGGGGGTATGAAACGATGCGGGGCGGACCAGACAACCTCATCGAGAGGCTTGGACAAAGAGAAAAAATAGGAGAAAAACTTGGGCCGTGTGCCGTCCGCGTGAAGTGTCGTGGCGGGGAAAAAAGACGACGGACCGACGGAACCAGCCGCGTGGCTGTGCCGTGCCTCCGTCCGGCCGCCACTCCGCATTTACGCTGCTCTTTTCCGGCTCATTCCTCCTCATTATCCCATTTTCAAGCCTTTTTTCAAAATTCAGTTGATCTGTACCCTTCATTCACTCTTGTAGTGTATCAAAAAGTTTTCCAGTTACTGTAAAACACTGACTAGGCGCCTTGAGTGGTCACTGGACGATCCTAGGGCTCTCAAACATTCTCCCCTCTTTTCCGGCTCATTCCTCCTCATTATCCCATTTTCAATATTTTTTTTTGAAATATTTGGAAATCTGTTGGTATGTTCCCTTCATTCACTCCTGTACTGTCTCAAAACCTTTTTTTTCAAACTAAAAGATACATTTCTCATGGAAATATCTCCGTTCATAGCCAGACAATCTGACGTCCCGTCCTGGCTTCTGCTAGAAAACACTAAAGAGCCGCTAACACCCTTTGAGTGGCCCCTGAACGATTTTAGGACTCTCACATTGTGTCCAGCTTATTCCTTCTCATCATCCCATTTTAAGGTCATTTTTTCAAAATTAACAGATTTGCCTCTTTCATTCATTTCTGTAGAGTCTTGAAACTCACTCCGATCACTGTGAAATAACTTTTCTCTATTTTTCTTGGACCTTCATTCCCTTCTGAGCTCTCTTGAAACTTTTTTCGTTTTCTGTATTTTTCGTGATTTTACTCAGACAATTTGGCGCTTATCATTTGATCCTGGCTTTTTCTAATCGCTACCACCACTTGAGTGATCACTAAATGGATTTGGGGCTCCCTGAACCTGTTCCTTTAATTTTTTTGATTATCACTTTTTCCCAGTATTTTTTTGGTCTGAATTTTTTTGCAAAATATATCTTCAATCATAGTTTGTATTGTATTGAGAGTTTTCCGAATGCGGTCAGATCATTTTCTTTCCAGAAATCACTAAAGAGTCGCTAATATCACTTGAGTGACCACTGAAGAATTTTAAGGCTATAGCCTTTTCTGTGCTTTTTTTTTGGCTCATTCTTTTTGATCATCTCATTTTCAAACTTTTTTCTTTCTCCAAATTCATTCTTTCTATCTTAAAACATGAAATGGCTCGAAGCACCGCGGTTGCGCTGCGGCTTTCTGAGCAATTTCAAGCTCTTTCCAATATATTAGTGCGCAAGTTTCTTCTAGTCGGGCGCGTCTTGAAAGGATTCTTTTACGATCGTAAGGCTTTCATCTGCGATCCTATGTTTTTGTTTTCAAAGTTTTACGTGAAAGTTTCTATGTAACTTCAATTGAACATCTTCTTCTCTGGAATTTGTAATTTTTTTTCAAGTTTCTATATTTTTCCTTCATTTCTCTCATTCATAAACGACGATCGGACTGCGAAAATTGCTCTGTTTCAATTTTTTTTATACGCTTATTCCGTTATTTTTGCTCAAATACCATGAGGAAAAAACTACTTGCTTCATTTTTGGAAGATCACAAGTCCTGCACCTGAAACCTGAAACACTACTAAAAAGTTACTTTATTTTCAAGCCTACATTTTCGAATTTTTTTGTCTCCTCACCTTTATCATTCAAAGAACTTGAAACGGCTTCACGGCCCATATTTGGCTATGCTATAGTGCGAACTTTTTTTCCTGCCGATTGGATCAAGATATATATGAAGTTGATGATCACGCAGGAGAGGCGCGAAGATCGTGAAGAGATACACTCGAAAGAGGGAGCTCGAGCGGAGGAGCGGGACCACCGATTGGAGTGTGACACCGGGGCGGCGGGCTGAACCGAGACTGCAGAAAGGAACGCCGGGGGCCGCATTCATGAATGTTTCTCCTGTTTTGTCTACTGGCTAGCATCCTACAGGTCATAAAAAAAAAGAAGGGTCTTTGAAAACCAAGACTTACAAGAATCAATCAGTTCAAGTTTCGAAATTTTTTTTCGATATTGAACCTTTCAACTCAAGCTTTCAAGTATCGATTTTCAATAAGAAATGTTTTAAGCCACGCTCTCAAATGAAACTTTCAACCCAGAATTCCTCAAACCGTGCTTTCAAATATTGAAATATCCTTATTTATTGATAAAATTAAAAAAAAAAAAGAACTTGTCCGGAAGGATGATTTTGACGGCTATAACACTTGAACTCAGAAAATACAGCTTGGAAAATTTATCCAAAAAATTCTGAGTCCGCAGAAAAACAGGACGAAGTTTTCAGCCTCGAATTTTCAGCTCTGAGAAGTCTAGCGTAAATGCAGAATTGAAGGAAAAATCCAGAAAGAAAATGAACATTTAAAGAATGTTAAAAAACAGTTCTATGGAAAACTTCAGTTTTTACTCGTGTTTGGACAGTTCTTCAAAACAGAAGCCCTGAAAATGAACTCAGAAAAATGAAATTTTTCAAAAAAGAGTCTTATAAAGCTTAATTTTCGGAACTATTTCACAGTTTTTTGCGTTTGAATCGGTACAGAAGACGAGCTGGAGCCTAAATTAAAATGAGAAAAATCATGAAAGTTACAAAAATCAAAAGTGAAACTTCCGATAGGGCGACCTTTCACTAGGACTTTTTTTGGAATTTTCGCTAGACTTTTTTTGGAATTCTCACTAGATTTTTTTAGTTCATCAACTTATCAGAGAAAGGGCCTGAATTAATGATTTGCAGCTGACCTCAAGTTCATCGATTTTTGTGGATTATTCTAGTAAAGGCGTCCCACTTACTCAGGTATATATTTGTTTATTAGCTTTTCAATTTTATAAGAATTTCAGGCCTACATTATCGATTATTCGCCTCCCGTTGGTTTTTCCGGCCGCTGGATCATCGTTTGATAGGTATTTTTTTCGTCTTTTTGTGCCATTCATGGTCAAACATTTTTTTCTTTTTGGTAAAAAAAGGTTTTTTTCGTTTTTTTCTGGAATTTATTTGAAACCTCTCATCTTTTTTTCCTATCTCAAGAATTCTATTTTGTCAATGTTCAATTTTTTTACTCTTTTTCAAAGACGTTAGTCTTTTGATAGTAGATTAACGCTTGAAACTTCGGAAAAAAATTTTTGACTGTCGAATTTAGAACATTTTTTTGCTCACTTCTGATTTATTGACTTTTCAATTATTCGTTGTTTCCAGCAATACTCTCCATACACATATAAATGGGACGATTTCGGCGGCCGAATACACGGTTTACGTCTCGGCGATCATGGCCGACGGCTCGCGGCGGAACGTCACCCAGCTTCTTCTCGTCAGCAGTCAGTTGCTTCTTTGAACCTACGAGGAAAACTGATAGGAATTTCAATTTTTAGAATTAGATCTTGAGAAGTTTCCGGCGTCCGTATCGATCTAACAAGCTTCTGGTGTAGCCTGTGTGCCACGACTTGAAACTTCACGGAACGACATTCCGCTGTGCCGCTGCGTGCGTTCGCGAAGCGTCTTTAGGATCTAGGTCACGATTTCAATGGATTTTTGTTGCTGTAGGAGCCCATGAAAGTAGAGTACCTTAATAAAAGAAAAAAAAAAGTTGAAACCTCGACCAAGGTTCGCAAAGGCGCGCAGCAGCACAGCGAATGTCGTTTGGTAAAATTCCAAGTCGTGCTACCCAGGCTATATTACAAATTTCTTAAAAGATCAATATTTTGGTCATTTTGGGAAGAGCTAGAAGGTTCTGCCGGGAATTTAGGGTAAAAAAATTTCCGAAAAATCTGATTTTTAAAGGAATTTTCTTAACTTTTTGACCTTTTTTTCGAAACTTCTCAAAAAAACTGCCTTGAAAACGGTTTTTATCACTAATAATCATAAAAAAATTCTTTTTTTCTTTTTAAGAGGATTTTTTTATTTTTTTGGTCATATTGTCCAATCCAACCTACTTTTGAAAAAAAAATTTTTCTAGTCATGGAAACATGAAACGTCTATGAAACCGTTTTTTTATAGCTTCAAAAAAATTCAGATATTAACTAAAGTAATAACTTCAAAAAAATTTATTTGGAACCTTTTTTTAGACCTTCAAAAGGGCGTTTATAGGCGAAGTCGGAAGGGTTGAAAGTGGTTCCATAGAAAAATTTCTTTTAGGATGGCAAAGTTTCCTGTTTGCTGCCTTTTTGCGCCATTTCATCGGCCTTTATGCATCATTTTTGCTGCCTCTCCTTTTTTCCACCGCTTTCTTGAGCCTTTGAAATCCCAGAAAAAATGGAAGGCTCGATAAAGGGACTTTTTTTGCTGCCTTTCTGCGGCCTTTTTTGAGCCTCTCCTTTCCTGCGGCCATTATCCACCATTCCGACTTTGCAAGCAAAACAAAAACGACCTACTTTGTAAGCTAGCCGTGAATCCACTATACTTTTTGCTATTTGTTCATTTTCCCACTCGGAAGCTCGTCGTGACTCAATCATTTGTTTGGCTTGCCGATGATCCTCATGCTTGCCACTTTTCCGCCAAAAATTATTAACAACAACAACCGCGAAATCAACAAAAAAAGAAGGCTTTGTGTCACGAATTTCGCACTTTATCGCGACTGTTTGTTTGTGTATCTTTGGCCCTCGCCGTTCGCCATTCAGTCACAAATGTTTTTGACACAAATCCGGTTAATCGCCGACCGGAAACACTGCCGCAGACACATTCAACCGTTCCGTCTGTCGGATTGGGGAAATTATTCTATTTTTTGAGGGGTCATCGGGATATTTTTGGATTGAAGCTTTATTATTATCATTTGACTACTTTTTTTTTTCTGAAGAAGAGGTTCCTGGGAAGTTGGAAAAAGTGTCAAATAATGGATTACTTTATTTTTTGAAGGGTTATCGGGTTATTTTTCAAATATTTATGATGCAAAAAGCTCATTATTATCATTTTTCTCTTCCTTTTTTTAGAAGAAGCTCACTGACCTCTGTAAATTAGAAAAAAAGGCACTGAGTCAATTTTTTTCTTGGGGTGTGAAGTTATTTCGAAGAATTCAGATAGAAAAAAATGTTAATTATTAATATTTTCTTCTCGCTTCTCTGAAAAGAAACTCGATGACCCATAAAAAAATTCAGAACACAAAAAGAAAATAAAAAAATTTCTTGGAACTAGCTAAAAAAACAAAAAAAATATCTGTAAAAAAACAGGTTCGAGGGCTCAGATAATACAAAAAAAAATAAATTGGCTTCTTTTTTTATAAAATTAAAAAAACCTTTTTTTGAACTTTTCCTGATTCAATTTGATCAATGAAAATCGTTCAAAAAAAGAGAGATTATCTGCGGACTGAAGATAGTCTAGAGTACGAGAGGGTCTTTTTTTCTCTGGAGTCTCTTCATGCTCTCATTGATTTCTTGGTTCTCGAAGCTCTTTGTTTGGTCTCATTACTTCTTCAGGGATTTCAAAACTACTTGAAATCAGACCTGAATTCATACACTTTCTAAAAAAATAATCGAAATTCCAGGCCCAGACCCACCAACACTAGACTCCGTGGAAACAACAGAACACGAGGCGACCATTTCCTACTTTCCACCCCAGGGCAATGAGATCAGCTATCATCTAGGTGATTACTAAGATCCTAAACTCCATCTTGAATAAAATAAGGCTTTCAGAATACTACCCGGAAGGCCATCAAGAGTATGCGAACGTCGTGGAGACGAAGGCGTCGTTGGTCCGGCTCCGAGGCCTGGACTCCGGAACGACGTTCCGCCTCCGGATAAAATCCATCTACAAAGGCGTCTTCTCTCAACAGCTCATCGAGACTACCTTTCAATACTCAGGGAGCTGGTGAGAATGATTTACGAGTCAAGAAAAAAATTTAAAAAAAATGCACCTGTTTTTGGAAGATTTCCTGTGACTTTTTTTGAACTATAGTATGCAGAAAAAAATGCTGAAAATTTTTCAAAATTTATAGTCTGAATTTTTTTCTGGAATATTTTCTTTGAATAATTTTTTTGAAAATTTTTCGAGACAATCCTTACGAAAAAAATCGATTGATTTTTTTGAAGGATTCTACTGAAAAAAACTAAAATTAAACTCGAATATTTTTAATCGTTTCATCAAACGGAAAGTTTTTTTGAGACACGAGGTTTTTTTTCCGTTATTTTTTTCAAATTCAAGTCAATAATTGACCTTTCGTCTTCAAAATTCTGAATTTCTAATGGATTTTCGGGCCTTTTTCTCTCGATCCCTCCATGTACCACTTACCAGAAAAGTGTCTGGTCGTTTTGAAGTGCCATAACTTTTTTCACAGACCTCGTTGACAACTTTTGGGACCAGATTTAGAATCAGCATGAAAAACTACATCTAGTAAAACTTGGTCTCATTCAGAAGTCCCCCCAGAGACCCTTCCCTTTTTAGAAAAACCAAGCGGTTTCTAAAGTTAAAAACCGTACTTCGCGGTTTCCCAGACATGTTTAGGTGGAAAATTTCCTATTTTTTGAACATTCTATCCGATTTATAGAAACTCTAAAAATGGAAAAATGAGAGCCAGTTTTCAGCCAACTACGACTACTCGTCGAGTGAGGCGTCGTTCAGCGTCCGGACCCTTCCGCCCAACTTCGACCTCGACACCACCACGGAACCCGCCTACTACGAGTACTCCAAAGAAATCATCGACGAGGAATCGACCTCAGTTGGACCAGCTCCATCCACAGCTCCGCCAGCTTTCCTGCTCACGACGACCAAAGACTTCTTGCCGACCACCTTCACTGTCACCTTCACTGCGCCGTCGTGAGATCTCGTTCCATTTTTTGTCAATAACTAGCGTTAATATTGATTTTTTAGCTGCTGGTTAGGAATTTTTCGCACAGAAATGCTTTCGGATTTTATTTTCTTGTGATTCTCAAAGAGCTGGTGATATTGGAATGGTGATAATGGCTGATAAAATAGAGAGAGGCTCAGAAAGGGCCGCAAAAAGGGAGCAGAGAGAGTCTCTTTATGGAGCCCTCTTTTGTTTTCTGGGATTTTAAAGGTTCAAGAAATAGTCGCAAAAGAAGAGGAAGCAAAAAGGGTGCATAAGAGCCGATGAAACGGTGAAAAAGGCTGTAAAAAAAGGAACCTTTATCCATAATTCTCGACTTGCCTAAGACGGAAGGGCGTGGCACTGTCTGCGCTCTTCTTTAGCCTCTCAGTCTCTAATTTTTTTTTTACCGTGTCAAGACCCATTTTCCAATGCATCAATCAAGCTGTGAATCAAATGCCGTTAATGTTTTGAATCAGAGAAAACCAAATTTTTTAATCATTAAAAAATTGCTGTTTGTAAAAGGTGCTCGGCTTTCGGTCCATTATGGGAAAAGTCAAAAATCCATTGATAATAATGTTTCTATTTTTTTTTTGATATCACCCTCAAGAAATTTTTTTTAGCCTTGTCAGACGACACCCTAGTAGAAAAATGACACTCTTAATCACTTTTCCTTCGTGGAAAATTAATCCCCAATTAAATTGGGTAGTTTAAGGTCGACGACGACGTCAACATCGACGACTACTTCAACCACAACAGCGCCAACAACTCCTTCTACAACAACTCAGCCAAAAATGCGGCCACAGGAAGTTGATTCCGGCGACTATGGCAGTGTTAACGGTGGCGAGGTGAGCAGAGAACTCCCAGAAGAGAACGAAAATAAATAGACGAATCACAGACTTCGAAAGGACTAGCTACTCTGGACGAAATGACGCAGGAGTACGGCGAGCCGGCTGAAATCGCGATCATCGACGAGAAAGACATGCTGAGGTGGGAAATACTTGTATTTTTTGAAGACCAAAAGGTTGACTTAGGAAAAATGTCGGGAAAAGGAACATTTTAAAAAAGTGGGCAGGCTTTTTAAAAAAATTTCAAAAATACCGTATACCAAATTAAATCAAAACTGAGCATCTTCACTTCAAGACCTTTGCAGTTCTGTAGAGCAAAAGCTTGTATTTACGGTAGCTTTTTCTTCTCTGTTCTTTTCAAACGTGACCATCTCTCGCGAAACGCACTATAGTTTTGCAGATTTTTTTAGACTTGTAGGATTTTCATTTGTTCGATCAGAACAAATTCTCCCATTTTCAGGAAATAGTCAAAAAATACTTCCAAGTTTACCTCTCCTGGAAGCTCTCTGTATTTTTTTTCTTTTCATTTTTTCAGAAACTTTATTACATTTTAAAAACTACGGGTTATTGAACTTTATCCGAGAGAACAATTGGAGAACAAATTCTTCAGGCTGAGCTGGGACGCGCCCGAGGGAGCCCCGTGTGAAGCCTTCTTTGTTAATTACACCATTTTGACCCTGAGCCAGCCCGAAATCGTTCTCCATCGCCACTTCCGACGAATTCGCCCTCATCAAGGTTGGAAAACCCCGAGAATTATCCAAAAAAGGAAGTTTCTAGCTTTTCCCGGAACATACGCTGGACCTGAGGGTCTTCTGCATGTTGGCTGGATCTTTGTCGAAGACCTGGTGGGCCCGACGAGTTGCAGATCTTTCGAGTAGGCATTTCTTGGGTTTTAATGAAAAAAAATGATATAAATAGTCATTTTTGTGCTTATAACACATGATTTTTTGATGAAATCCGTTGAAAATTTGAAAAAAGAAAATAGTCTCAAGAGCGACCTGCGCTGTCTGAAAATATTTTTGCTCTATTTAAGAAAATAGATCAATTTCTGACCAAGTCCAATCTCGCGCTACAGTTGTCGTATTAGATTCTAAGAGTGTTAGGAAAAAATAATATTTATTTTTGAAAATCAAAAATTTAGAATTTTGTCAAATTCATCATCAATAATTGAGTGAAGTTTCCCGAATTAATTAATGGTTTTCTTCGTTTTGCCAATTTTATCGATAATTGTGTTGAATTTATCAAATTATTCGACAAAGTTTTCCCAAACAGGCGGCAGATGTGGTCAATGGACGTTGCTGCATGCAATGGGGGCGCGGCTTATTGCAACAATGGCACGATAGTGAGAGCCGATCTTTGTGCATTTACTGGATGGAAAACATAGCGTTGAATAGTGTTTTTCAAGGCTTTCTTGAACTTTGAGAATAGCTTGAATATATTCCAACGCAAAATGAACCTATCGAACTGTCGAATTTAATATTTGTTGTCAAATTAATTGTTTGTTAAATTTTCGTAATCAATTGATACTTTTGTTTAATTTTCGGAATTTATCGATGATTGTCTCAAATTTCCCGAGCTGATCGATAAATTTCCAGAACCCAAGCCTGTAGAAGGCCTCAAAGTGGCCTGGACCGAGACGGACGAGTTCTACGTCGCCCGGATCAATGTCACCTGGAAATGGCCGACTTTTCATGATTTTGAGCTGTATAAGGTCGTCGTGACCTATGGATTGAATAAGGTATTGTTTTTTTAATTAGAGCTCCTGAAGTGGTCACTAAAATTATCCCTGAAACTTCTTTTTCTTGTGTAACTGGTTTTATCACTAGTAGAGCAGAAGTTTCCGATCTTTTTAAATTTCGAAGGACTCATTTCTCAGGATTCGATGAAGGAGATCGAAGTGACTTCGAAAGAATCGCAAGTTCTTCTGGACAAACTCGAAGCTGCCCACAACTACAAAATCGCGGCGAAAAACGTCTCCACCGAACTTTCCCTCAGTTCAAAGGCTGTCGAGATCGAGCAAACGACTCGTGAGTTTATGATGATAACAGGCGCTGAGAATATGAAAATGTAGGATGAAATGATGAAGGTAATCCACTAGAAGGTCTTTTTTTAAATTTCACCTGCTCATCTTCCATTAATTTTTTCTAGTCAAATTTCAGATTCAGATCAAAAAATCCCCCTAGTAGACTTGGTCCTATTCAAAAGTCGGATCATAAAAACGGTTTGCGCCGAACTTCTCCATAGAGCGAATAAGACATGAATTTCCCAGCTGTTTTTCTCTTTTCTGGCCTAAAATCTCCGTTCTTTTCAGCTCCACTGATATCCTCAACGGTCTACCCAGGCCAAATTTCCTCAACTTCAATCAATATCAACTTTGGCGAATCGGACCCCGAACAAGGCCGCTTCGACCACTATCTACTCACTTTCAGCGGAAATAACAAGAATATCTCGAAGAAAGTGGACATGAACCAGGAGTTCGTTGGAAAATATATGATGGAGAGAAATCGTGAGCTTCAGAAAATCCTTCACTTTCACCAAGTTGATCCCCGGGAAAACCTACAATTTCGCCGTTTACACGGTTTATAAGGGAGTTCGCAGTCGGCCTGTCACCGCCGATATCACGACTTGTTAGTTTCAAAATTAACTGAACAAAAAATAATGAGAATGAGAAATTTAGACCCATTGAAAGTCAACCAACTCTACCCGGTTGTGGGTCGGGATTACGTGGTTCTTTACTGGGATATCGAGAATTTCGCCGACGCCGATTGCCGTTTCCGATTGAGGTTGATAAGTTTTCAATAGTTCACGGCTGACTTGGGCCATCGAGGGTCCTGACGCGAAAATAGAAGAGATAGTGTCTGGCTGGTGGAGGGCGCAGACAAGCCACGCCCCCTTGGCTTCCCAAGCTTGATGTGAATCGATTATTAAATCAAATAAAAAAGATTAATAAATCAATGCTGCGGATCACTTAAGTGATCACTTTATTAACGGAAAGACGTTAAGTGGCCACTTGAGAGTTGGATTCTAATTTTGTCATATTTAAGGCATATATCAGAAATTTTTAAAAAAATATTCATTTTTTTCTGGCTTCTAAGTTTCTTCTTTATGTAGAAGATTTTTCATAGGTGATGAAATTTCGCTCAAAAGGTTGGAATCTCACTTCTACACAAGCTAAAAGTAGACGAAGTTGTTCACTAGAAATCCAAACCTGTAGTTGATCAAGTTGAAAACAAGATCTCACGGTTCTTCACCTCGTTCTTCTGTGCGTAGTCCATTGAGCTGCTCCTCGACGAGCCGATTTTCTCATAGCCGATTTTGTAGCTGGGATTTCTTCAGAAGCATACTTAAATAAATCTCGTTCAGCTACAACGCCGACGACGTGCCAACGGTCTCCGTGGAGCTGAAAGGAGCGAGTCGACATCGATTCACGGGTCTTCAGGCGGAAGTCTACTACACCTTCACCATCACCGTCATCATGGGCACGGGGCCGGCGTCGGCGGAAAGCGAGTCCGAAATGGTGACGGTGGCGATCCCGAAAGGCCGTCTGGCGCCGGTCATCGAGCGCCAAGGCACCCGCGAGCTCGTCGTTCACTTCGACAACGACCACTCCGTCTTCTCCGAACTCAACGGCGCCGCCGACAATTTCGCCGTCATCGTGTCGGATGATGTCTCGGTGGGACTTCTCATTCAATAGAAGTTAGGGGAGGAGTTTGAAAAGGAATTTCGAGCTTTGATAATGATTTTCATTGTCTCTAATGCCTCGTCAATAATTCTTTTAGAGCTTGATTTAAAACTATACCAAATTTCTTTCAGTTGAATGACGATAATTATGAGCTCAAGTCGTGGTTCGAAGTCAAGGACGAGGAAGAGTGGGGCTCTTATCGGTAAGTCCCAAAGGATTTTTAAAATGTGTATTTTTGAAAATCAGAGCCTCTCCATCCGACTGGAATCCGTTCTCCGGCCAACATAACGCTCGAAAAGCGGCCTTCACCGTCGGAACTGACGATTGTCTCAAGAGGAACCTCGATGAACCAGTGAGACTTCATAAAATGATATACTTTTTGTTGTTAGGAAGAAAATAATTAGGGGTATTTTATTTTATTTTCTGATATAGGACCCCTAGACTGTACTGAAAAAAGTGTTCAATTTCTTTTTCAACAGTTCTGCAACGGGATCCTCCGGGCCAACGTCGACTACCGCGTCAAGATCAGGATGTACACCGACACGAAGGTGGCGATGGAGTCCGACTGGGGCGTCATCGAAGGAGCGGCCGCCGATGGAGAGGAAGAGGAGGAGGAGGCCAATGGTGGGTCCTTTGAAGTTCTACCAGGGTTTCCGAAGCGCATCGGACGCTGACGCCGCTTAAGGGATCCCTAGAAATGGAAAAAAAAAAAACCAGGCGTTTCTGAGTTTTCCTAGTGATCACTTAAGAATGCTGACACCGTTAAAGTGATCACTAGAAATGGGGAAAAAAACCGGACGTTACTGAGCCTTTATAGTGATCTCTCAAAAATTCTGACGCCACTAAAGTGACCACTAGAAAAAAAAACCTGACACGCTCCGCACTTTCCTGAGCCTCTCTTGTGACCACTTAAGACCGCTAAAGTGATCACTAGCAATGGAAAAAGCCCGGACAATTCTGAGCATCCCTAGTGATTACTTATGGATGCTGACGCCACTAAAGTGATCACTAGAAATTTTAAAAAATTGTGGACGCGCCCCGAACGTTTTGAAAGTTTTAGTGACCACTTTAGCGGCGTCAGCACTCTTAAGGGATCACTAGAAATGCTCAGAAACCTGTGGGAAGTGTCAAGATTGCATTATGGAGCTGGGAAGATTGAAAAAACTCTGATTATGCTCATTTTTCTTGTAAGATTCAACTAGGACCGGATATAACTCAATAGTATAATTTTCAGAACGACGATTCCCGTGCCACATGTACCTCAACGGATGTCCGCGAAAATCAGGCCCTCAGTCTTCGAATTTCAATTTCTTCCTCTCATCCTCCGCGTTATTGCTCCTTCTTTTAATTTCGCTATTCTAGACCCTTGCTAGAACACCATTCAAATGCCAAGGGACATTTCAAACCTACAAAAAAACCCATAACGAGTATATAGTTTCATCCATTGCAGAAAGCTCAAATCTCCTTTTTTTGTCCAATCTTCCAACTTTCACTTCTGATTACCTGATGCTGAAAATCCTCGCTTCCCAACAACAAACAGTATTTCAAAAATCACGCCTTTCACACCCTTTTTGTCCAAAATATATTGAATTGTTCAATTTTCTCAATCCCCCCAGTGACGTGAATTCATCGATTATGGGTCAGACTTGCTTCGTTTTCTTTTTTATTATTATTGTTTTTTTTCCATGTAATTTTTTTAACCGCTTTGTTAAAACGTTTTAATGAAAGATCGATTGAATCGTTGAGAAAATATATAGACAGACACGAGAATTATTTAGTTTTTTGTTCTTTTTTAAGTCGAATTGTTAGTACTTGTCCGTCGGTCGCCTATCGGAGGACTTCATTCGCGTTCAACTGAAACCGAAGGTGATAAGATTCGGACAAGGTTCAAAGTAATCTTTTCCCTATCAAACTAGTTATCTTATCATTTGGTCTGGGGCGCGCCACTGTACGAATCGTCATTACTTTTTTTTTGGACCGGACTTGACCGAAGGTGATAAGAGTAAGCTGATAAAAGAAGTACAGAAGATTGACAAAAATAATTCTTCCAAAAATGCTCAGGCGTTAACTTGTAGGATAGATATGAAGTATTTCAAGCTAGAAAAGTATGAAAAACAAAAAAAAATCATAAAGGTGAAATTTTGAAACTGGTTTTTCTAAGGAAGATATCAAACACTGAATTGGAAGCAAAAATATAGGATTTTTAATTTCTGACGTGTTTAGAAGAGGGACTTTCATTCCCTAACAATTCAAAAAGACCTAGATTTTCAAATTCAAACACAAATTTTGTTCAATTTTCCTGTTTAAAACTCACAACGCCAAGGACGGTTCCTTGATTGAGCTGTACAATGTTCTCGGCGATTTCCGAGGCGACCCGAAGTTGAGCATCAATCGTTGAAGCTCCTAAATGAGGGATGCAAATGGCCCGTGGGTGGTCGACGAGTTCTCGGAACGCTGGTGGCTCCTAAAAATTATTCATCAATATATATTTTTTGAATTGTCGCTTGATAACTTTCCGACTTTTTTTACCCGTTTTCATGACTTTTTTTTTCATAACTGTCTCCTCATAATCTTACTATATGGCTCACATTCAAAAACGTGGAAGTTGTGAGAAAAAGTTGGAGTTCTTCAGCAATTTGAAGGAAAAACCGGAAGTCATTAGAAAAGCTCCTCTTTAAAAAATCAAGCTTTCAAAGCCAATTTTTCGAGACAAGTCGTATTTTTCTTTCATATTCAAAAACAAAAAAATAGGAACGCAAAGCTATCAATTTTATTTTCCGGTTGCCACTTCCGCCTTTCTAAATTCTTATCTGGGCTTGATTTATCCCCCTACAAACTAGCCGCCTTCCCTATCACTGGGCTTCGGGAACTCGCTTGCGGACCTGTTCAAAGACGTCGATCGCGGCGCCGGCGACGTGGCCGCTGTCGAGCGCCTCGACGAGATCCGCCTCGTTGACGATCCCGCCGCGAGCCACGTTGATCACCCGGACGCCTTTTTTGCACTTGGCCAGCGCTGAAAGTTCGATATTTTTGCAGGAAAACTGGGTTTCGAAGGTCAAAGTATATGCAGTAGGGGTCGAAATTCGAGGCATTTTGAACCCAAAACACGTTGAAACGAAGCATTCTTAATCATTTTAAAACAAAAAGCGCCTTTCTTGCACTCGGCCAGCGCTGAAAGTTCCATTTATTTTGCAGGGAAACTGGGTTGTGATCGATATGAAGCTCCAAATGGCTTTTTTAGGTCGAATTTCGAGGCAATGCAACTAAAAACAAGTCAGAAACCATGCATTTTTCATAATTTTTCAAAAAAAGCGCCTTTTTCTCTTGGCCAGCACTGAAAGTTCGGTATTTTCCCAGGTAAACTGCGTTTTGAAGGTCGTAATATATGCAGTAGAGATTGAAATTCGAGGCAAAATAACACAAAACAAGTTAAAAACGAGACAATTTTCATCCTGTTCGAATAAAAATGAGTTAAAATGAAGAAAATTTCATCAAATTGATTCCTCTTCATCTTTCGAAGAATAAGTCAAGTTTTATGAAAAAAGAAGTCCATTTAGTATTCGGAAAATAATTGAAATATAGCTCAGAATTAAAAAGGACGGCTTTTTTTATCAGTACATATAGACTTCTCAACTTTTCGAAACCCCTCCCTGACATGTTTTTAAAATTGCATTGGTCACTGTAGGATTACAAGCTTCAGAGATCACTAGAGCCTTTTTTCAAAAAAATGATCGATTTCAAGTATTGAATGAAACCATTAAGAAATTTTTTTCACTAAATGTTTGCAACTAAAAAGTTCCATTTTTTTAAATATACGTTCATGTTTTCTCCAGATCTCTCAAGTACTTCTCTTCTTGAGACACCACCATTTTCACGTGAAAAACCTACACTCTTTATTGATAAGATTCTCCGTCTGCTTGATGAGGGGAACGTGGACGGTGACGTAGTCGGCTTGTGGCCAGATCTCCTCCAAACTCAGCAGTTCGATGTTCCTCGCGGCGGCTTGCTGGAACGTTCTTCTCGATAAAATCCGAGAAAAAGATTTTCGGAACCTCCTTGCTGACGACGGGATCGAATCCGATGACGCGCATGCCGAAGGCCTGCATCCGGAAGGCGACTTCAGTCCCGATCCGGCCGAGGCCAAGAACAGCCAGGGTCCTGCCGAAGACCTCCTCGCCCATGTAGTCCTTCCGAGCCCATTTGCCCTCCTTCATCGACGCGGCCGCCTGGGGGACGTGTCGAGCTAGGGCCATCACCAGCGAGCAGGTCAGCTCGGCGGCAGAGCGCGAATTCGCTTCTGGAATGAGTTTCTCCATGGAGATTGCGTGAAAGTTTTTCAGTGGAGTTTTCTCTTTCTCAGGTAAAAGTTGGGAAGCTTCTGCTTTCGGTTTCTCGGAAGGCATTTGGAAGCTTTCCAGCAAGTGATCAAACGCCTTCCACACAGCTTCCCAATATCTTCTACTTAGGAAAAAGAAGCTGCCGGAAGCTTTCCAGAATCATTCCAGCAGGCATCTGGAAAGGCTTCTGGCAGGTATTCTTCATTTTTACCTTCCGAACACTTTCCAAAGGCTTTCCCACGACCTTCTAGCTTCCCTACACCTTCCAACCTCCTGCTGGTTACCTTTACAATGCTTTCCAATTATTCGCCTGAGTTATTTTCCACTGATGAATCTTTAGATTTTAGAGGATTTTCAATCTTAAACGATGAACTTGCTCTGAAATTATTCAGAGACAGCAAATTGATCATCTACAGATTTTCAAGCCCCCAAGTTCGCCTAGCTGTCTAAAAATGTGTAGATGAACATTTTTACTTTGTTGCTGTCTATATGGAACCGCCCTAAAAAAAAGTAAAGACGCGCAAAAGATCTTTTTTTCGAAAATCCCCGTGCTACTCGGACCTCGATAAAAGGACGTGCTCCGGACGTTTTTGGGCGATTCTAGGGATCACTTAAGAGTTCTGACGGTACTAAAATGGTCACTAGATATGCCCAGAAACGTCCGTTTCGCGTTACCAATGTCCGTGCAATAGTTTTCCCTCTTCTCAAAGTCGTAACGGCCTTTTCTTCCCTTTATTGTGGCATTTTTCTGCGTTCGATCCACCTTAACTTCCTCTTGTTGATGCGATATCAATTCCCAGTTGGAAGGGCAAGAAAACAAGCGTACGTGGGGTGTTCATGACGAGGACGTTGTTCCGCGTGGCCGCCGGCACGTCAATATTGTCGACGCCGGTACCGGCGCGTCCGACCAACTTCAGTTTACCTGCCGCCGCGTCCAGGAGCTCGGAGGTGATCTTGAAAATGACATTTTTTCAAGAGGTCGACTTGAACAGCTTTCTCGAGACTTTGAATGAAAAATACGTATTTTTTAGAAGTCTGGGATCTAAAAGGGGCCCGTTTTTGGCCCTTGGTTGATGAAAATTCCTTGGAGTGTATTTCAGAGCCTCCTGATTTCAGAAAAAAAGAAAAAAATTTTTTTCCTCCAAAAATTATTTTTTTACTGAGTTATGAAGCTTCGAAACTCTTGAATAACGCCTTTTTTTCAGTATTTGTGTGATTTGAAGGCTCAGTACTAAAAAAATAAAATCGAGAAAAAAAAAGTTCCCTTGTGAGAGAACTTTTTTCAAATTTCAACTCAAGTCATTTCAAATTCCCTCAGAAATCATTTCAAAATTTAAAAATGGTTAAGGATAGGCTATCTTATCATACCAAAAAAACGGCAAAACTTGAAATTTTTTTCAAATTCTGAAAAATACACTGCGAAAAAAATGACTTTTTTTCTTGAAAAATTTTGTTGAAAAATTTGATTTTTTTCCAACAATTATAGTCTATATACTAGCTTCGAAATTTGATACAAATCAACTTTTTTTCAAAATAATTTTCTTTTACCTTGGTCGCACTTCTCACAATGACGGCATCGTGTTGTGGCAGAGATTCGAGCAGTTGTTCTTTAGTTTGTTTTGTTTTAATTGAAACCTGGAATATTTTCGAATTTATCTCAAATCAAAACAACTAGAATAAATGAAATCTTAAAATTAACCTGAATCCCTGCGTTCTGCAAAATATCAACACACTCTTGTTCAATATCGTCGGCAATCAAAACCGAGGAGATCTTCGTCATTTCTAAAAGAAACAGTACATTTCTCAATATTTCGAAGTGAAAAGATCAAAAAAAAAAAATAACTAGAAAGAGAAAACGATACAGATTCTTCACAAAAGCTGGCTGGGTTTATCAAATTAGCAGAGGCCCTTTTTTAATCCTTTCTGAAGCCAATTAGACTCCTAGGTCCTAAAAAAACCCAGCCAACTGTAACTGAACGACTTATACAAAGAAAAACAAAAATTCGACGCTTTTAAAAGGCGGACGAACGTGACGATCAGCGGTAATCGTGACAAATGCAAAGAAATATATTCGGTTGAAAATGGGCGGTCCATTTGTAGAGATCATTTGCGTACACAGATAGCAGACGCGATCACACGCCGTCTTCACATGCGTCGCCGCCAAAATGTCGGGTCAAATTTCTCCCATTCGAGCCTTTTTTTATCACATAGTGCGTTCATTTTCGTACTAATGCAAGGTTGAGCGGAAGTAATTTACAGAATACACTGAAAATGGCATCGAACAAGTAAAAAACCATCACGAGGAAAACCCTTCCGCTCATCCCTTCTTTGCATCAAAATAGGAAGGAATATGAAAAAAATTATTTGGAAGAATCTTGCTGTGAAAAAAACGGTTATGTGGACTCGAAAGTTCTTTTTGTTTTTTTTTTTAATGACTTCGCCAAACCAATTCACATCGATAATAAATCTAGAGCTGTGGAAAAAAAAAACAAAGCTAATGGCATGATCATCGGACAAAACGAAACGCAAAAAAATTGCTCCAAAACAAAAATGAGAACTGTTTTGGAGCAACTTTAGCGCGCCGATGAACACGATATTTCGTTTTGAAGCGTGTCGGTTTCTCCTATGAACACGCCATAATTGATTCTGTAAAACGAGCCGCCACCGGTATTTTGTCTCGCCGTAAATCCACCCCATAATTCTCATCAGCGCGCGTTTTCTAGTTTTTTTAAACTAGTTTTTTTATTTTGCCGTGTTCAAAGTAATTTCGGGGAATCGAAAAATTAAAAAAAAATAACGATTTTCTCGTTTAATTTGAAAACCCGAAATCCTGAAAATTGGCATTTCGAGGGGCCGCGACGCGCCTGCTACGCGGGTGCCGCAGCATTGGGTCTCGCAACGATCAAACGCGGAAAAAAAGGAAATTTTCAAAAATTTTTCGCAATTAATTTTTTTGTTTTTGTTTTTGTTGATTTGATTATTGTTTTTCATTATGGCGCGTTCAGGAGCAAAACGCGAAATTTTTTTCGAAATTCAAAAAGAGCGTTCACGGCGATACTTCGAAATTAGCGAATTTCGATTTTTTTGAGATAATTTCGAGATAATTTTTTTCTTCTTTTTTTCTGTTTTTAGATGATTTTTTTCTTTTTATTTTTTTCAATTTTTCAACCCGTTCAAAGTTTATTGATTTTTAGAAATAGTACGAATGAAAGCCTTAAGTTAATTTTTTTCGACTGTCTGAACTTAAAAAAAGTTCAATTTTTTTCTCAAATTTCGAATTTATCGTGTTTATTTTTTTCCAACGGATGTATCAGAGTGTTTGAAGTTGCAGGTCTCTAAACTATGGCGGGTATTGGATTACCGAAAGTGCTAAAGTTGAAAAAGGTAATTTTCATTCAAAAAAAACTTTTTTTCGCAGTTATTTTTTTACAAATTTTTGATTCTTTTCACAAAAAAATTTATAGACTCGTTAGGGAGGCACGAGCGGCTCGTGTGAAGGTAACGCAAAAATTTTCGTCTCTACAGTCAAGCATAAATCCGTGATTTTTCGACGCAACGGTCAAGAAGAAAATTAGAAGGTTTTTTTATCTATACAATTTTTCTATAACTGGTTCATTTCATTAAAAAGAAAAGTATTGAATTTTTTTCAGCTCATTCGAACAAGATATTGTTGTTTGTGGCCAGCCGGATAAATTTGGAATTTACCATGTCTCGATTTTGTCAAATACACAGCTTTTTAACTTCTCTTTCAATGATTTTGTTTTGTTTTTATTACGCGTTTATTTTTCTCTATCATTTGTTTGAATAAAGATGATGAGCATTACCTTCTTGAAAAATTAATGTAAAAAAAACAAGCTGCTTAGTTAATCAAATTAAAAACCTAACAACAGAAACTGTTTTGTGATGAGATGTTTCTGAAAGGCAGAAGAAAACAATGAAATTTTTTTATTAGAAAAAGTTCCATAAGGAAAGATCCAAGTTTCACGTGTAGTCTTTCGGCGTGTCCTTCGTAAACCGTTCGTCTAGGTCTGTAAGCAGAAGAAATTTTTCCAGAAAGGAAAAGCTGGTTGAACGGTGGTATGAAAAAAACACAAGCAGAAATTCAAACAAAATTCGCCCTTTTCCGAATTTTTCATATCGCTAGGGAACTTTCCGACGGCCACCTCTCCGACGGATCCCTTTCCGACTTTTTTTCCCTTATATTTTTTTCGGTTTATAAAACATCTATCAACATATTTTTTTCCTATTTTTTTGTGTTTTAAAACATGAATAACTTGCCTACTTTATATAGGGATATTTAAAACGAAAAAGTTTATTGAGAAGAAAAATTCGATAAAAGATTGGTCGGAAAGTTCCCTAGCGATATGAAATAATCGGAGAAGTGGTCGTTCGAACTTTTTGCTGTTCTTTTTTCATACCATCGGTTGAACCGTGGTATTCATTTTTTTCGTTTACAACTGAACAAGACATATTGACAAGACATATTGAAAAATGAAAGAAAATAACATCGAAGAATAAGAGAACTCACGAATTTATGCTTGACTGTAGAGACGAAAATTTTGCGTTACCTTCACACGAGCCGCTCGTGCCTCCCTAACGAGTCTAAATTTTTTGTGAAAAAGAATCAAAAATTTGTAAAAAAAATAACTGCGAAAAAAAGTTTTTTTGAATGAAAATTACCTTTTTTTCAACTTTAGCACTTTCGGTAATCCAATACCCGCCATAGTTTAGAGACCTGCAACTTCAAACACTCTGATACATCCGTTGGATGAACACGATAAATTCGAAATTTGAGAAAAAAATTGAACTTTTTTTAAGTTCAGACAGTCGAAAAAAATTAACTTAAGGCTTTCATTCGTACTATTTCTAAAATCAATAAATTTGAACGGGTTGAAAAATTGAAAAAAATAAAAGAAAAAAATTATCTAAAAAAAGAAAAAAAGAAGAAAAATTATCTCGAAATTATCTCAAAAAAATCGAAATTCGCTAATTTCGAAGTATCGCCGTGAACGCTCTTTTTGAATTTCGAAAAAAATTTCGCGTTTTTGCTCCTGAACGCGCCATAATGAAAACAATAATCAAATCAACAAATACAAAAAAATTAATTGCGAAAAATTTTTGAAAATTTCCTTTTTTTCCGCGTTTGATCGTTGCGAGACCCAATGCTGCAGCACCCGCGTAGCAGGCGCGTCGCGGCCCCTCGAAATGCCAATTTTCAGGATTTCGGGTTTTCAAATTAAACGAGAAAAATCGTTACTTTTTTATTTTTTTCGATTCCCCGAAATTACTTTGAACACGGCATGAAGTACGAGAGAAATGATTCATAAAATATAGTTTTCAAGAGAAGTTGTGGTAAAGCTGTAAAAATAATTTTTTTATACAAAATACGGATTTCTTAATTTTATTCGGAAATTTTTTTAATTAATCTTTCATCTCTATATTGAGTATCGGGGCAAAAAATTGAGAAAGATCCCATGTTTTGATTTCATAAAGTTACTGTAGCTTTGAAGCCCGCATACACCTGAAATTCACGTACAGCGCTTTTTTTTCTACGACTCTTCTAGTTTTCTTCGGATTTTTCCGATTTTTTCTTCAAAATGCTAACACAATGGTCGTTCCGCGATGTTCAGGGACTTGGATGTTGGCTTTCTGGACGTTTATAAAGTGCGGACAGTGAGGTTTTTTTAAATTTCGCTATCGAAATGTGGTTTTTCAAAATTATGTTATGCCAAGTGATGGAGTCGTAGTTCAGCTTATTATAAACGATCTTCTGAAATATTTTTCTTGATTTTTGTCAATAAAAAGTGCAACACGGAAACACTATGCCGACTTTCTTTCTGTGAAATAATTTCATACGGTCTTTTTGAACACTGGAGCAAGATGGGTCTTATAATTTATTCATTTTATTTTTGAGCCACATTTTTATTATTTCGGACTTTGAGCTTTCCATTTTAGCAAAGACAATGCGCAGTGTTCGATCGGTTGGAAATGCTCCAAATAAGGTCGAACGTGTTGCAATTTTTTTCCGGTTATTTGAGTTCCACCCACGTTACGTCAAGTAAAAAAATAAGCTTTTTGTTCTTATTTTTTTGGAGACTTTGGTTTAGTTTATGATTTGTGAAAAATAACTTAAATAAACAAAAAAAGTTGTATTTGGGTTCTTGAACTTACAAAAGCATGAATAAAAAAGGTCAAAATTTTGAATCAAACTTCTGAAGATTCATTTTGAGATTCTTGGAACTCTTTGCTGATGAAAAATAAGTTTTTTTCTCAATATTTTAAGCTTTTTTCGAATTGAAACAAAATTTTACTGAAATAGCAGCAAAAAATGTATTTTCTCGCCACACGTGTAGAACTCAAATAGCCGGAAACGAATTGCAACGTTTTTGACCTTCTTTGGAACATTTCCAAGTGATCAGAAACTGGTCATTGTCTTTTTGGAAAGGTCTTGAGATGTTCGAAGCTCGTCCTAATGAAATAATGAAATAATTGGCTGCCAAGTTAAATTCATAACTTCTTCATTACTTCTTGCAGAGATGTTAGAATAAGTTTCAAGTATATCTTTTTCAATCGGAAAGGTTTTTCAACTTAAATTTTATTTAAATAATTTTTCTGAGCTTTTTAAAAGTTTTTAAACGTTGCTCTGAAATAACTAAAAAAAGCGGGTTTGCTAAAAAAAGAGCTCAAAAAAATTTGAAAAATTTGCGTTTAAATGATTAAAAAAATAAATTGTTGTCCTCCATGAGGCTAAATTATTTATAAGGCTCTTCTTACTATTAT